AACAAAATTATACGACTTGAAATCAAGTCTAGTGTTTCCATATATCCATATATATCTGCAAAATGGAAGCAAAAAAACACAAGAGATTGTCAACGAATTACACAGCAATCCACACTGAAATTGTTGCTTTATTCCAGCAATTATTTTGTGGTCAGTAATGGACAAGTTTAACAAGGTACCGATTAATCTGTTGTTAAGATTTTAATTAAGAAAGAGAGATTGTTATCTTTATGCTTAAATTAAGACATTTAATCGTACGCCATTTATGAACATTCTCTCTGATTTTTAGCCAGCTAGATACAAACAAATGTATACATGTACTCATGTATTAGTTTAGTGGGCTACATGTAATATACTCGACAGAATTATGTTGTTTCTGTGAGTGAGACGTTATAAAACAAATGTGACCTGCTAAGGCTAAATGAGGAATGTCCCCAAAAACTTTGTTTTGAGTTATCGGCGTCTGAATTTGCCTATTTGTGGAAAATCATGTCAAAATCGATTTTGGAATTTTCCAAATTTTTGAGTACCCAGGGTATCTAAGATTCACATTGTGCAACAATCAACTTTATTTCATAAGTGTTTTTCTCGAAGTGAGGTCGCAGGAGTTTGGCAACGCACTACCGACTTCCCGTATCATATCACTGGTATCATTACGAAGCTAAAGAGTTGTCCCTTTACATGGTAAATAAAACTCAAAAAGTCAAGGATGGCGGTTATTCCTCATTTTGACATAGCAGGTCACAAATATTGACTGCTTTAAATCGGTGATCTTTGGAGGGTTTCATTTACCTCGAGAGGCTATAAAAGACTACCCTTTTTGAAGCAGTCAATATTTGTATAATTATGGACTGCCTTTTAACTTTAATGAATCATAATCACTTACTTAACCGCTGACACAAGCCGTTTATAACTAGTGTTAAGTTAGCAGCATGTTGGATTACACCAAGTTGATAAGAAAGATTGAAGCGACGCTTTCGATGTCATCGCGACACCTTCATTCAGCGTAGTGAATTAAACCATTTCTTAGTATTAAGATGTCTTGAGCCATAGGGCCCAATTTCATAGCACTGCTAGGCACACGAGTTTCTGTGAACAGAGACTCTGCCTATTTCATGGAAACTGTAAGCAGAAAGCACAGCAAAAGGCACGCTAACCCCTGAGGAAACTTTGCTTAAATCAGTGACGTAACGATAACAAAATCTCCATACGCGCGCAACTGTTAGCACGCCATGAAAAAGGTTAGCACAATTTTCTGATAAAGTAAGCAAAACTTTTCTGCTTACTGTTAAGCAGCATCTTGAAATTGGGCTCAGGTAGGCTAGCAAAGTGTGCATGAAGTAGTAGGATGTGTGTACATGTCCGTACAACCGCGTAGCAAACAAAAGGATACAGAAACAATAATTAAGAAATTCTTAAAATAAACATGCTTTATACAAGCAAATTGCTGCTTTAAAAGTTAATGAACCCAGTGCGTTTTAAAGACAGTGTGCTGTACATTAAAACAAAATTTAAACATACGTTATATGGACACCAGTAGTTTCGTTTTTCTTCATAACTGCCTCCAAAACTACAGTATGGATCGTCCTAAAACTCGAACAATATTATAAAATTGAAATGTCTTAAGGCAACCACACATACGCCGCTTTGTGCAGTTACGTTTTTGGGTTGTTCGATATCTGAAGTTTGTACTTATAATTTTCTTTATACAACACTGCTGTGTACATTAATTTTTTAACAAATGTTGTATCTTAGGCCTTAGTGTAACACTTTCGCAGTAGTGGTTCTATATAGAAAACGCTGGTGTTAAATTAAACATCGCTTTCTACAGTGAATGAAGTTCGAAAGATATTTAAGCATAAAATTTTGCGGCAATGTTTATCGCAAGCCGTTTCTTTCTTGAAAATTGATGACAGAAATAGAAAAAATACATTTAATTCAATTCATCAAATAAGCTCATGTTCCTTGTTTTCAAATGCAAAGTGAAACTTAACCATAAAATAATTGGAATTTGTACAGCAGTTTAAACATCAGCAACAATGTGAGATAAACAATTACTGCATTCTTTCGATACACTGATTTTTTAACTGGCAACATTATGTAATTGCCCATTAACATGAATTCATGTTTTAGCGAATACCGCTTGACAACTTCAGCATTTCACAGTACTGATTGAAGTGAGTACGTCACGCCCACACAGTAACATCGTCCCAGATATAGTTGGGATCGTCCCGATTATAAAGTTGGGATCGTCCCAACCGTAGTTGGGATCGTCCCAACTATAGTTAGGGTCGTCTGCCAGTAACCGTTGACGACAATGCGTGATTTTTGATGTTGGGGTGTTTGAATGTTTGTTTCGTTTTGTCTTGTTTGTTCACACTCGTGTGTTTCAGATTACCGCGCTATAGCCTATTATGCAGCGCACCATAATCAGTGTAGTTTGTGTATAAAATTGTTGCTGCATATGCAAGTGATTATTGAAGAACAAACATAACGAATACTGGCACACGGAGTCGTCGACGGTATGATACTTGGAGCTGGGAAGGGTTATGCCAGTCAGCGTTATGCTGGATGACATCACAGCTTGTGATATATCTTAACTGAGTAGGCCTATTGGTCAGCCACTGTCAGCTGCTGCCCGTTTGCCGTGAATTCGATTCCACGGGGAGCGAGGGGATCATGCGCCACACAGCAGACACACTGACCTGTGCAGTCATATACTGGTGAATGTGACCAGTGTTGAGTTTGTCTGTGTCCATTGCAATGTAGATACCCGAGCTGTTGCTTCTGTTTAAGAAGTGCATTGCGACGATATAGGGGAAAATGTACATGGAGGGGGTTGCGGCCCCGGCGCCTCCGTGCTCTTCGCGCCGCTCTTAAGTGTATGGTTTGATAAAACGTGCTAAGAAGAATTATTTGCACCACAAATCTAATAGTGAAAGGAATAATATCAAAGGCACATGGAGACTTATTAATTCTTTATTGAATAAATCTAAGTCCAACACTAATCCATCTTATTTTGTGCATAATGGTGAAAATATTGATGATGCATATAGTATTATAAGATTTGAGGCTTTGCATGGTGGGGTATCGGTATCGTTTCGGTTTTGCGGTAACACCATGTGGTAATAACTACTGCTTAGAAGATATTAGTTCTGAGAAGAACTTGTCCTGCTTATTATCAACTTGCTAAGTAGTTTTTGTTCTGTTTAGAACAGTCCTGCTGTAAGTTCTAAAAGAACTTGTCTTTGGTCTCAACGTTTCGACTAGCCTGCTCTAGTCATCGTCAGGAGACTGAAGATAGTTGGAGATGCTACTCCTTAAGTAGGATTTGTTAGGATTAGGAGTGCTTGCTGGGCATGCCCTGCTCGCTCGGGTGTGTCAGTTGGTTGTGAGCCATGGGCATTGTGTTGAGGGATGCCCGCTGAGCGTCCTGCTCGCTCGACTGTGTCGGTTGGCTGTGAGCCTTGGGCATTGTGTTGAGGGATGCCCGCTGAGCGTCCTGCTCGCTCGACTGTGTCAGTTGGCTGTGAGCCTTGGGCATTGTGTTGAGGGATGCCCGCTGAGCGTCCTGCTCGCTCAGGTGTGTCAGTTGGCTGTGAGCCACGGGTGTTGCAACTTGGAATAACTGAATGCCATATGTGGCTTATGAAGTAGCCGATATCTTGTGGGACAGTGTCATGTTTGTGGATCTCAATAGCTTCTCTGATACGACGGGTGTACCAGTGTTTCTCTGGGGCTATGATTTCCGCTTGTTCCCAATCAACAACATGATCCAGATCAGCAGAGTGTTTGACAATTGCCGATTTGTCAAGTTCCCCTCTGCGGCCGTGAGCTATGTGTTCGTTAAGCCTGGTAGTGAGGTCTCTGCCAGTCTCGCCAATGTACACTTTGCCACATGAGCAAGGAATTCGGTAAACTCCTGCTTGACTTCTCGGGTTGTGCTTGTCTTTGTGGGTGTACAATTTAGTTTCGAGTTTATTGCGAGTTCGGTAGTAGACCTTAATATTGGCTTCACGGAGGATTCGCTGGATCTTGTGTGATGCATGGCCAATATACGGAAGGACTGCAACCGGCATATCGGGTGTGTTCAGGGTCTGAGACATGCTCGAATCCGGTGCGAGGCTGTGATTCTTAGGTCTGTACCCATTGTCTCTTAGCACTTTATTGAGGTGCTTCAGTTCGGATTGTAGGTGTTCATCATCACTGATGATATGTGCCCTTCGAAGTAGGGTGCGGTTCACCGAGGTTTTCCCTGATGGTGGGTGGAATGAACGAGCATTGAGGTATCGGTCTGTATGTGTAGGTTTCCTGTACACAGAGTGTCCAAGTGAACCATCGACCCGTTTGGAAATGAGTACATCAAGGAAAGGCAATGAATCGGATGTCTCAGTTTCCATGGTGAATTGTATACTCGGGTGTTGTTGGTTGAGATGGCGGAGGAAACCATCAAGCTTGTCCGGGCCATGTGGCCATATGATGAATGTATCATCTACGTATCGAAGCCATAACTTAGGTTGGAATTGAGCTGTTGCCAAAGCTTTTTGCTCGAAATCTTCCATGAAGATGTTAGCCAGGACTGGGGAAATTGGAGACCCCATAGGAGTGCCTGAAGCCTGTTGGTAGTAATTGTCTCTCCATTGGAAGTACGTAGACTTTACGCAAGTCAGGAGAAGATCATAGATTTGATCTGGCGTTAAGGTGGTTCTTTCCGTGAGTGTGCCATCTTGTTCGAGTATCGACTTGGTTACGAGGCATGCTTCTTCAGTCGGTACATTAGTGAATACAGATTTGACATCAAAACTCACTAGCATGTCTGCGGATTGTAATTTAATTCCCTTTATGGTGTTGATGAACCCTGCTGAATTGGGTACATGGTGAGGCGTTTTTCCCACGAGTGGGTGTAGGAGCTTTGTTAAGTGTTGTGCGAGGTTGTAGGTTGGGGAACCTCTTGACGACACAATAGGTCGGAGCGGTTTGTCCGGTTTGTGAATCTTCGGTTAGCCAAAGAATCTTGGGCATTTCGAGCTGGATGGACGAAGATGCCTGTATAATGGAGTCGGTAAGGCTGAGCTACGATTTAAGGAGAGTAGTTTGGCAGCAACTTTCCTTTCGACTGCTGGAATGGGATTTTTCTTGAGGCAGGTATAGGTATCTGTGTTGAGGATATCCTGAACCTTATGGTCATACTCCGTGCGGTCCATTATGACAATTGCATTACCCTTGTCTGCCTTTAGGATGTGTATCGAAGAATCATTGCGGAGGCTGTTGATAGCCTGGTGTTCAAGTCTTGTTATATTGGATTTGGGTGGCTTTGAGTGCTTCAAGACTTGGTGTATTTGGATACGGATGTTGTCTGCCTTTTCTTTATCCATCTTGTGGATAGAAGGTTCAATCGATTGTATGAACTCTTCCACCGGGATCTTGCTAGGGGTAGTGGCAAAATTCATACCCAAGGCTAGGACATTCGATTCCGTTTTAGATAGCTGGCGTTGGCTGAGGTTTACGACTGAGTTCGCTTTTTTCATGTCATCATTGTTCCCTTTGTTTGTGGACGTGTTACGTGAGGCTCTGTCCATTCTCTTCTTGCCAAAAGAAATGAGGCGTTGGAATTTTCGGATCTGTTTTCTTTGGGTGGCATGAAAAGTGGGGGATACAGATTTATCCGTGAGAGCGGATATCTTGTCATAATCTGGGGGCTGCATAGTCGTGCGGAGACTATCCTTGCTACTCTTTATTTCTTGATCGGTTCGGTATAGGCAGCATCGGGTGGAGGCAATTTGTGATCGAAGTAGGGCTTTATTGGCAGTATGTATGATTCGAGCAGAATTGTTTCCTTTGATAGGGTCTCGTAGGCGGAGACTCTTTGGGACTACGTTCGCATCTCTACATCTCTTCAGAAATGTCAGGTTATTGATCATTTTGCAACGTCTTGTACAAGAGCGTTGGTATAACTTGAAAAGGGTTCTCGTGCGCTCCCCGTAGAGCATACTGATATAAGATTTGAGGCTTAAACAGAACAAAAACTACTTAGCAAGTTGATAATAAGCAGGACAAGTTCTTCTCAGAACTAATATCTTCTAAGCAGTAGTTATTACCACATGGTGTTACCGCAAAACCGAAACGATGCATATAGTATTGCTAACCATCGTTCTTATCATTCCTTTCTTGAAGACAGGTGTTCTCATTCTATATTTTTGAATCCTGTTACGCAAGCAGAAATTGTGAATGTGATTAACAAATTTCCTAATGGTAAAGCCCCAGGCTGGGATGGTTTGAGTTCCTTTGTTGTTAAAAAGGCCAGGAATGCTTTAGCTATACCACTTGCTCTGCTCTTTAATCAGTCCATCTCTAAGGGAGTCTTTCCTGACGAATTGAAAATTGGTAAAGTGGTTCCCATACACAAAGGCGGTAGTAGACACGAGTTCACTAATTATAGACCTATTTCTATTTTACCTGTTTTTTCCAAATTATTTGAAAAACTTGTGTTCAGTCGCATGATTGCATTTATTAATAAGTATGGCCTTTTGTCTCAATCTCAATACGGCTTTAGAGCAAACCGCTCTACAGAGTTGGCTAAACTTGATGTGTTAAGTAAAATCATCGATGCCTTTGAGAACAAGCAGTTTTCTGTCGGTATTTTCCTGGACCTGTCCAAGGCCTTCGACACTGTTAACCATGACATCCTTTTAAATAAATTGGAGCATTTTGGTGTCCGAGGGTTGGCCTTGGACTGGTTCAGAAGTTATGTATCAAATAGAAGGCAGTTTGTTTCTTATAATTTACATCACTCTTTAGAACAGTCCATCACTTGTGGAGTCCCTCAAGGAAGTGTGTTAGGTCCATTACTATTTATTATTTATATCAATGATATTTGTAGATCTTCTGATGTCATGTCTTTCTGTTTATTTGCAGATGATACTAATTTAATTTACAATCACCATAATGTGGATACAGCCATCCAAACTGTTAATGTTGAACTTGTTAAAATAAGTAGATGGCTCATTTCGAACAAATTATCAATTAATTTGCTTAAGACTAATTACATTATTTTTTGTCCACGCCAACATAAATACCACGCCACAGTTTCTCTTAGTTTTGATGGTACTGTAATCAATCAAGTCAAGACTACTAAATTTCTTGGACTTTGTATAGACGAAAATCTCACTTGGAATCGCCACATTGATGTTTTATGTAGTAAAATTTCTAAAAATGTTGGGGTTATGAATCGTCTGAAGAATTTTGTACCTACAAATATTCTTTTAACATTATATAATTCCTTTATTCTTTCATACTTGAATTATGGCCTACTTTCTTTTGGAGGATCTTCAACTGTACATGGCTCCAACAAACTTTTTAAGTTGCAGAAGAAAGCTGTTCGTACGGTAAATAATGCAGGTTACCTTGATCATACCACTCCTTTATTTGCCAAACTTAATATTCTGAAACTGAATGATCTCTACCACCACCGACTGGGTATACTTATGTTTAAATATACTCACAACATGCTCCCTCCAATTTTTAATCATCTATTCTCATTTACTTCTTCTGAAGTGTTTCATTCATATGAAACACGTAGTTCATCGAAAGGTGATCTGTTTGTGAGAAAAAAATAGAACTTCCTTTTTTAGAAACAGTCCATTTCAACGTGGTGTCATATACTGGAACGAACTCAACATTGGTTTAAAAGAGTGTACTACTGTAGTTTCATTTGCTAAAAAATTGAAAAAATCGATCATCAATACTTATACTTTTACTTAAAAAACATTTTCTTCTCTGCTTTGCTTAGTCATTATTTTATATATTGTACCGGGTCTCACTCTTAAACCTATTGTCCTGTCTTAGTCCGTGTGTGGTTAGTTGTTTAAGTTTTGTCCTGTCCCAGGGAAAGGTACAACAACAGTGCTTCACCTTTTTCCTTTATGTTGACATCATTTAATATTTACACTTAATTACATACTGTCTGTGAAGAATGTTTTGTTTATACATATATATACTGTTTTCTGTCTGAATTGTTACCGAGGATGTCAATGTGAAAATAAATGTCGAATTGATAACAATTAGTCTTACCTAAAATCACTCTTAAGTCATATTTTCATGTACCACAAGTGCCAAGGCATCAATACAAACTGGTTTCATTTTCTCCTCTACCGTTGCGTTGCAGCGGTACAGTATGAGCGAAAAGGAAAAGGAGGGGTGTCGACCACGCCCCTCCGCGCTTTTCGCGTCGCTCTTAAGCTAACTAGTCCGATCTAAAATCACTCTTAAGTTATTTCCATAATCTACAAGTTCCAAGTTTTCAAATGATACTGGTTTTGATCTTGTTCTCAAAATGTGATAAAATGTAAAATTTGACCCAGTTGGCATGGCGCAAATGAGCCTTGGTCTGATCTAGCGAAACTTAAGACTTGCCATTCTTTGATCAGGGTCGATGATACTATGATTTAAGACAATAAGGGGATTTGTTCCCAAAATTGTGATTAAAACCCTATCCAACTCTCAGTGCATTCTGATCACGTGCTCTCCGCATTTGAATATCAGATTTAATTCGTAATTAACGAGCGAATAATTCGTAATAACGAATTAATAATCCGTAATAACGAATTATGTAATCCGTAATAACGAATAAATAATGCATAATAACGAATTAGTAATCCGTAATAACGAAGAATTACTAACATAATACTTGCAGTTTCTGTGGCTCTTACGGGCTTTCGTTGTTCATAAGATCATTATTGACTGCTTCTCGTGAAGAGATTTGCGGGAGGTTTTCAGGGTTCATGATGATCCTTGTGATCATCCATATAATCATTGTAATCCTTGTAATCCTTTAAATTTGAAATAAAAGAGCCCAACCTGCTTTGAAGACAAAAGCTTGGCGAAATGGTGAATCAGGTTGGCGTATAGTGGTACGTACCTTCCTCGCCTTCCACCGCTGTGACCCGTGTTCAAATCCCGCCTGGGTCAATATGTGGATATGCGGAGATCCCGGGGGATGGGGATATATCCCCCCCCCCTCTTTTTGGGCAGGGGGGATGGTGTATACAATCATCCTCCCCTGAATTTCCAACACCCTTTAATAAATAGCGCCCTCAATATGCGATTAGCCCCCCCCCCCCCCGTTTTTCATTTTTTTTGCAGACGCACATTTTTCAGGGTCACTTTTTGGGGGATTTCAATTAAAATTGTGATCACCCCCCCCCCCCCCCCCCACCCCACACTTTGTGACACAAGTCTCCGCTAATTTTTCAATCCATGCCTGAATTCTGTGGAATGACGATATCCTGAGATAAATTATCACGGGATGAAGACTTCTTCTTGAAAGTAAGATGACGATCGACGTCCTGACAAAAACAAATTATCAAGGGAAGCTTGCCTATAATGTCGTCATCCTGATAAAATATGTCAGGATCTCAACAAGTCGGATGGCACTTCCAGAGCTCCGTAGTTGTTGTGCACATGAAAATACGAGCGACAGTGCAAACCGGCCGATTTCGCAATATACCTTTCTGCGCTTGGTTGGCAAACTGCATTTTTGCCAACCACGGCCTGCAAAAGTATGGAAGGTCCAACACTGCAAAAATGAAGAAAAGTTATTACACATCACCAAAATTTTATTTGATACTTGAAAATACAACATTTTCAGCAAAGCTACAAAACAATTCCTACATATGCCTTTTTACTATGTGTTGATGGCGTTATGAGGACTTTTTTGGAAAAATATGTTGCCAACCACGGCTTCAATTTATGCGCTTACGGCAGCCCATACAAAATGGCGCCAATGTTTACAAACAAAAGAAAGGCCTATAGCTAGGAAAGAGCATGCGCAGAATGTGCCCTCTGTAGCGCATGATGAAATGGGGATTCCCCGAGCTTTGCAACGACTGTGAAAAGCTCGCCATTTTCTCATTGCTGTGAAATCCCGGAAGTGTGCAATAACATACAGCACACACATTCACGATAGTGTATTGCCTACATTGCATGCATGCAATATGACACGTATATATGACACACACAGCATAATCACAACACGTCTACGTAACAAAACACTGGTTTAGTCCGTACTTCGACAGGCAACCAAAGACTTGCATTTCTATACCGGGTAAATCCCTGCATTTTTTACAAAGTGTTTCAGTATTTCGATTTTTGTCGCCGTGGTCTTACGGTCGGTCGCACTGCCTTATTCACCGTTATGTCTTCATCGATGAGTCGCCGGGAATGCTTCCATATCCTGGGTTTACCTCTCGAATCTAGTTCAGGTAAGATGGACTTTCGCTCCATTTACTTTCTGTCAGACCGTTGATTAATATTGTACACAATTCGGCTGAAGTTTCTTTAGGGAGGGGGGGGGGGGGGCGGCAGGGGAGGGGTTAGATACGTGTACGGTTTTACACACCCTTCCTCCGCCAACTAGACCCAAAATCTTGATTGCACCGACTGGGGGCAACATTAAGCCTGTAAGGGGTGTCCCCTCAGAGTTTGAAGAGCCGATGAAATCGCCTCCACGCAAAGTAAGTCTATAATCACTGGTAACATTTATTGTTAATTTGGGGCGTTTCGTAGACGCTGCATGAAGCTCGTCTGTACACATTATTACAGTAGCGCAACATCTCTCACGTCATATCATTAGCGATTGAGAAAGGTCAACGTAATACATAAACTGGTTCACAGTCCCTCCGTCATTCTTACTTTGAATGTAGCGAACGGTACTGCCCTATAGAATTAACATAGGCCTCCTCCCGGGGTATGCTCATTAGCTATTAGCATATTCGTATTCCTACAATGTAATGAGCCTTGTGTGTCCTCTCGGTCTCTTGCCGGGATGATTGGGGTAGGGACCGTTGGATCATTCCAACCTCCAAAATTGCTGTATTTTCTAATTCCTTGGGTGTAAATCAAAGGAATATTGCACATCATTTACATTTTAAAGTGGCAGCACAAGCCGGCATCACGTGGCCCAAACTCCCGCACGGTCTTCACATTTAGTGTGACTAGCTAATACGCTTTAATACAATTGCATGACAAATGTACGTCACCCCTAAAAATAAAACTTCGTGTTTACGCGCGCGGTCGAAATGGTATTCAGTCGGAAATATTACAATGCGAGATAGCCACCGATCTCTATATTTTAGATTTGGAGTGCAAGTGGGAACCGGTGTAGCATGAATTTAGGTTTTATGAAATACGGACTCATTGGTGGTTTTGCGCATGCTCATGCATAGATAATTAGGAGAGGGACCGGTCACGTGAGAGGGTTTATCCAATAAAGGGGCAAAATAGTCCGATTTTCATACAAGTCCGATTTTCATACGACACCGGTCTACTTAAAGATCCGCACGCATGCGCAAAGGGGTTGCGCTGCGCGTGGTACTAGCTAAGCCAAAAGTATGCTTTGAGCCATCTTGACTGTACGTCCTCATATGCAACATGTAAAGTATGAGACTGGGTCAGCTCTCCAGTCGAGGAAGAGGCATGCTTGCATGGATACACACTAGAAAGTCTCGGGTCAGAGGTGACCCGGATACCGGGTACTTTTCCGGGTCAAAATGGTATGTTCCGGGTCAAAACGACACTTTTTTTTGATCATTTTCTGGGTCGTTTTGAACCAGAAAGTATCAGGTCAAATATGACCCGAATTCAGGGTCAGATATGACCAATGACTCGTATTAAATACTTCTTTTTTGCAAAGATTGCCGTGCATCGAAATCAGTCAATAATTTTCTAATAAAATGAATAGTAATACTATGGCTATAAAGCACTTTCCATCATATCAACAGTTTCAAAGCGATTTACATAGGCGTTGCAAAATATATTTTTAAAAAACAGGGGATAAAAAAAGAAAAAGAGGCGCAAAGTCATACAACTGTTAATTTAATGGGTGTGGGGGGTGGGGCTAATGTCCCTGCCCTTCCTCGAAATAATAACACGCTGGAAAAGTACAGGGACAAATTGTGCTTTGCCCCCTCTGGAAAAATCCTGGCGACGCCCATGGCGCTTTACAATTATTCTCCCGTTCCTCAGACTTCGAGAATCGCGGCAGCCGATATCAGCGCACATTCGGTCCTCTACCCTCACAGGTACTCATCATACCCCTTGGGTTCAGAGAGCCATACCATACGTATTGTCACCAAACTTAATAGCAATCCCAACATGTCCTCCAGTTAAATATTGGTACATTTTCTCTGAAACCTTGTTGAAAAACAAGGCATGTATTGAAAATAACACGGGTGCATTTGATAACTTCAATTATCGATCAATGTAGATTTTATTATTATTATTTTTTCGAAGAGGATATCAAGCAGGCCTACCGAACAAAAGCAAAGGACTGTCACCCGGACAAGAACCCAGACGACCCCGAGGCCACGGCGAGATTTCAGAAGATAAGCCAAGCATATCAAATACTACAAAAAGGTAGAATACTGTGACATTCTCGTAAACTGCGGAAAAAAATATATGTAATGAACAATTCGGATAACGACAATCACTTCGATAATAACTTTTTGTATCCTACTAAATTATAGTTGGATTTAGTTCGCGGGAATTACCTTTTGCAGTCGAGTAAAAGTCCTTAAAACACTGAGGACACGTACACATGGTAATTGTGTTCCAAATTCTGATCGATTATAAAAGACATGCGAAGGTATTTAAAACTTTCAATTTGTATCAAACTTACAACTAATTTAGGTACAGCGATTGAAAGAGCTTCTTTCTATTGAGTGGAGCGCTACTCTTCGAACATTCTTGCTGATGTTTCGATGGGCTTGTGTTGGTTACGTTTCTCTAATCTTACATACTCTTGGTGGACCTGTGAACAAAAGAGGTCCACAAGATGTAGGAAGCGTGGCCGTTTTGTGGACTCGCACATGTTCACACTTATACAGGTTTAATCCCCCTCTCTGGAAAACAAGTTAGAGGCATTTTGGGGTTAGGTTTATCCGTCGCAAAATGAAGTGAAACACTGAAGGAAATCATGATACACAATTGGGTTGAAAGAGTGATTTGGTTCACAGTGCAAGTAATATGAGGGTTTTTTTCTCCGGTTTTTCTTAACTTCACAAATACAAAGGAATATTCCACAGTAGGTATGTAAGGTAAAACTGTGTGGGTTGAGCTGGGTTTGATTTGGTTTGGTTGGTGTGGGCTGCGTTAGTCGGATTGAGTAAGGTTGGGAGAGTTGGGCTGGGTGTGTGTACAAGCATTACATTCACTGTGCGGACTTCCGAACAAAATATGTCCACATAGCCAGGTTGCAGCGACGTTGTGTGGACTTGCACACTTCCACTCTGGAAAACAGGTTTAGAGGCATTTGGGGGTTAGGTTTATTCGTCGCAAAATGAAGGGGAACAGTCAAGGAAATCATTACAAAAAATATTGGGTTGAAAAAGTGTTCACAGTGCAATTAAAATCATTTTTTTTCCTCCGGTTTTTCTTAATTGCGCGAATACAAAGGAACGTCCACAGTAGGTATATGTAAGGCTGGTGTGTTTGTGTGGGTTCCGGTGTATTGAATTGATTTTGGGTTGGATTAGGTTGGGCTGGGTTGGGTTTGTGTGGAATGGAGTCTGGTTGGTCAATTGTTTCGGTTGAGAGTAATTGTAATTGTCAGGATTCGGGCCTATAAAGGGTCTGGGATTACCCAGATTAAGTTGTAAAGGGCCGTTTTTGCCATCATTATAGCTGGGCGGATTTGAAACATTATGCAAAACCGATTCGTTTCAAAAGTTCATGATATGGTAGAAACTTTCGCGGAATAAAAGCGAAAGCGTGCAAGTGTGGTCATTAAAATCACATGCTTCCATCCGTACATAAACGCGTTTTCCCATACGGTTGATGAAAAACGAAACATATTTTGGCACCCTGCGTCAAAAATAAGGCATATCGCGAGAATCATTCATCCTTTTTTTTTATAAATATGTAAAATTGGTGTCGATACATCTGCAGGACATCCATCTACAAAAAAAAATTCTACCCCGTATTTTAAGAGTGATTGTAATTGTAGTCAGGCATTTATCTAATGTACATAACAATGCCACTGATGTCATTTTGCAGAGTAGTACCCACAAAAATAATGCTTTTCTTTTCTTCAGATTTTCGTGAATCTTCTTCTTTCAACGATGATAGCGACAGCGATGATGGTGCCGGCTTCTCGTTTTTTGATTTCCTCTTAATTTTCCAACGAGAGGTCAGAACGCATTTCACACATTTTTAAACTTGTCATTTTTTTTGTCAAGAAAAAAAAAGTATAACTTATACATACAGTATAATTCAGATTCTATCTCAAAATAATACAGAGGATGTCTTAGGGGGCATCGCTTTATTGAGTGTTTCCCTTTACTGACGTAGTGTTATAAACACCGTATACTCAGTGTAGTCCCGAATGATTGTGAGAAAAAGTCACTCGTGTGGGACTCGAACCCACGACCTCCTTCTAACTAGTTCTTGCGTCTTCCTATTCGACCACCGAACTTGCAGGCGTCGGCTGGCTGGCTCGAATCCGAAAGTCGACCCCTGGCCTTAGATGCATGCGTTTTGTTAGCTAAATCAAGCAGAATAAGCACGATCAAAATGTCCCTTGCACAGTTTCTATCTATCCATTTCTTGCTTACACAAAATACGTCACCGTCAGTGACTGAAGTCCTAGTCCACTAGATGGCAAGCTCACAGCAGCACGTGGATTTGTTCTTGCTGTCTCACAATTCAGTGCTCACACAAGATGTCGATTTGGTTTTTTTTTTTTTAGAAATGGTTAAATCTAACCCATTGATAGTTGCTCAGTGGGTATTCCAGTATACTTCAAAACATGGTCTATAAGTAGTAATTAGACGTTGCAAAATACATAGATAAATCATTTTATGGAATTTTGTGTGATTCCGTGACTCGAGAATAAAACGCACGACCCTTTTTTTTTTTACTACTGCTGCACTTTCTTTGTTTTTTTAATTTTCACAATTTTGCTTCTCTGCAGATGATGCGTGAAGAATTACGAAGACGGGAGGCTATGAGGAGGCGCGATGTATTCTACAATAGTAGGTCTACCCTTGCAGGACTTTCAGAATGTTTAGCTGCGAATATATTCAGTTTAGTCGTGTAGCAAGCTCATTTTTACGGGGGAGGTGTTTGAAATGAAAAAGTGCATTCGCCTTGGTACACAAAAAATTGTTGGCCGGTCACCCGACGATCATGGGCACTATCGGGCAATAGGTGGCCCTTTTCATGGCGGCACAATTGCCCACGTTAGCGCAATGATCTAAAAGGGATCTCGTTAAAAAAAGGGCGGTCATGATAAAAGGGCACCTAAGACAAGATAAGATAAGACAAGATAAGTTTGCGGTAGCACCAAGAGCCTGGGCACCTGTTCAAAAGGATAGGCCACTGAGAATCTTATTCTTGGTCCAAGATTAGAATTGGATTGTTTCCCTTATACTCCAGCCGATCCGTTACAGGCGAGGTGGCTAGCAACAGGATGAATAAAATCCAGTGTTGACAATATTGGCAGCGCTAACCAGGAAATTCCCAGTATACCTCACACGAGCGGTATTCAAGCTAATGCATGCGTGCGAGGTGTGTTTCATGGGTAGCACTGCCAATATTGCCATCTCTGGATTTAATTGATCGTGTTGGTAGAGACCTCCACCGCGCACTGCCGCGGCAACTTATCCGCGACTTGCTGCTAAAGTGGGGAATAAAAATCGTCTCTTGGAACAAGACTACCATTATCTCTGCTAGCGAACGACAAAATCAGATTTAGATTGCTTGGGAAGAGAATTTCGTGTTAAAATACCACTTCCCAGTTGTTGCTCTTTGAATTATTTGAATCGTTTATTTGAATTATAACTGGCGCTTTTTATTTACAGTGGTTTTTGGCCCATTTGTTTCACCGCACATGCGCCGCTTCGATGATGATGACGATGATTTCTTGTTCGATTACGAATTCAGACAGGTAGGATTGTTTGTTGGGTTCTTGGGTCGTTTTGATTTGTTTGTCTTCAATGATCACGTTGGAAGTTTGGGAATAATCACAAATTAAACATTAAGATTGATCAGCAGATGTTGTGAAAATAGCGATTAATGGTTGCGACAATTGAAACTCCACAAAATTATTGAATTTATATCGTTACAAATATCGTTGACACTTTACATACATCTCCTTACAAATGTTTTGCGTAATATGTATAGAGTAATAAGGTTTGTTGCATCGATGATGTTGGGGTCATTCAGCGGACTATGGGTTCGAATCCAGCCTGTAGCACATTGTGTCCTCGAGAAAGACGATTTGTCACTATGCATTTTCCCAGCCCAAGGGTATATGTATCGATGTGGCTACTGTGTTTTAAAAAGGCCGTTAGCGCCGAAAAACCAGCAACGAACTCATATTATCAATTCAGTTGCCCATCGTAGTAATGACGAACGCTCTAAGCCTTCATATTAAATTGGGAATAATGCAAACAATGTGCAGTTTTATTTCTGAGATATATTGTAATATAAATGACTTCAGGGATATTGTATGGCCTAATAGCAATTCGAGATTGAGCAATATGAGTAATTATGGAAACTGAAGGTTGATCATTTTTTATCCATGTGGTGTCAAGGTCGCTTCCAATTCACATGAGCCAAATGACATTGGTATAGCGAACTGTCACAAAACGTAACAGGCCTCGATACTTACTTAATCGATATTTTACCATGCGAGTGTCTTGCATCAAAAGTGGTGATAGCTACCTCGACTGAGGTCTTAATGATCTGATGATTTTTTTTTCTCAGAGGTATCGCAGTTCTGACAATCGGGAACGATACAGCGAGCGGGCACAGCCTGCGAGCAACCGCGGTACCACAGGAGGGCGCTACCAACAGACTCGTCCCCAAGTACACACTCCGGTAAGAATCCCAGAAATAAAATCCACTGGACAAAATCTTTCAACTTGGCCACGGAAACCTGTACATGCATAGCATTTTTCTTATTTCTTACGGAATTGTATGTAAATTTTAAAGACCCATTAGAAACTTAAGCCATCACACTGAAAAATTGCCTGGGTTAATTTTACCAAAGCAAGGTGAAAAGTGCAACTACCCAAAATTGGGTTGTCCTTTACCCAATTGCGTGGGTTAGAATTTCTCTTACATTCAACCAAAACTTGTGGTTATACCAGACTAGATGTAATTTGGTCTTGTATGACCACATGTTTTTGTTGAGTTTAACAGAAATTCTAACCCAAAACAATTCGGTAAAGGACAGCCCAATTTTGGGTAGTTGCATCACCCTTGCTGGGGTAAAATTAACCCAGGCAAATTTTTCAGTGGCATTTGGACATTGCAGGACCTAAAAAGGCAATGCCATAAAAAAAGTCACTATTCTGGAAGTCGTACATCCAGTCTACACGTATATGATTAGATTAGATTAGGTTAGATTTCTTTATTGTCATGCTCAAAATTACATGAAAATTAATCCTATACGATAACACTGCCCACAGCTCACACGAGACATTAAGTTAGTCACTCATTGAGATAGGTACAAAAATGATATTAGGCTGGCCCACTGGGACCAGCACGAAATAATAACTACCTTTAAGAAGAAATGTACGTTTCTTTGCGCCACAAAAGGTTCGCCTTTATACTTACGACCTGCCGGCCGGCCTTTATTCTTTGAGTGTGGTACCCAGACTCACAATAATATTGCTTTCACAAACCTCGTGATTAAAGGTAACTGTATTCACAGTTTCGGGTGGAACTGTTTACCGCACGTACACTTTGAGACCAACTCTGTCTCATTGGAAGTTATAGACATCAACAATAGTCCGCCAGCTCCTTTCAATTGGGTTGCAGACCAGTAAATATACTGCCATAGACCTCAGTGATAATTACGAGCACTTCCAAAAAATCATTATAAATGCTCACAACTCTCCAAGGTGTTTTGAGACACAAATAAAATTAAAGGTTATTTCATCATGTTTCATTTTCTGTTAAATTTGTTGTAGTTAAATAATATTTTGGGGGGAAAAATCCGTCCAAAGATGATAACCATTAAAAGTAGTCCTGAAAAAGGACGCCTACGCTCCATTGCAAAATAAAGCAATTTTAGGGCTTAATTTCATCCGAATTCACAGAAATACGATCTCACAGTCCCCTGCATGGCTTTCACCCCTCTGTTTTCCTTTCGTTCACAAACCCTCAAGTTCATGCCCCCAAAATGGTCTAATACCGGAGGATTTCAGGGCATGCAAATCGTGATTTTCCTGGCGTTGTCAATTTTGGGCCTATTTACTGGCCTGCACCGCGCGATGGATATGATGGATGGGATCGACAAGCTTGGTTTGTTCCTGAATCGAATGCTTCTTTCATATCCAGTCGGGTGGTCGCCAAAGACGGGATCGTCCACAGAGCGCTTCCGCCGCGTCATATACGCCCCAGCGACCCCGCTATCAGTCACAGGAGACCTCGTCCAGGGGGAGGTCGGATCACAAACCTGGATCAGACTGGGGCCAAACCGGAGCAGCAAGCCGAGACACGCCGAGAAAGGACGGCGGAAATCCTGGGAAGCGTAACGACTTCTCATCCCGAGCCTTCAAATCAGACCAGGTATGTATTCCACGACTATAATTACCCAAACAAAGTGGACTGATAGAGGGCGCTGTCTATACTATTGTGTTGGTACACGCCGAAGTAAGCTGTGCTGTATTATATGAATTTGATGGAACATCGTGTCACGGTAATAATATTTTTATGTACAGTTTTAAGAGAAAGTCAACAGCCTCTTTCAATTGAAAAAAAAAATTGTCCATAAGCTATAGTGGTGGTATGCTGCTTCTACCTCATCTTTGGATTAAAACTGCTAATGTCCATTCTAAACTTGCGTTGTATTTCGCTGGAGATCGTCATGCAGGCGTCATAATACTTTTACCATTAAACCACATGATTGTGTGTCTTGAGTTTTATTTTTTCCGGAACAAATTGCTATTCGTTTATTTTCGGTCGATTAATTGAAAAATTGGCCCGATAAACCGCTTGCGCTGTTGTAACACCAAAAAATTAAGGTTTTTATGTTAATTTAATGCTCATTTTTACGTTCATTTGTAAGTTCCATTTCGTCAAACTTTTAAGTCTTAACCACCTTCACAGGAGAAGCAAGGCACTCGGCCAAAAAGCGAAAGCCGACCCGACAGGAGTGCAGCGGAGAGCGACACAGCAGCGGCTGATGGCGAAGGCGAAAAATGTTCCAGCGGGTTTGTCTCATCGTCAGAGAAGGTAAACAAGATAAAACTGTCATATAGCGAGATTCGTTGAAACCTGGGGTTCAACCTCGGTAGATTTCAGTACCCAAATCTTTGAGGAATTCGAGCTAAAAGGCTCGCTAAAAGACAAAATTTCCCAAAAAAGTGTCCGTCTGACTGTTTTGAAAATAACTACAAAACCATGAAGTCAATTTTGAATTTTTTGATCGTGCAGATACTTCTTAAATATCCTTGGCCCCTATGAAATTCATTTAATTTCAGTCACGCATTACTATACACAATGTTGATTGATCACAACAACAGTTTTGACACAGTAACCAAGTTCCTTGTATTAATCAATTTCAGTGCTGTGTTATAAGCTGCATAAAATCCTGCAAAATAGTCAGACGGACACTGTTTCGGGTGGGACATACTTTTTTTGGTTTGGAATACTACAATCTTTTTTAGGTAACAGATACTAGGTCGAAACTCAAACTGGAATCGAGTCCCGGGTTTTTGGAAAATGAAATTCAAATATAGATTTCATGATTGCTGTACAAGGGCACAAAAGTGTGACAATGTCAATCTCGGGAGCTGCTGAGAATAAGAAAGTTTTGCCTTTTCGAAAATTGATACCTATCCATTCAAAGTTCAATGTGCTTATACTAATATTCCGGACCTCCCAACGACAAATCGAAAATAACATAAAGAAACGTTTTCTGTTCTTCCATTCCAGGGCCAACCCATCAGGCAAAAACCTAAAAAGGCGCCCGCTTTTGTCATCCAAAAGGTATGTTTGTGACGCTTAAGTAATCACTTGTAAGGGCAACCACCCGAGAGGCAATTTTTTGCAGGCTTTAAGAGGGTTTTTTTGACAAAAAAGACGTTGCAAGGGGAACAGATAAAAACAACTCATTGCTGATTTTCACTGTTGCATTGTGTCACCTCAATTTGAAGTGAAAAAAAGTTGCTCGTCTGAGACCAATAGAGTGTTTCAGTTGCGCATCAAGCGGTTTTTTCTTTTCTTGGGGGCGGGGAGAAAGGGACAACTTCTCCCAATCACCATGCAGCGACAATTTGCCAACTGGTTATTTTTCTTCTCATCTTTTTTTTTAGGAAATCAAAGCGCCAGCACCTTCTAACTCTTTATAGGAACGATTTTTCCCCCAGAAAAATTACACACGTTTTGCCCATGGACCGCAAACCTTAATACCCCGTTGGATCAGTTGGTGATGTTCTTCAATGTGTGTATTCCATTTTTTTTTCAAGCAAAAGACAATGACTAAGAAGCAGTTGATAGCGCAGCAGAGCAGACGACAGAAAGAAGCCAACGAAATCGGCAAGGAACTGCGCGCTAAGGCCGAAGCCAACTTGAAGCTGAGAGAAGAACTGAAGACCAAGACTAAGTAGCAAAAGAAAACGCTGTTGCCTATAAGTTCCCTCCACACATTGGTGGGCAGTGGGCGAAGACGATTCTTTTTGTGTCCAGTTTCAAGCAAAATCAAGACAACCCTAACCTTGTTACAGCCGGAGACATGGAAGGCCCCCCCCTTCGAAGTATCGCATTCGACTTTTTTTTCACAATAAAACAACGCCCCTTGAACGAAGATTGGAACCGCCAGCTTAGGGCTAGATAACTGGTGGCGCAGCGGAACGGCAATCCGAAGGTTGCAGGTTTGAAACCCCCTTAGTCAATTCCTTTATTCTACTTTAAAATGAAAATACCTTTTGCTGTTGGTGAGGAAAACTAGTACCGGTTTTATTACATTGCGAAAACTCTTTTTAATTTTGTATAACCTTTCCAAATGATCAGCTTTATTAAAGCAGCGCTTCTAGAAAAAAATGATTTTCTTTTACGCTGTACTTACATTAAATTTTTGTTAATGCTACGAGCTGTCGAAGTTTGTTTTGAATCGAGCCTGCCATATTTATATGCTTTATTTGTTTTAGTAAATTGCAATGCAGAAAAAAAACGTCAGGGCAGCAGTGGCATTGCTACCGGGGAGGGGAGGAGGGCACGGGACAAGTGCCGCCAGCGGATGTCCATGCCCCCGGATGCCCCCCTCCTCCAACTGGAATCTTGAATTTAACAAAAAATATGTATTACTTGCTTTCAAGTATTCCCTCGAAAAAAATCGCACCCCCAGGTTCCCCTCAGACTTTTAACCTCGTAGTTAATTATGCCACTTAAGGGCACTAAGAAAAGTTCCTCGATTGCTTATACCAAATCAATCTTTGCAACAGTCTTTAGTTGTCACGTACTTGGTTGTGTTTTAATGTAAACTTAATTTTTATTGTAAATTTAACAATTTATCCATTCATTTCTGGCGCTTGCGTTATTGATGATGTATAAAATAAATGTGAACAAGAAAATCATAATAATATATAATAATAGGAAAACTCCAAAAGGTCCATTTGATACTATGCCTCAATATATAAGTCTATACTTGTCGACTTGATTAATATCTTAAGGATGAATATTTATTTTCTGTGAGGTTGAAGAGGAACCATTAGCCACCCGCTTACAACTCGCTATTGGTTTGACTTTAGTTTTTAGATACCTCATATGCGTTGAAGTATTAAACTGGTATGAAACAGCTTCGTATAGTTGAGCTTATACACCATATTACAACACTAAAATCGCAAGTTATTGGTAATGATATAAGTATAGGTTTTAATGCTATGCAGAACACATCAGGAATTCCCATTGTCATTTGTATTAACTCGGTAAACTGTAGCACTCCTGCGTTATACATTTCACTGTATACGATTTAAGCCGGTTGGTATAGATATACGTGTAGCTTATAAAGTGTTATCCCTGTCCTGTTGAAGAGCTAGATGTCTTATCAGTCATAACTTTGAGGCTCACCATTGTATTGTATCGCTCTGCATATTTATTTACGACATATGTTATTATCCAATGCCTGATAAATCCCCGTCATCTGATTGGTGGGACCTTGATCACATGTCATTGAATAAATCGTACCAACCCACGACCCGGTCGCACTGCAAAAATAGAAGTTCTATTCCACGATAAAAAAAAGTTCCATTTGCACGCTCACACTATTGGTTGCGGCTCTGACCAATCAGGTGACGAAATCTATTTAAGTGTTGTATAAAACAAATAATGTTTCACATTCGTGCAATGGAAAGAATAATTTCATTCGGTGACAGGTGGAATGTTCCATTACACTCTGCTTAGCCTCGTGGTGTGGAACATCCATCTGTCACCTCATGACATTATTCTTACCAGTGCACTCATAAACATTCATTATTTGTATATTGGTAAATTATATCACGTACATGCCTATACGTAAAAGATAATACGAAAGTTATATTTTGTTATGTTATGGGCTGCTGGTGTAAATAAACTTTTGGGTAAATCGAAAAAAAATATTAAAGAGTCATTTGAATGTGATTTTGAGGTCAGCGAGCTTGTAATTACCGGAATAGTTTCTTGTATTTGAACATCAATAAACAGCAGCTCACTAAGAGGACGTTGAGAAAAAAGAGTTTGCACTGGATTTTAAAATCCATATTATTGTGATTGAAATTCGCAAATTGTATTTACCTTTCGAAGGCTAAAAGTCACATGTAAATATATAAACCCTATTTACTGTCCCATGGAAGAGCAAATATGAGAAACAAATTACAAGTGTTCTACTACGGGGCTCGAACAATGGCGTAGGTATGGTAACATTTGGCAGCACTGGGGAGAGAATGCAGGTCTCATTTTGAAGGCGGGCACTCCATTGGTTGCAAAGACCAAAACATCAAATTCTGAGCCGGGGACAATTTATATGTCAAAGGTCAAATAATTATCAACCATTTATTCGAGAATTGTTGCCGATTTATGTCATAATTTAATAGGGATAGGTCCTATACACTTTTACTCAAGTGAAAGGTTATCTGGCTTCACTTCTATCAGTAAAATTAGTAACGTTCAGTGTAAGTAGGCATAACGCCTTTTCTGTTTCATCGCTTTACTGTTCCAATGCCTGATTGGCTAGCTCTAACAAATCAATGCAATCTGATTGGTCAGTGATCGAAGGTGAGTCCGGTACCGTGCAGCTTCTCCTTAATGAGGGCGTCCATGGCTTCGTTCTGCGCCACAGTGAAGTGGGTCTTCCAACTCCCACTTTTACCTAAAATTAAAAAAGGACAACAAAAGTAGAGCTATATGCTGAGAAACGGTGACGTCACATCCTCCCCGGGTCAGGCTCACTTCCTACATCAGTTCACGTGCATTCCTAAACGATACATTACACGAACGGTGTAGTGCACATCCTACTTTGAACAACTTGGCACCTGAAAATGGTTCACTATACCTTTCAGCAGATTGTCACCACACCATTTACAACCACAGTGGTGCTTATTTTCAATTCACAGAGGAGAATCAAACCAATTTTGAAACGGATTCACAACAGCTTTAGCAAAACCACTGTGTTCACTGGTTCTGGCATGTTAACATTAGCGATACACAACCTCTTTTGTTACGCATGCACTAGGTTATTATTCTTTTAAATTATTGTCCAATGGTTGCTTTTTACGTTTTGTCGTATCAAATTGAAAAGAAAAAAATATAATATTCGGTTCCTTCGATCGCATCAATAGATGTTTTTGTTCCTGTTTAGTGTTTGAGGAAACCTGAATAATTTCACTTTTCGAAAACCCTATATTTTTAACACATTTTATTTGATATTTTTGGCGAAGAATAAAAATTACCATGTTGGTACCCCGACCTCTCTATTTTAAAATAAATTAATGTTTATGACTGAGGGGCTTGGTTGTTTTTGTTTGGACCTTTCTACTTTGTGTGACTGTTTTGATCGCTTTTTGGGGCTAGGGAGAACTTTTGGAAAATTCACCTTTCCGCATAAAGGAACAGCCAGGTCTCTCGTCGGTTGAAAGTAAGTAGTCAGGATTGGTCATAGGGTTGCTCTTCATGTTGTCGAATGAGCAATGCTCCGTGATGTCATCCAGTGTCTTGGCAGACAGAGCCTTGCCCAGAAACCGACTGATTATCTCCACGTTTCCTCGCAGATCCTGCATTCAAAATGGATATTACACGTCCGTTGATTAGTCACAGTTTGGAAGTCGAGAGGTGGTTGTCTTGCACAAGTGGCAGATCAAGGATTTGCTCATGAGAAGATTTGTTTCTGGCTGCTAGGCCTGGAGTGGTCACCACTGTCTCTTCCCCGTATAGATCCGCAAATGTTGTGCAAACGCCAGGTCTGAACGCATATCATGGAATAGATATATTACAAACCAGATGCTATTAATGAAGGGTACCAATCCCATCCTAACGTGTGTGTAGAAAAATGCTTTATGCCTCTGGCCCTGCTAAGGAGGTAAGTTTGTGTCACTTCGTGAAAACAGAAAAACACAGATTTTAGGCATTTTGTCAAATGTTTGTTTACGATAATTACAAAAGTAAACAATATTTCGCTTTGAAACTCAGTTATATTCGTCCTTTTTCAAATGCAATAAATTGGTCGGCAAAACTCATTTTCGATTGTGGAGGTTTTTGTCACTTCGTGAAAACATCGTCGAATAATTTCTCGTATGGTGCACTATTAAAGTAAACGTTAGTTATTCCTTAAACATGTAAAAGCAAACACTCACTCTTTTCAAATCTTCAAACCGTAGCAACAGAACGTTGGGTTGGTGCCTTCTCTTCCAAAAGTACAAGTAGTGGTCCCACCATGATCCTTCACTTGCTTTGAACAAACAACCAAACAATGCAATGTCGTAAATGTCGTTTTTTTGTATCTGCCAAGAGAGCGTATTCAGTTCCATGTGCATCCTACTGCAGGTTTATTCGGATTGTTATTATATCATGACACGTAAGGTGTCGGGAGCAATCAATGATATTATTTTAGGTCAACAACATCATCAGCTACGTGTTAACCATGAAACATTATGGAAGCCTTATTGTTTCACCAAATAAATGACTTCAGGGATATTGTATGGCCTAATAGCAATTCGAGATTGAGCAATATGAGTAATTATGGAAACTGAAGGTTGATCATTTTTTATCCATGTGGTGTCAAGGTCGCTTCCAATTCACATGAGCCAAATGACATTGGTATAGCGAACTGTCACAAAACGTAACAGGCCTCGATACTTACTTAATCGATATTTTACCATGCGAGTGTCTTGCATCAAAAGTGGTGATAGCTACCTCGACTGAGGTCTTAATGATCTGATGATTTTTTTTTCTCAGAGGTATCGCAGTTCTGACAATCGGGAACGATACAGCGAGCGGGCACAGCCTGCGAGCAACCGCGGTACCACAGGAGGGCGCTACCAACAGACTCGTCCCCAAGTACACACTCCGGTAAGAATCCCAGAAATAAAATCCACTGGACAAAATCTTTCAACTTGGCCACGGAAACCTGTACATGCATAGCATTTTTCTTATTTCTTACGGAATTGTATGTAAATTTTAAAGACCCATTAGAAACTTAAGCCATCACACTGAAAAATTGCCTGGGTTAATTTTACCAAAGCAAGGTGAAAAGTGCAACTACCCAAAATTGGGTTGTCCTTTACCCAATTGCGTGGGTTAGAATTTCTCTTACATTCAACCAAAACTTGTGGTTATACCAGACTAGATGTAATTTGGTCTTGTATGACCACATGTTTTTGTTGAGTTTAACAGAAATTCTAACCCAAAACAATTCGGTAAAGGACAGCCCAATTTTGGGTAGTTGCATCACCCTTGCTGGGGTAAAATTAACCCAGGCAAATTTTTCAGTGGCATTTGGACATTGCAGGACCTAAAAAGGCAATGCCATAAAAAAAGTCACTATTCTGGAAGTCGTACATCCAGTCTACACGTATATGATTAGATTAGATTAGGTTAGATTTCTTTATTGTCATGCTCAAAATTACATGAAAATTAATCCTATACGATAACACTGCCCACAGCTCACACGAGACATTAAGTTAGTCACTCATTGAGATAGGTACAAAAATGATATTAGGCTGGCCCACTGGGACCAGCACGAAATAATAACTACCTTTAAGAAGAAATGTACGTTTCTTTGCGCCACAAAAGGTTCGCCTTTATACTTACGACCTGCCGGCCGGCCTTTATTCTTTGAGTGTGGTACCCAGACTCACAATAATATTGCTTTCACAAACCTCGTGATTAAAGGTAACTGTATTCACAGTTTCGGGTGGAACTGTTTACCGCACGTACACTTTGAGACCAACTCTGTCTCATTGGAAGTTATAGACATCAACAATAGTCCGCCAGCTCCTTTCAATTGGGTTGCAGACCAGTAAATATACTGCCATAGACCTCAGTGATAATTACGAGCACTTCCAAAAAATCATTATAAATGCTCACAACTCTCCAAGGTGTTTTGAGACACAAATAAAATTAAAGGTTATTTCATCATGTTTCATTTTCTGTTAAATTTGTTGTAGTTAAATAATATTTTGGGGGGAAAAATCCGTCCAAAGATGATAACCATTAAAAGTAGTCCTGAAAAAGGACGCCTACGCTCCATTGCAAAATAAAGCAATTTTAGGGCTTAATTTCATCCGAATTCACAGAAATACGATCTCACAGTCCCCTGCATGGCTTTCACCCCTCTGTTTTCCTTTCGTTCACAAACCCTCAAGTTCATGCCCCCAAAATGGTCTAATACCGGAGGATTTCAGGGCATGCAAATCGTGATTTTCCTGGCGTTGTCAATTTTGGGCCTATTTACTGGCCTGCACCGCGCGATGGATATGATGGATGGGATCGACAAGCTTGGTTTGTTCCTGAATCGAATGCTTCTTTCATATCCAGTCGGGTGGTCGCCAAAGACGGGATCGTCCACAGAGCGCTTCCGCCGCGTCATATACGCCCCAGCGACCCCGCTATCAGTCACAGGAGACCTCGTCCAGGGGGAGGTCGGATCACAAACCTGGATCAGACTGGGGCCAAACCGGAGCAGCAAGCCGAGACACGCCGAGAAAGGACGGCGGAAATCCTGGGAAGCGTAACGACTTCTCATCCCGAGCCTTCAAATCAGACCAGGTATGTATTCCACGACTATAATTACCCAAACAAAGTGGACTGATAGAGGGCGCTGTCTATACTATTGTGTTGGTACACGCCGAAGTAAGCTGTGCTGTATTATATGAATTTGATGGAACATCGTGTCACGGTAATAATATTTTTATGTACAGTTTTAAGAGAAAGTCAACAGCCTCTTTCAATTGAAAAAAAAAATTGTCCATAAGCTATAGTGGTGGTATGCTGCTTCTACCTCATCTTTGGATTAAAACTGCTAATGTCCATTCTAAACTTGCGTTGTATTTCGCTGGAGATCGTCATGCAGGCGTCATAATACTTTTACCATTAAACCACATGATTGTGTGTCTTGAGTTTTATTTTTTCCGGAACAAATTGCTATTCGTTTATTTTCGGTCGATTAATTGAAAAATTGGCCCGATAAACCGCTTGCGCTGTTGTAACACCAAAAAATTAAGGTTTTTATGTTAATTTAATGCTCATTTTTACGTTCATTTGTAAGTTCCATTTCGTCAAACTTTTAAGTCTTAACCACCTTCACAGGAGAAGCAAGGCACTCGGCCAAAAAGCGAAAGCCGACCCGACAGGAGTGCAGCGGAGAGCGACACAGCAGCGGCTGATGGCGAAGGCGAAAAATGTTCCAGCGGGTTTGTCTCATCGTCAGAGAAGGTAAACAAGATAAAACTGTCATATAGCGAGATTCGTTGAAACCTGGGGTTCAACCTCGGTAGATTTCAGTACCCAAATCTTTGAGGAATTCGAGCTAAAAGGCTCGCTAAAAGACAAAATTTCCCAAAAAAGTGTCCGTCTGACTGTTTTGAAAATAACTACAAAACCATGAAGTCAATTTTGAATTTTTTGATCGTGCAGATACTTCTTAAATATCCTTGGCCCCTATGAAATTCATTTAATTTCAGTCACGCATTACTATACACAATGTTGATTGATCACAACAACAGTTTTGACACAGTAACCAAGTTCCTTGTATTAATCAATTTCAGTGCTGTGTTATAAGCTGCATAAAATCCTGCAAAATAGTCAGACGGACACTGTTTCGGGTGGGACATACTTTTTTTGGTTTGGAATACTACAATCTTTTTTAGGTAACAGATACTAGGTCGAAACTCAAACTGGAATCGAGTCCCGGGTTTTTGGAAAATGAAATTCAAATATAGATTTCATGATTGCTGTACAAGGGCACAAAAGTGTGACAATGTCAATCTCGGGAGCTGCTGAGAATAAGAAAGTTTTGCCTTTTCGAAAATTGATACCTATCCATTCAAAGTTCAATGTGCTTATACTAATATTCCGGACCTCCCAACGACAAATCGAAAATAACATAAAGAAACGTTTTCTGTTCTTCCATTCCAGGGCCAACCCATCAGGCAAAAACCTAAAAAGGCGCCCGCTTTTGTCATCCAAAAGGTATGTTTGTGACGCTTAAGTAATCACTTGTAAGGGCAACCACCCGAGAGGCAATTTTTTGCAGGCTTTAAGAGGGTTTTTTTGACAAAAAAGACGTTGCAAGGGGAACAGATAAAAACAACTCATTGCTGATTTTCACTGTTGCATTGTGTCACCTCAATTTGAAGTGAAAAAAAGTTGCTCGTCTGAGACCAATAGAGTGTTTCAGTTGCGCATCAAGCGGTTTTTTCTTTTCTTGGGGGCGGGGAGAAAGGGACAACTTCTCCCAATCACCATGCAGCGACAATTTGCCAACTGGTTATTTTTCTTCTCATCTTTTTTTTTAGGAAATCAAAGCGCCAGCACCTTCTAACTCTTTATAGGAACGATTTTTCCCCCAGAAAAATTACACACGTTTTGCCCATGGACCGCAAACCTTAATACCCCGTTGGATCAGTTGGTGATGTTCTTCAATGTGTGTATTCCATTTTTTTTTCAAGCAAAAGACAATGACTAAGAAGCAGTTGATAGCGCAGCAGAGCAGACGACAGAAAGAAGCCAACGAAATCGGCAAGGAACTGCGCGCTAAGGCCGAAGCCAACTTGAAGCTGAGAGAAGAACTGAAGACCAAGACTAAGTAGCAAAAGAAAACGCTGTTGCCTATAAGTTCCCTCCACACATTGGTGGGCAGTGGGCGAAGACGATTCTTTTTGTGTCCAGTTTCAAGCAAAATCAAGACAACCCTAACCTTGTTACAGCCGGAGACATGGAAGGCCCCCCCCCTTCGAAGTATCGCATTCGACTTTTTTTTCACAATAAAACAACGCCCCTTGAACGAAGATTGGAACCGCCAGCTTAGGGCTAGATAACTGGTGGCGCAGCGGAACGGCAATCCGAAGGTTGCAGGTTTGAAACCCCCTTAGTCAATTCCTTTATTCTACTTTAAAATGAAAATACCTTTTGCTGTTGGTGAGGAAAACTAGTACCGGTTTTATTACATTGCGAAAACTCTTTTTAATTTTGTATAACCTTTCCAAATGATCAGCTTTATTAAAGCAGCGCTTCTAGAAAAAAATGATTTTCTTTTACGCTGTACTTACATTAAATTTTTGTTAATGCTACGAGCTGTCGAAGTTTGTTTTGAATCGAGCCTGCCATATTTATATGCTTTATTTGTTTTAGTAAATTGCAATGCAGAAAAAAAACGTCAGGGCAGCAGTGGCATTGCTACCGGGGAGGGGAGGAGGGCACGGGACAAGTGCCGCCAGCGGATGTCCATGCCCCCGGATGCCCCCCTCCTCCAACTGGAATCTTGAATTTAACAAAAAATATGTATTACTTGCTTTCAAGTATTCCCTCGAAAAAAATCGCACCCCCAGGTTCCCCTCAGACTTTTAACCTCGTAGTTAATTATGCCACTTAAGGGCACTAAGAAAAGTTCCTCGATTGCTTATACCAAATCAATCTTTGCAACAGTCTTTAGTTGTCACGTACTTGGTTGTGTTTTAATGTAAACTTAATTTTTATTGTAAATTTAACAATTTATCCATTCATTTCTGGCGCTTGCGTTATTGATGATGTATAAAATAAATGTGAACAAGAAAATCATAATAATATATAATAATAGGAAAACTCCAAAAGGTCCATTTGATACTATGCCTCAATATATAAGTCTATACTTGTCGACTTGATTAATATCTTAAGGATGAATATTTATTTTCTGTGAGGTTGAAGAGGAACCATTAGCCACCCGCTTACAACTCGCTATTGGTTTGACTTTAGTTTTTAGATACCTCATATGCGTTGAAGTATTAAACTGGTATGAAACAGCTTCGTATAGTTGAGCTTATACACCATATTACAACACTAAAATCGCAAGTTATTGGTAATGATATAAGTATAGGTTTTAATGCTATGCAGAACACATCAGGAATTCCCATTGTCATTTGTATTAACTCGGTAAACTGTAGCACTCCTGCGTTATACATTTCACTGTATACGATTTAAGCCGGTTGGTATAGATATACGTGTAGCTTATAAAGTGTTATCCCTGTCCTGTTGAAGAGCTAGATGTCTTATCAGTCATAACTTTGAGGCTCACCATTGTATTGTATCGCTCTGCATATTTATTTACGACATATGTTATTATCCAATGCCTGATAAATCCCCGTCATCTGATTGGTGGGACCTTGATCACATGTCATTGAATAAATCGTACCAACCCACGACCCGGTCGCACTGCAAAAATAGAAGTTCTATTCCACGATAAAAAAAAGTTCCATTTGCACGCTCACACTATTGGTTGCGGCTCTGACCAATCAGGTGACGAAATCTATTTAAGTGTTGTATAAAACAAATAATGTTTCACATTCGTGCAATGGAAAGAATAATTTCATTCGGTGACAGGTGGAATGTTCCATTACACTCTGCTTAGCCTCGTGGTGTGGAACATCCATCTGTCACCTCATGACATTATTCTTACCAGTGCACTCATAAACATTCATTATTTGTATATTGGTAAATTATATCACGTACATGCCTATACGTAAAAGATAATACGAAAGTTATATTTTGTTATGTTATGGGCTGCTGGTGTAAATAAACTTTTGGGTAAATCGAAAAAAAATATTAAAGAGTCATTTGAATGTGATTTTGAGGTCAGCGAGCTTGTAATTACCGGAATAGTTTCTTGTATTTGAACATCAATAAACAGCAGCTCACTAAGAGGACGTTGAGAAAAAAGAGTTTGCACTGGATTTTAAAATCCATATTATTGTGATTGAAATTCGCAAATTGTATTTACCTTTCGAAGGCTAAAAGTCACATGTAAATATATAAACCCTATTTACTGTCCCATGGAAGAGCAAATATGAGAAACAAATTACAAGTGTTCTACTACGGGGCTCGAACAATGGCGTAGGTATGGTAACATTTGGCAGCACTGGGGAGAGAATGCAGGTCTCATTTTGAAGGCGGGCACTCCATTGGTTGCAAAGACCAAAACATCAAATTCTGAGCCGGGGACAATTTATATGTCAAAGGTCAAATAATTATCAACCATTTATTCGAGAATTGTTGCCGATTTATGTCATAATTTAATAGGGATAGGTCCTATACACTTTTACTCAAGTGAAAGGTTATCTGGCTTCACTTCTATCAGTAAAATTAGTAACGTTCAGTGTAAGTAGGCATAACGCCTTTTCTGTTTCATCGCTTTACTGTTCCAATGCCTGATTGGCTAGCTCTAACAAATCAATGCAATCTGATTGGTCAGTGATCGAAGGTGAGTCCGGTACCGTGCAGCTTCTCCTTAATGAGGGCGTCCATGGCTTCGTTCTGCGCCACAGTGAAGTGGGTCTTCCAACTCCCACTTTTACCTAAAATTAAAAAAGGACAACAAAAGTAGAGCTATATGCTGAGAAACGGTGACGTCACATCCTCCCCGGGTCAGGCTCACTTCCTACATCAGTTCACGTGCATTCCTAAACGATACATTACACGAACGGTGTAGTGCACATCCTACTTTGAACAACTTGGCACCTGAAAATGGTTCACTATACCTTTCAGCAGATTGTCACCACACCATTTACAACCACAGTGGTGCTTATTTTCAATTCACAGAGGAGAATCAAACCAATTTTGAAACGGATTCACAACAGCTTTAGCAAAACCACTGTGTTCACTGGTTCTGGCATGTTAACATTAGCGATACACAACCTCTTTTGTTACGCATGCACTAGGTTATTATTCTTTTAAATTATTGTCCAATGGTTGCTTTTTACGTTTTGTCGTATCAAATTGAAAAGAAAAAAATATAATATTCGGTTCCTTCGATCGCATCAATAGATGTTTTTGTTCCTGTTTAGTGTTTGAGGAAACCTGAATAATTTCACTTTTCGAAAACCCTATATTTTTAACACATTTTATTTGATATTTTTGGCGAAGAATAAAAATTACCATGTTGGTACCCCGACCTCTCTATTTTAAAATAAATTAATGTTTATGACTGAGGGGCTTGGTTGTTTTTGTTTGGACCTTTCTACTTTGTGTGACTGTTTTGATCGCTTTTTGGGGCTAGGGAGAACTTTTGGAAAATTCACCTTTCCGCATAAAGGAACAGCCAGGTCTCTCGTCGGTTGAAAGTAAGTAGTCAGGATTGGTCATAGGGTTGCTCTTCATGTTGTCGAATGAGCAATGCTCCGTGATGTCATCCAGTGTCTTGGCAGACAGAGCCTTGCCCAGAAACCGACTGATTATCTCCACGTTTCCTCGCAGATCCTGCATTCAAAATGGATATTACACGTCCGTTGATTAGTCACAGTTTGGAAGTCGAGAGGTGGTTGTCTTGCACAAGTGGCAGATCAAGGATTTGCTCATGAGAAGATTTGTTTCTGGCTGCTAGGCCTGGAGTGGTCACCACTGTCTCTTCCCCGTATAGATCCGCAAATGTTGTGCAAACGCCAGGTCTGAACGCATATCATGGAATAGATATATTACAAACCAGATGCTATTAATGAAGGGTACCAATCCCATCCTAACGTGTGTGTAGAAAAATGCTTTATGCCTCTGGCCCTGCTAAGGAGGTAAGTTTGTGTCACTTCGTGAAAACAGAAAAACACAGATTTTAGGCATTTTGTCAAATGTTTGTTTACGATAATTACAAAAGTAAACAATATTTCGCTTTGAAACTCAGTTATATTCGTCCTTTTTCAAATGCAATAAATTGGTCGGCAAAACTCATTTTCGATTGTGGAGGTTTTTGTCACTTCGTGAAAACATCGTCGAATAATTTCTCGTATGGTGCACTATTAAAGTAAACGTTAGTTATTCCTTAAACATGTAAAAGCAAACACTCACTCTTTTCAAATCTTCAAACCGTAGCAACAGAACGTTGGGTTGGTGCCTTCTCTTCCAAAAGTACAAGTAGTGGTCCCACCATGATCCTTCACTTGCTTTGAACAAACAACCAAACAATGCAATGTCGTAAATGTCGTTTTTTTGTATCTGCCAAGAGAGCGTATTCAGTTCCATGTGCATCCTACTGCAGGTTTATTCGGATTGTTATTATATCATGACACGTAAGGTGTCGGGAGCAATCAATGATATTATTTTAGGTCAACAACATCATCAGCTACGTGTTAACCATGAAACATTATGGAAGCCTTATTGTTTCACCAAATAACTGAGATAATATTTTACCTTTGTTTGAGTTTCTGTATTCTAAATACTCCTCAAAAGGTAGTCCTGCTCCGTTCAAATTCAACAGGTTCTCGAAGTAGAAATAAGACACCATTAAGTCCTTTGGGTTGCGGATGACGTAGACGATCTTGGCTTTCTTGGTCCAGATTTGTAGAGGCAGGAGCTGGCCAGGAAGGTGGGACTTGATGACTCTGGGAGAAGGCATCTCGTCCGCTATTCTGTGAGTCGGTGGAAGCTGTGGAGAATAGAAATCCATTGAAAGTCTTTTTGTCGATGGCACATTAATTAAGCTACTGAGGCAGGGTGGCTGCTTGGATAAGAGCAAAATTTAATATTCTTCACATAATACTGATTGGCATGCAGTTAATCTGCGTGGAAACCTACATTATTTGCACCTAATAACATCTGCAACGAAGTTAACTTAAAATCTGACGTAATTAGAGGTGTCAGTATTTGGCATTTTGTCCGTGTTATGCAAAGTCCCGAAACAACAACACACTATGAAAGCAGCAATCTATGGATTGGGTTGGAGCCATACACCTACGTTTTTGAGGCGCCTTATTTCCTCGGGCATACTGTGCTCCAGAAACGGCACCTGCATCTTAGTGTGTGTCTTGTTGACTTCCTGCAAGTTCCCATCATGCATTGCGCAAAACACGATCTCCTGGACCCACGTTGTACCTGTGAAATATAAAACAAGGCGAATAAACAATCCATGTCTTTGGTAAAGATGAAAAGGCCAGGAAATTAACAGTATAAGGCCAAAAAAAAAAAGTCGGTCTCTGGTCAGGGCGCGCGTCGATTTGAACCATGCGCGTCAACCTTTTTTTCCCAAAATGTTCCGCGGTAGCTCCAACAGCGCCCTCTATTGCCGCACCTCCTCAATTTTTTTTACCAAGGAGCACCAAAGAATGGGAAATTGCACCAAGGCAAATGATCGAAGGTACCGAGGCTAATTATAGAGGACACCAATGTACATGAGGACACCAAAAAAGCAAAATAGTACCTCACCTTGTCTGTACAATCCAAGCTTGAAAAAAAAAGCCGCGTCGTGGCATTAATTCCGGAACTTTGGTCTGACCAGAGACCGAGTATTTTTTTGACCTAACCTCTCCACCAATGAGCACTATTTCACAATTGTTTTCTGAATCTCCAGCCGAAAAAAAACCCACTTTTTTTTGGAAATCATCCTTCCCTAAAATCATCCTTTATCCAAGGTTACCTCGCTTTCTTATTTTAGATTTTGTTTTACCTGTTTGTTCTCTTAAAGGATGACTTCAAAAATAATCCAACTGAACATGGATACGTGCCTACTGATTCAATTTGAAAAAAACAAAACATTTTCAAAGTGAATAAAAGGATGGTTTTAAATGCCCTCGGAACTGGTGGATTTATTTGACTTCATATGGTATCGATCGGAGATGGTTTTTAAAAAGTGTGCAGCTGATCGCAAATATTCTTTTTTTCCGCAACCAGTAGTCAATTACTATAATACTCATGCGTGGCACATATCAAGAGTCATGAATAAATATTTCACATGATTTGAAATAACTTCTTAATCCGGAATTTCACGTTTTCATTTTTTTTTCTGCAAAATGAAATTTTCTATTGTGTTTAATCAAGTCCGTTTGACAGATAAAATAAAATCAACGGTGTTTTTTTCTCCAATGGCTCTAGATGATTTGTTTCAAGGCCAAGCTAAGTCCGAGAATAATTCCGTTACCAACTGACGCAGTGGCCATTAGATATACAAGCGCGGCCAAGCTGTCACATTGGTGGATAGTGACAAGATAAATCGACTGTCTTATAGGAACTTCGCACCGGCCCAATATTCCGAGCATATATCTCACAAGCTTTCCGGCCGGATTGCGCACGGAGCCGGTGAGGCATATACAGAGTGGCACCACACAAAAGCGGAACTGCATACTTCCACTACCTTGAGACTCAAACCACCCATACCAACGGACGGAGAATCTTTTCAGAAGAAAATTGATACGAAGATATCCCATTCGGTACAGTGTTTTTGCTCCAGAGCAAAACTACTGGACCGAATTGGGCTATCTTGGTATCACTAATTTTCGTTTAACAGAATTACATTGGTATAGTCTGTTTGTATAGCCTTTTGGGGGGGGGGGGCACCCTGTATAAGACTATGCTCGGAATTCCTTGGGTCTCAGGGCAAACATACCCGAAAAATGGATTGGTCTATGATTGTTGATAGTGTTCTCTACCACAGCGGCGGCTTGCCTTGCATGCTATCGGTCGACATCCGGCATTTGGGGAGCAATTAACGTACAAACTACCAGTTTTTGGACCAAGACTGTATAGGCCTAGTTACCCACCTGCTTTTGGGTAAGAGATGATCCAACAGTCGTCGGCTCTGACCTCGAATGACCTGAGCTCATCCATCATTTCACAAATGCCGGAATCTAGCTGCACTCCTTCGTACTCGCCCAACGTGTGCGGATGCTCGTCTGTGAACACTTTCTTTCTCAACTCTCGATCTACAAGCAACGTGGGAAATAATTACGATGTAAATTATGTAGTTGAAAGCCCTCCTCCCTGTGATTTTATGGAGGCTTGGTGACCGGTGGAAAATACCATATCTACCTTTCAGTACAGCTAGATGATTTTGTCGGCAATGTATTATTAATTGTTACACCTCCCCCCCCCCCCCCATTCAAAAATGGTCTAGCGACGCTCAGTGTGCCGCTTAACGAGTCGACCCCACAATCAAAAATGACCTTGCTACCATTATGGTTCTACCTTGACAAACCAGACTGACTGACCGAAAAAGTCAACTATTAAACTGGGTAAGTACGTAAATAGAAAAAAACAAAATGAACGGACAATGAAAGATATCTCAGCCAAGATTCAGTTTGTTTAATTTTCATAAATTATGTATATATTTTTAAAAAAAAAACACACCAAAAACATATCTGCAGTGAAAACCAAATCCAATCGTATATTTGTGGATGATTGTTGTCCACACTATAATTCTAGATGGATCATAAATCTCTGACTCGAGCACAGCTGTCGATCGGATATAATTATAATGAAGAATAATTTCTGCATGTGCTGTAAAAAAAACATGAATAGAGTGTAGAAAATTGCTCGTTACGATGGGAACAAGATCGACTGTACTTACATTCTTCCATGGTGACATACTTGTCCATTATGGCTCAAACTGAACGTATGGACGTGTGGCGATGAAAGATGAGCGTAAGCACAATATTCGTCAAAGGCAGCCCACTTGTGCAACGATAGCCACAATAGGGTTGATCACATATGCTCATCCGTGCGCTATACAAAACAGCGGAATTGCACTGGCAGAGCAATACTCATGCTTTATTGGTGTTTCATTCAGCACAGACCACGGTGAAAGTGCCAGTAAAATATAAACTGTTCATTTTGGTGAACGAAAGCTAAAACAAATGCGTTATGCTGTCATAAGCTTATGCCTAACGATCGTCGATCACGGCCTATACTCAATAATACCAAACACAAGAGGCATTGAAGCTGTTTACATGTATGTCGAATACTGGAATAGGAATAACCCAGCAAATCGCTCTGTCTGCCAAATGTGTTTCGCTCTGATCTTGTATACAATAACACGCCTATACGTGTAGTGTACATGACAACACAGGAACTCAGCACACAGCATAATTTAATGGGCACAGCTCATGGGAGGGCATAATAATAACACGAAGCTTGCCTTTCTACGGAATAACGAGACCGTTCAATTGCACTGGTTTGAGGGTGAATCTGACAATAGACTTTTTTTCAGAGTGAACTATGCACTGAGAAATTGCCTGGGTTAATTTTACCAAAGAAAGTGTGAAAACTGGAACTACCGTACCCAAACTTGGGTTGTTCTATAACTAATATTGTTTGGGTTAGAATTTCTGCTAAATTCAACAAAACTTGTTGTCATTCAAGACCAAATTTAATTTGATTTTGTATGACTACAACTTTTGGTTGAATTTAACATTTATTATAACCCAAACAATTGGTTATAGAACAACCCAAGTTTGGGTAGTTCCAGTTTTCACCCTTTTTTGGTAAAATTAACCCAGTCAATTTTTCAGTGTGGCACCTCCAGAGTGTACCAACCAACAACTCTAACATTATGTCGGAGCACACCACAATATAGGTCGCATATTTATTAAGGTCGAGCATTGTACCGCCAGCACTGAGTGTTGTGTATAAGCTATCACGCAACCCTTGTTACTGCATGCACACTCGAATGTGCATGCAGGCCTACATGTACATGCACATGTGTACATGTAGGCTATATCATTGAGTTGAGGGTTGTGTTCATGTTTTGCCACAGGATTAATATTTCTCTATACATATATACCTTACTTTATGCACAGGCTTTAAACTGACGTATGCTTCCATCGCCATGGACATGAACTGTCGAAGATTGTAAGTACACTTTAATTGTGTATATACATCCACAGAGGTTTGTTTCGAAAGCAGTATCTTAATTGTCAATTCCCTGAAAATCTTGGCCCGTTTTACTGTCTCATAATTTACTCCAGATTCCACGTTTACGTGTCATAATTAATGAAATCTTATTCTGTGTCAAAACCCTATTATATACAATATCGTTAATTCTGTCTGTTGCCTAAGATTTTGATATATTTTGAATGCACTTCCGTGTTTTTGCTATGAAGAATAAGAGTGCTGCATGTTCTTCGATAATCCTTGCGGATCAAAGACGGAGATTTAACGTATTTTTAATAGTCTAGCACGTTTGTTTTGGCTTGCAGTTCGAGAAATGATGAGGGAAATGTACACGGCCCAGCAACCGTACACGCTGGGTGAGTACGAAGGAGTCCCATTAATTCAAACATTTACAAAATCATGGACGAGCTGAGGTCATTTGAGGTCAGAGCCGACGACTGTTGGATCGTTACCTACCCAAAAGCAAGTGAGAACACCATGGGTGCACATTTTTCGGACATGCTATTTGGGTAGGGTGCAGCTATGATATATTTTTCGTATATTTATGTAGCGTTAACATTTATTTATATTGTATACCATGAGCGACATTTTCTAGGGCTGCCACAAGGGCAAACATTTATGCCGTAGTTGGCAATTAACAGATAATACCAGCAGTTTTACGTTACGTCTTTGCTACACAGCGATTGTTGAATATTTTGTACTTCCAGCAATCCAATGATATCATTGGAAACAAGAATATTATTTGTTTTTGCAACGTTGATCTTCAATAATTTGGCCAACCACGGGTAAGCAAGCAAACAGTCAATAAAATGTGTCAAACGGAGTGAATGGGCGGATTTACTTCCTTTGGAAAACCCAGAGCCAGGGAAAGAAAAGATGAATTCCGTCTTCTTCATTGAAAAGTTGGGTTTCATTGAACACAATAAAATGATGAGAGCTACGTGCTGAGCAAAACGTCATTCGAGGCCGTTTGCTCAGCACGTAGCTCGGGTTGACCGCACACGGTGGGTTTTTCACCTCGCTAGGCGAAAGAAATCAAACAGGATACATATTTACTTCACGGCTACGCGAGGCAGAAATCTCAGCAAAAATTCACCGTGCACACAGTCATGTGGTTGCTAAGGCAAAGCGTCTGCCATTGTTAAGCAAGGCTAATCCAATTACGTACTTAGACGCTATAGCAGAGCAGTGAAATTCATGCACCACAAAAACATAGCCTTTTGAACGTTGTGTTTCTCAGAAAATATGTAGAGAATGATTTAAATTTTAAATTATAACGAACGAAGAAATTCTAAACTTTATGTCAGTGAAAAAAAATCGCCGTCATCCATTCCGAAACGGCAGTACTGGTTACTGGTATAGCTGACCTTCAAGTCTGGAGGAAATCGTCCGAAAACTTCCCCAAATCTCTGTATTTATATCGTTTCTAGGAATTTCTCAAAATTGTTATTTCACGAGTAGTTGAACACTTATATCATACTAAGTATATTTCGAATTTTAGCTAAATATAGTTGTTGTAAACGCTAGTGTTACACTTTGAACCGTCTCCATGGAAAATTTCGACGACGATTTCTGCCGTCCCAACCCACATGCATTGTTCAGCAAAGCGTCTTTGGCGGTATGGTCGACCGATTTCGGCCAAGCCACACAATAACGTATTGTATAGTAACATATTCATTAGTGTCACTCAGCGTGTTTTGGCGTGGGTCTCGGTATCGACCAATGGAAGACGGCAAAAAGGGTGACATTTATCAATAAATAACTCGTGAAGGAGGTTTTTTTCAAATTTTTTACTGCACACCATAATGGAAAGGGACTTATTAATATTCGATGAGGCTTGAAAAGATGGACAGATATTGCAAACGTCAGTGTCAAAACTTTCAAAAATGCACGCGTAGCCACTCCTATTTTTCCAATTTCAACGAAAAGTGAAAAACATATCACAACGATTTTCAGCACATACTTGGATCATTAGTAGCGAAATCAATCCTGAAAGTTGCATTAAGATACGGTCTTCCAAACTGGAGAAATACATTTTCAAAGATTTCACCCGCCTACGCGAACGTGTCTGTGCACATGTAGTTTCATTCAAAATAAAGTGTTACGTAACCTTTAGAAATCGCCCTTCGCAACCACTAGACTGCGCAGGGATATTTTGTGAGTTACGTGCTGAACAAACGGTCTCGGATGACTTTTTGCATGCTCATGCAGCACGTATCTTTTTCAAGATTCTGCTAAAAACAGTACATTTAAAGGCAGAAATAGCGGTACACTTGCTATCAAATGATTCTAGGAAGGGACAAAAGAAAGGTATGAGAAGGGACAAAAGAAAGGTATCTTAACTTGCAACCAGGCACTCGAAAACTAATTAGGACGGTGACATTTTGAGCTCTAACATTGACATGATTTTGTTCTCCTTTTCACAGGCACAACTTGGGTTCAGGAGATCATGTCGGCCGTGATGCATGATGGGAACCTTGAAGAGGTCAACAAAAGCCACTCTATGCTCCGTGTGCCATATTTTGAGCAGAATTTCCCCGAGGAAGTAAGGCGGTTCAAAAACGTGAGTGTATACCTGCAAAAATTGAAATCTTGAACAAAAAAATGTATATATCACTTGCTTTTAAGTGTCCCCCTGAAAAAAAAATGTGCACTCCATGTTCCTTCAGCATTTTTAACCCTGTAGCTACGCTACTTCAGACCCCAAAGAAAAGTTCTTCAAATGTTGTATGCCAAATCCATCTTTGCAATAATCTATAGGTGTCACGTAATTGGTTGTGTTTAAATGAAATGTTGTCATTTTATTGTAAATTAATCAATGTATCCATCCGTTTCTGATGCTTGCGCTGTTGGATGGTGGATGAAATAAATGTAAAAAAAACGACAATAATAATAAAAATAGGATAATTTCATCAGGCCCATTTAATACTAGCCTCAATATATAAGTCTATCCTTGCCGATTTGATTAATATCTTAAGGATGAATATTTATTTTCTGTGAGGTTGAAGAGGAACCATTAGCCATCCGCTTACAACTCGCTATTGGTTTGACTTTAGTTTTCAGATACCTCATATGCGTTGAAGTATTAAACTGGTATGAAACAGCTTCGTATAGTTGAGCTTAAACACCATATTACAACACTAAAATCGCAAGTTTTTGGTAATGATATAAGTTTAGGTTTTAATGCTATGCAGAACATATCAGGAATTCCCATTGTCATTTGTATTAACTCAGTAAACTGTAGCACTCCTGCGTTATACATTTCACTGTATACGATTTAAGCTGGTTGGTATAGATATACGTGTAGCTTAAAAAGTGTTATCCCTGTCCTGTTGAAGAGCTAGATGTATTATCATTCATACAGTTTAGGCTCAGCATTGTATTGTATCGTTCTGTATATTCATTCACACTAATGTTATTATACAGGGGGATAAAAAAGCGAAACCGAGATATTATTGCTAATTAGAACTGAAGTAGGACATATATGTGAATCAAAGGGAGATGTCTTCTGTTAGGGTTGAATCTCCCCTTTAAAATGACACCTAGTAGATCATGTTATTACATTCACGGTTGACTGAGCAGTGACCAATTTTATGAAAGGGTCTATTTAGAGAGTTGCGCCACTCTTCTTGGTGAAATCACTTTTCGATTGTGGTTTTTGTGGTGTCCTTTGTTACAGAGTGAAATTAGGCAATGGTTGCAAATCAAGGCAGGTGGCGCAATTCTCTAAATAGATCCTTTCATTAAATTGGTCACTGCTCAGTCGACCGTGAATGTAATGACATGATCAGGGTGTCATTTTAAAGAGGAGAGTCAACCCTAACAGAGGATATCTCCTTTTAGTTCTCATGTGCCCTATTTTTATTCCAATTAGCAATAATATCTCGGTTTCGTTTTTTTATCCACCTGTACAATGCCTGATGAATCCCCGTCATCTGATTGGTTGGACCTTGATCACATGTCATTTAATTATTCGTACCAACCCACGACCCGGCCGCACTGCAGAAATAGAAGTTCTATTCCACGATAAATAAAAGATAAAAAAGGCTCACACTATTGGTGGCGGCTCTGACCAATCAGATGACGAAATGTATTCAGGTGTTGTAAAAAACAAATAATGTTTCACATTCGTGCAATGGAAAGAATAATTTCATTCGGTGACAGGTGGAATGTTCCATTACACTCTGCTTAGCCTCGTGGTGTGGAACATCCATCTGTCACCTCATGAAATTATTCTTACCAGTGCACTCATGAACATTCATTATTTGTATATTGGTAAATTATATCACGTACATGTACATGCCTATAGGTAAAAGTTAATACGAAAGTTATATTTTGTTATGTTATGGGTTTCTGGTGTAAATAAACTTTTGGGTAAATCGAAAAAAAAATGTTGAAGAGTCATTTGAATGTGATTTTGAGGTCAGCGAGCTTGTAATTACCGGAACAGTTTCTTGTATTTGAACATCAATAAACAGCAGCTCACTTAGAGGACGTTGAGAAAAAAAAGGTTGCACTGGATTTTAAATTCCATATTATTGTGATTGAAATTCGCAAATTGTATTTACCTTTCGAAGGCTAAAAGTCACATGTAAACATATAAACACTATTTACTGTCCCGTGAAAGAGCAAATATGAGAAACAAATTACAAGTGTTCTACTACATGACTCGTACAATGGCGTAGGTATGGTAACATTTTGCAGCATTGGGGAGAGAATGCAGGTCTCGTTTTGAAGTCGGGCACTCCATTGGTTCCAAAGACAAAAAGATCAAATTCTGAGCCGGGGACAATTTATATGTCAAAGGTAAAATAATTATCAACCATTTATTCGAGAATTGTTGCCGATTTATGTCATAATTTAATGGGGTAGGTCCTATACACTTTTACTCAAATGAAAGGTTATCTGGCTTCACTTCTATCAGTAAAATTAGTAACGTTCAGAGTAAGTAGGCATAACGCCTTTTCTGTTTCATCGCTGTACTGTTCCAATGCCTGATTGGCTAGCTCTAACAAATCAATGCAATCTGATTGGTCAGTGATCGAAGGTGAGTCCGGTACCGTGCAGCTTCTCCTTAATGAGGGCGTCCATGGCTTCGTTCTGCGCCACAGTGAAGTGGGTCTTCCAACTCCCACTTTTACCTAAAATTAAAAAAGGACAACAAAAGTAGAGCTATATGCTGAGAAACGGTGACGTCACATCCTCCCCGGGTCAGGCTCACTTCCTACATCAGTTCACGTGCATTCCTAAACGATACATTACACGAACGGTGTAGTACACATCCTACTTTGAACAACTTGTCACCTGAAAATGGTTCACTATACCTTTCAGCAGATTGTCACCACACCATTTACAACCACAGTGGAGCTTATTTTCAATTCACAGAGGAGAATCAAACCAATTATGAAACGGATTCACAACAGCTTTAGCAAAACCACTGTGTTCACTGGTTCTGGCATGTTAACATTAGCGATACACAACCTCTTTTGTTACGCATGCACTAGGTTATTATTCTTTTAAATTATTGTCCAATGGTTGCTTTTTACGTTTTGTCGTATCAAATTGAAAAGAAAAAAATATAATATTCGGTTCCTTCGATCGCATCAATAGATGTTCTTCCTGTTTAGTGTTTAAGGAAACCTGAATAATTTCACTTTTCGAAAACCTTATATTTTTAACACATTGTATTTGATATTTTTGGCGAAGAATAAAAATTACCATGTTGGTACCCCAACCCCTCTGTTTTTAAATAAATTAATGTTCATGACTGAGGGGCTTGGTTGTTTTTGTTTGTACCTTTCTACTCTGTGTGACTGTTTTGATCGCTTTTTTGGGGGCTAGGGAAAACTTTAAGAAAATTCACCTTTCCGCATAAAGGAACGGCCAGGTCTCTCGTCGGTTGAAAGTAAGTAGTCAGGGTTGATCATGGGGTTGCTCTTCATGTTGTCGAATGAGCAATGCTCCGTGATGTCATCCAGTGTCTTGGCAGACAGAGCCTTGCCCAGAAACCGACTGATTGTCTCCACGTTTCCTCGCAGATCCTGCATTCAAAATGGACATTACACGTTCGTTGATTAGTCACAGTTTGGACGTCGAGAGGTGGTTGTCTTGCACAAGTGGCAGACTAAGGATTTGCTCATGAGGAGATTTTGTTTCTGGCTGCTGGGCCTGGAGTGGTCACCGCTGCCTCTTCCCCGTATAGATCCGCAAATGTTGTGCAAACGCCAGGTCTGAACGCATATCATGGAATAGATATATTACAAACCAGATGCTATTAATGAAGGGTACCAATCCCATCCTAACGTGTGTGTAGAAAAATGCTTTATTCCTCTGGCCCTGCTAAGGAGGTAAGTTTGTGTCACTTCGTGAAAACAGAAAAACACGGATTTTAGGCATTCTGTCAAATGTTTGTTTATGATAATTACAAAAGTAAACAATAATTCGCTTTGAAACTCAGCGATATTCTTCCTTTTGTCAAATGCAATAAATTGGCCGGCAAAACTCGAAAATGAAAAATTTTCGATTTTGGAGGTTTTTGTCACTTCGTGAAAACATCGTGGAATAATTTCTCGTATGGAGCACTAATAAAGTAAACGTCAGCTATTCCTTAAACATATCAGAGCAAACACTCACTCTTTTCAAATCTTCAAACCGTAGCAACAGAACGTTGGGTTGGTGCCTTCTCTTCCAAAAGTACAAGTAGTGGTCCCACCATGATCCTTCACTTGCTTTGAACAAACAACCAACCAATGCGATGTCGTAAAGGTTTTTTTTAATCTGCCAAGAGAGCGCTTTATTCAGTTCCATGTGCAACCTATACTGCAGGTTCATTCGGATCGTTATTACATCATGACACGTAAGGTGTCGGGAGCAATCAATGATGTTATTTTAGGGCAACGAAATCATCTGCTACGTGTAAACTATTATGGAAGCAACATTGTTTCATCAAATAACCGAGATAATATTTTACCTTTGTTTGAGTTTCTGTATTCTAAATACTCCTCAAACGGTAGCCCTGCGCCCTTCAAATTTAACAGGTTCTCGAAGTAGAAATAAGACACCATCAAGTCCTTTGGGTTGCGGATGACGTAGACGATCTTGGCTTTCTTGGTCCAGATTTGTGGAGGCAGGAGCTGGCCAGGAAGGTGGGACTTGATGACTCTGGGAGAAGGCATCTCGTCCGCTATTCTGTGAGTCGGTGGAAGCTGTGGAGAATAGAAATCCATTGAAAGTCTTTCTGTCGATGGCACATTAATTAAGCTACTGTGGCAGGGTGGCTGCTTGGATAAGAGCAAAATTTAATATTCTTCACATAATACTGATTGGCATGCAGTTAATCTGCGTGGAAACCTACATTATTTGCACCTAATAACATCTGCAACGAAGTTAACTTAAAATCTGACGTAATTAGAGGTGTCAGTATTTGGCATTTTGTCCGTGTTATGCAAAGTCCCGAAACAACAACACACTATGAAAGCAGCAATCTATGGATTGGGTTGTAGCCATACACCTACGTTTTTGAGCCGCCTTACTTCCTCGGGCATACTGTGCTCCAGAAACGGCACCTGCAACTTAGTGTGTGTCTTGTTGACTTCCTGCAGGTTCCCATCATGCATTGCGCAAAACACGATCTCCTGGACCCACGTTGTACCTGTGAAATATAAAACAAGGCGAATAAACAATCCATGTCTTTGGTAAAGCTGAAAAGGCCAGGAAATTAACAGTGTAAGGACAAAAGAAATAGTCGGTCTCTGGTCAGCGCGCGCGTCGATTTTAATCATGCGTGTCAACCTTTGTTTTTCCAAAATGTTCCGCGGTAGCTCCAACAGCGCCCTCTACTGCCGCACCTCCTCAATTTTTTTTACCAAGGAGCACCAAGGAATAGGAAATTGCACCGAGGCAAATGATTGAAGGCACCGAGGCAAATTATAGAGGACACCAACGTACATGAGGACACTAAACAAGCAAAATAGTACCTCACCTTGTCTGTACAATCCAAGCTTGAAAAAAAAGCCGAGACCGAGTATTTTTTTGGCCTAACCTCTCCACCAATGAGCACTATTTCACAATTGTTTTCTGAATCTCCAGCCGAAAAAAACCCACATTTTTTTTGGAAATCATCCTTCCCTAAAATCATCCTTTATCCAAGGTTACCTCTCTTTCTTATTTTAGATTTTGTTTTACCTGTTTGTTCTCTTAGAGGATGACTTCAAAAATAATCCAACTGAACATAGATACGTGCCTACTGATTCAATTTGAAAAAAAAAATTCAAAGTGAATAAAAGGATGGTTTTAAATGCCCTCGGAACTGGTGGATTTATTTGACTTCATATGGTATCGATCGGAGATGGTTTTTAAAAAGTGTGCAGCTGATCGCAAATATTCTTTTTTTTCTGCAACCAGTAGTCAATTACTATAATACGCATGCGTGGCACATATCAAGAAAATGAATAAATATTTCAAACGATTTGAAATAACTTCTTAATCCGGAATTTCACGTTTTCATTTTTTTTTTCTGCAAAAGTAAATTTTCTATTGTGTTTAATCAAGTCCGTCTGATAGATAAAATAAAATCAACGGTGTTTTTTTTTTTCTTCAATGGCTCTAGATGATTTGTTTCAAGGCCAAGCTAAGTCCGAGAACAATTCCGTTACCAACTGACGCAGTGGCCATTAGATATACAAGCGCAGCCAAGCTGTCACATTGGTGGATAGTGACAAGATGAATCGACTGTCTTATAGGAACTTCGCACCGGCCCAATATTCCGAGCATATATCTCACAAGTTTTCCGGCCGGATTGCGCACGGAGCCGGTGAGGCATATACAGAGTGGCACCACACAAAAGCGGAACTGCATACTTCCACTACCTTGAGACTCAAACCACCTATACCAATGGACGGAGAATCTTTTCAGAAGAAAATTGATACGAAGATATCCCATTCGGTACAGTGTTTTTGCTCCAGAGCCTTTTTTTGTGAAGCATACAACTGATCATGTTCACAAAATAAGCTATAGAACAAAAACTACTGGACCGAATTGGGCTATCTTGGTATCACTAATTTTCGTTTAACAGAATTACATTGGTATAGTCTGTTTGTATAGCCTTTTTTTTGGGGGGGGGGGGCACCCTGTATAAGACTATGCTCGGAATTCCTTGGGTCTCAGGGCAAACATACCCGAAAAATGGATTGGTCTATGATTGTTGATAGTGTTCTCTACCACAGCGGCGGCTTGCATTGCATGCTATCGGTCGACATCCGGCATTTGGGGAGCAATTAACGTACAAACTACCAGTTCTTGGACCAAGACTGTATAGGCCTAGTTACCCACCTGCTTTTGGGTAAGAGACGATCCAACAGTCGTCGGCTCTGACCTTGAATGACTTGAGCTCATCCATCATTTCACAAATGCCGGAATCTAGTTGCACTCCTTCGTACTCGCCCAACGTGTGCGGATGCTCGTCTGTGAACAGTTTTTTTCTCAACTCTCGAACTACAAGCAATTTACGTGGGAAATAGTTACGCTGTAAATTATGTAGTTGAAAGCCCTCCCCCCTGTGATTTTATGGAGGCTTGGTGACCGGTGGAAAATACCATATCTACATTTCAGTACAGCTAGATGATTTTGTCGGCAATGTATTATTAATTGTTAAACCTCCCCCCCCCCCACCAATCAAAAATGGTCTAGCGACGCTCAGTGTGCCGCTTAACGAGTCGACCCCACAATCAAAAATGACCTTGCTACCATTATGGTTCTACCTCGACAAACCAGACTGACTGACCGAAAAAGTCAACTATTAACTAAAGTACGTAAATAGACCAAAACAAAATGAACAGACAATTTCTCAGCCAAGATTCAGTTTGTTTTATTTTCATAAATTATGTTTATATTTAAGAAAACCAAAAACATATCTGCAATGAAAACCAAATCCAATCGTATATTTGTGGCTGATTGTTGTCAATAGGCCTACTATAATTCTAGATGGATCATAAATCTCTGACTCGAGCACAGCTGTCGATCGGATATAATTATAATGAAGAATAATTTCTGCATGTGCTGTAGAAAAACATGAATAGAGTGTAGAAAATAGCTCGTTACGATGGGAACAAGATCGACTGTACTTACATTCTTCGATGGTAACGTACTTGTCCATTATGGTTCAAACTGAACGTATGGACGTGTGGCGATGAAAGATGAGCGTAAGCACAATATTCGTCAAAGGCAGCCCGCTTGTGCAACGATAGCCACAATAGGGTTGATCACATATGCTCATCCGTGCGCTATACAAAACAGCGGAATTGCACTGGCAGAGCAATACTCATGCTTTATTGGTGTTTCATTCAGCACAGACCACGGTAAAAGTGCCTGTAAAATATAAACTGTTCATTTTGGTGAACGAAAGCTAAACCAAATGCGTAATGCTGTCATAAGCTTATGCCTAACGATCGTCGATCACGGCCTATTCTCAATAATACCAAACACAAGAGGCATTGAAGCTGTTTACATGTATGTCGAATACTGGAATAGGAATAACCCAGCAAATCGCTCTGTCTGCCAAATGTGTTTCGCTGTGATCTTGTATACAATAACACCTCTACGTGTAGTGTACATGTACATGACAACACAGGAACTCAGCACACGGCATAATGGGCACAGCTCAAGGGAGGGCATAATAATATCACAAAGCTTGCCTTTCTACCGGAATAACGAGACCGTTCAATTGCACTGGATTGCGGGTGAATCTGACAAGAGACTTTTTTCAGAGTGAACTATGCACTGAGAAATTGCCTGGGTTAATTTTACCAAAGAAAGTGTGAAAACTGGAACTACCGTACCCAAACTTGGGTTGTTCTATAACTAATTGTTTGGGTTAGAATTTCTGCTAAATTCAACAAAACTTGTTGTCATTCAAGACCAAATTTAATTTGATCTTGTATGACTACAACTTTTGGTTGAATTTAACATTAATTATAACCAAAACAATTGGTTATAGAACAACCCAAGTTTGGGTAGTTCCAGTTTTCCCCCCTTCTTTGGTAAAATTAACCCAGGCAATTTTTCAGTGTGGCACCTCCAGAGTGTACCAACCAACAACTCTAACATTATGTCGGAGCACACCACAATATAGGTCGCATATTTATTAAGGTCGAGCATTGTACCGCCGGCAGTGTTGTGTATAAGCTATCACGGAACCCTTGTTACTGCATGCACACTCGAAAGTGTGCATGCAGGCCTACATGCACATGTGTACCTGTATATCATTGAGTTGAGGGTTGTGTTCATGTTTTGCCACAGGATTAATATTTCTCTATACATATACATGTATATATACCTTACTTTATGCATAGGCTTTAACCTGACGTATGCTTCCATCGCCATGGACATGAACTGTCGAAGATTGTAATACACTTTAATTGTGTATATACATCCACAGAGGTTTGTTTCGTAAGCAGTATCTTAATTGTCATTTCCCTGAAAATCTTGGCCCGTTTTACTGTCTCATAATTTACTCCAGATTCCACGTTTACGTGTCATAATTAATGAAATCATATTTTTAATAATTTCCCAATGACATGTGTCAAAACCCTATTATATACAATATCGTTAATTCTGTCTGTTGCCTAAGATTTTGATATATTTTGAATGCACTTCCGTGTTTTTGCTATGAAGAATAAGAGTGCTGCATGTTCTTCGATAATCCTTGCGGATCAAAGACGGAGATTTAACGTATTTTTAATAGTCTAGCACGTTTGTTTTGGCTTGCAGTTCGAGAAATGATGAGGGAAATGTACACGGCCCAGCAACCGTACACGCTGGGCGAGTACGAAGGAGGCCCACTTAATTCAAACATTCACAAAATCATGGACGAGCTGAGGTCATTTGAGGTCAGAGCCGACGACTGTTGGATCGTTACCTACCCAAAAGCAGGTGAGAACACTATGGGTGCACATTTTTCGGACATGCTATTTGGGCAGGGTGCAGCTATTATATATTGTTCGTATATATGTAAGTAGTAGTGTAGTCTAAGCATTTGACCCCGTTTTCTCAAGGAGGATCATGATCCTCATCGAGGATCATATCGGTAACCCCGACGAGGATCATAAAACGGGGTGTGTCTATGGCGAGGTGACGTCATGGATCGATGGACAAATCGATCGTGGGGATTAGAGCTGAATTAATATTATTGCTTGAAGATAATAGTACAACCAAAGGGGGAAAAGGCAAACGACGATGCAGACAACGCCAGCGTAAGTGAATAATTTTCTATATACATATTTATTCTTTTTTTTTCTTTTTTCTTTTTTTTCTTTAGTAACTTGAAGCGTCAGTAAAAAAACATCAACAATAGATTCACCCTAATTGTTGATGAAGGTGGTTATCGATGCCTAATAATGGGTACTCTCGTAAATAAAACTGTGTTTTCTTTTAGTTATTAATGTTATAAAATGTTTAATTAAGCACGCGACACGTAACCAGATGTTGATGGGACCAAATACATAAATATTTATATATATTTTTGTGGCAAAACATAACTAAAACATGGTAAGTCAGAACCTTACTTAACAATTACCCAACTGCAAACACAAAGGACTGAAACAAAAAAACATTAAAAGCCAAGTGCATTAAAATTATATCCTTAAACAATAAAAACACACACAACTTAATAAAAGACGACTCGGGGTGCCTAAAACCAACCGGAACTCACCAGAACATTCCTTGAGTGGTCAACGGGCGATATACAGTTTTCAAGTATTTTATTCATAACCACATCAAACATACAATATAAAATTAAAAGCAAGCTAAACATACAATGTACATATTATTAAACAAAATAATACATGTAATAATAAAAAATATGTAAAAATGAAATAATTGACCACACAATGCACTCGCCTTGGCAGATTAATTCGGTTCACAGTTCGCAGTATAACACATGATGAAAGATTTATTATTCAGTCTGCTCTCAGAAATTTACTTTTTTTCGTATATGAACGAACAAAGATATTAAATACAAATGTAACAAAAAAAGAAAAAAAAAAGAGGGTACTTTACCGTCCTGCCCGAACACATTTCAACGACTTGCATAAAAAGAATTATTTACAATATGTATTTTGACTTACCACATCCGATTTATAGTTTCGTATTTTTAACGATTCATTACAATTACATGTACATGTATTGTAATAATTATTATGCGGTCCTCCGTCCATATTTTACCAATTTCAAGAAAATAATAATTCAAAAATTGTTTGAAAATGCGCACAAACGCATGTTTATTATCTCCTTTTTTTTTTTGAGCAACACAAGTTCCAGTTAACTTATTGTAATAACAGACAGGTAGCCCAAATGTATACACTTCCGGCATCACTTCAAATTAGACGTTTCGTAATAATATTGAGCGTTTCATATGAGCTTATCCTGAAATAATGGGACGCTTATACAATACTCATACTCAAAACATCCTCGTGTTTGTTCATTACATTACTTTAAAATACAAAATAGGCTACTTTAGTTCTTATAGATCTTCCGTGTAAGTTAGGACCATAGCATATATGGGGACGAAATAATACCGTCAAAATTCAAGTTGCCGATAATGATAATGTCTTGATAATGAGCAAGACAGCTAGGAGCAAAGAAGAAGCAAGAAAAGAGCAAGAAAAGAGCAAGAAAAGTGCAAAAGAGCAAGAAAAGAGCAAAAGAGCAAGAAAAGAGCAAGAAAAGAGCAAGAAAAGAGCAAAAGAGCAAGAAAAGAGCAAGAAATGAGCAAGGCAAGAGCAAGAAAAGAGCAAAGGAGCAAGGAAAGAGCAAGAAAAGAGCAAGTAATGAGCAAGAAAAGAGCAAACGAGCAAGAGGAAAGTAAGACATGAAACAAAGGAGCTACATATCAAATGTTTTCATCCGTTTCTTGCCATTCAGTGATTTACCTTCAAAGACTCAACATGAATACTATTTCTGCAGTCAAATCCAATGCTTGTCACAAGTGTGACAAGAGCTTTGGACGGAGATATAACCTACGGAGGCATATAGAAAATGTACATGCTGAAGAGAAAATTAAAGTGGAGGACCTTGATGTGGATTAATCTGAACCTGATTTTAAAAAGCGTAGATTTGAAGATTCGGAAATAGAAAACTGTAGAACTGAATCTACGCAGGATGAAGACGAAGATTTCGATGAAGATTATTCAAAATCCGAAACGGTTTCCAACAAAATGTTATCATGTGCACGCAATGTATCACGCCGACTTTGCAAAATCATTAACAAAGGACTGCCCCCCCCCCAAAAAAAAAAACAAAGAGAAAAAAATGTTGATGATAATAATTATATCGTGAGACATAAACTTACCTTGAATTTGTGTAGGAGATTAATTCGATCGTCGTGATGAAATCAAAACCAACTGCACATATAAACTGCATTCATTCACCTTGCCGATGCACACCAAACGTTTACCTAACGTTGAAATGGTTCACACCGCTGATCGTGTGTGCATGGAGATACATGTACATGTACATGTATTTAAAAACTCCGCGAATTCGGACTTGACGACCGGACAAGTCTGGACTGGTCAGCCTGTTTGTCGTCCATCTCTGAATCATCACTGTGACGTCACTGGCACTGGCGGCCGTGTACATGGAGATATTTAAAAACACCGCGAATTCGGACTTGACGACCGGACAAGTCTGGACTGGTCATTCTGTTTGCCGTCCATCGATGACTCATCACTGTGACGTCATAGGGATTCCCCATCCAAATACAAAGGCCCTTGTGATACTACTAGCTCGGACCCGTTTTGTGGGTGGATGATGCACGAATACGACGGCAATCGGCAACTTGAATTTTGACGGTATTATTTCGTCCCCATATATGCTATGGTCCTAACTTACACGGAAGATCTATAAGAACTAAAGTAGCCTATTTTGTATTTTAAAGTAATGTAATGAACAAACACGAGGATGTTTTGAGTATGAGTATTGTATAAGCGTCCCATTATTTCAGGATAAGCTCATATGAAACGCTCAATATTATTACGAAACGTCTAATTTGAAGTGATGCCGGAAGTGTATACATTTGGGCTACCTGTCTGTTATTACAATAAGTTAACTGGAACTTGTGTTGCTCAAAAAAAAAAGGAGATAATAAACACGCGTTTGTGCGCATTTTCAAACAATTTTTGAATTATTATTTTCTTGAAATTGGTAAAATACGGACGGAGGACCGCACAATAATTATTACACTACATGTACATGTAATTGTAATGAATCGTTAAAAATACGAAACTATAAATCGGATGTGGTAAGTCAAAATACATATTGTGAATAATTCTTTTTATGCAAGTCGTTGAAATGTGTTCGGGCAGGACGGTAAAGTACCCTCTTTTTTTTTTTTCTTTTTTTGTTACATTTGTATTTAATATCTTTGTTCGTTCATATACGAAAAAAAGTAAATTTCTGAGAGCAGACTGAATAATAAATCTTTCATCATGTGTTATACTGCGAACTGTGAACCGAATTAATCTGCCAAGGCGAGTGCATTGTGTGGTCAATTATTTCATTTTTACATATGTTTTATTATTACATGTATTATTTTGTTTAATAATATGTACATTGTATGTTTAGCTTGCTTTTAATTTTATATTGTATGTTTGATGTGGTTATGAATAAAATACTTGAAAACTGTATATCGCCCGTTGACCACTCAAGGAATGTTCTGGTGAGTTCCGGTTGGTTTTAGGCACCCCGAGTCGTCTTTTATTAAGTTGTGTGTGTTTTTATTGTTTAAGGATATAATATTAATGCACTTGGCTTTTAATGTTTTTTTGTTTCAGTCCTTTGTGTTTGCAGTTGGGTGATTGTTAAGTAAGGTTCTGACTTACCATGTTTTTGTTATGTTTTGCCACAAAAATATATATAAATATTTATGTATTTGGTCCCATCAACATCTGGTTACGTGTCGCGCGCTTAATTAACAATTTTATAATATTAATAACTAAAAGAAAACACAGTTTTATTTACGAGAGTACCCATTATTAGGCATCGATAACCACCTTCATCAAAAATTTGGGTGAATCTATTGTTGATGTTTTTTTACTGACGCTTCAAGTTACTAAAGAAAAAAAAGAAAAAAGAAAAAAAAAGAATAAATATGTATATAGAAAATTATTCACTTACGCTGGCGTTGTCTGCATCGTCGTTTGCCTTTTCCCCCTTTGGTTGTACTATTATCTTCAAGCAATTATATTAATTCAGCTCTAATCCCCACGATCGATTTGTCCATCGATCCATGACGTCACCTCGCCATAGACACACCCCGTTTTATGATCCTCGTCGGGGTTACCGATATGATCCTCGATGAGGATCATGATCCTCCTTGAGAAAACGGGGTCAAATGCTTAGACTACACTACTTATGTAGCTTAAACATTTATTTATATTGTATACCATGAGCGACATTTTCTAGGGCTGCCACAAGGGCAAACATTTATGCCGTAGTTGGCAATTAACAGATAATACCAGCAGTTTTACGTTACGTCTTTGCTACACAGCGATTGTTGAATATTTTGTACTTCCAGCAATCCAATGGTATCATTGGAAACAAGAATATTATTTGTTTTGGCAACGTTGATCTTCAATAGTTTGCCAACCACGGGTAAGCAAGCAAACAGTCAATAAAATGTGTCAAACGGAGTGAATGGTCGGATTTACTTCCTTTGAAAAAAACCAGAGCCAGGGAAAGAAAAGATGAATTCCGTCTACTTCATTGAAAAGTTGGGTTTCATTGAACACAATAAAATGATGAGAGCTACGTGCTGAGCAAAACGTTATTCGAGGCCGTTTGCTCAGCACGTAGCTCGAGTTGACCGCACATGGTGGGTTTTTCACCTCGCTATAGGCGAAAGAAATCAAACAGGATAGATATTTACTTCACGGCCACACAAAGCAGAAATCTCAGCAAAAATTCACCGTGCACACAGTCATGTGGTTGCTAAGGCAAAGCGTCTGCCATTGTTAAGCAAAGCTTATCCAATTACGTACTTAGACGCTATAGCAGAGCAGTGAAATTCATGCACCACAAAAACATAGCCTTTTGAACGTTGTGTTTCTCAGAAAATATGTAGAGAATGATTTAAATGTTAAATTATAACGAACGAAGAAATTCTAAACTTTATGTCAGTGAAAAAAAATCGCCGTCATCCGTTCCGAAACGGCAGTACTGGTTACTGGTATAGCTGACCTTCAAGTCTGGAGGAAATCGTTCGAAAACTTCCCCAAATCTCTGTAATATATCGTGTCTAGGAATTTCTCAAAATGTTATTTCACGAGTAGTTGAACACTTAATTATATCATACTAAGTATATTTCGAATTTTAGCTAAATATAGTTGTTGCAAACGCTAGTGTTACACTTTGAACCGTCTCCATGGAAAATTTCGACGACGATTTCTGCCGGCCCAACCCACATGCATTGTTCAGCAAAGCGTCTTAGGCGGTATGGTCGACCGATTTCGGCCAAGCCACACAATAACGTATTGTATAATAACATATTCATTAGTGTCACTCAGCGTGTTTTGGCGTGGGTCTCGGTATCGACCAATGGAAGCCGGCAAAAAGGGTGACATTTATCAATTAATAACTCGTGAAGGCGCTTTTTTCAAATGTTTTACTGGACACCATAATGGATAGGGACTTATTAATATTCGTGAGGCTTGAAAAGATTGACAGATATGGCAAACGTCAGTGTCAAAACTTTCAAAAATGCACGTAGCCAGGCCTATTTTTCCAATTTCAACGAAAAGTAAAAACATATCACAACGATTTTCAGCACATACTTGGATCATTAGTAGGGAAATCAATCCTGAAAGTTGCATTAAGATACGGTCTTCCAAACTGGAGAAATACATTTTCAAAGATTTCACCCGCCTACGCGAACGTGTATGTGCACATGTAGTTTAATTCAAAATAAAGTGTTACGTAACCTTTAGAAATCGCCCTTCGCAACCACTAGACTGCGCAGGGATATTTTGTGAGCTACGTGCTGAGCAAACGGTCTCGGATGACTTTTTGCATGCTCATGCAGCACGTATCTTTTTCAAGATTCTGCTAAAAACAGTACATTTAAAGGCAGAAATAGCGGTACACTTGCTATCAAATGATTCTAGGAAGGGACAAAAGAAAGGTATGAGAAGGGACAAAAGAAAGGTATCTTAACTTGCAACCAGGCACTCGAAAACTAATTAGGACGGTGACATTTTGAGCTCTAACATTGACATGATTTTGTTCTCCTTTTCACAGGCACAACTTGGGTTCAGGAGATCATGTCGGCCGTGATGCATGATGGGAACCTTGAAGAGGTCAGCAAAAGCCACTCTATGCTTCGCGTGCCATATTTTGAGCAGAATTTCCCCGAGGAAGTAAGGCGGCTCATTGATATATATTGCTGTATTTGTTTTACTTAATCGCAAATTAGAAGAACCGTCAGAGCAGCAGCGACGTCACTTTTTTGGGGGGGGGGGCACACGGGGCAAGTGCCGCCAGCGGATGTCCGTGCCCCCGGATGCCCCCCCCCCCCCCTCACCCCCAATTGAAATCTTGAATTGAACAAAAAAGTATATATCACTTGCTTTTAAGTGTCCCCCTGATAAAAAAAATGTGCACTCCATTTTCCTTCAGCATTTTTAACCCTGTAGCTACGCTACTTCAGACCCCAAAGAAAAGTTCTTCAAATGCTGTATGCCAAATCCATCTTTGCAATAATCTATAGGTGTCACGTAATTGGTTGTGTTTAAATGAAATGTTGTCATTTTATTGTAAATTAATCACTGTATCCATCCGTTTCTGATGCTTGCGCTGTTGGATGGTGGATGAAATAAATGTTTAAAAAACGACAATAATAATACAAATAGGAAAACTTCATCAGGCCCATTTAATACTATGCCTCAATATATAAGTCTATCCTTGCCGATTTGATTAATATCTTAAGGATGAATATTTATTTTCTGTGAGGTTGAAGAGGAACTATTAGCCATCCGCTTACAACTCGCTATTGGTTTGACTTTAGTTTTCAGATACCTCATATGCGTTGAAGTATTAAACTGGTATGAGACAGCTTCGTATAGTTGAGCTTATACACCATATTACAACACTAAAATTGCAAGTTTTTGGTAATGATATAAGTATAGGTTTTAATGCTATGCAGAACATATCAGGAATTCCCATTGTCATTTGTATTAACTCAGTAAACTGTAGCATTCCTTCGTTGTACATTTCACTGTATACGATTTAAGCCGATTGGTATAGAAATACGTGTAGCTTATAAAGTGTTATCCCTTTCCTGTTGAAGAGCTAGATGTATTATCAGTCATACAGTTTAGGCTCAGCATTGTATTGTATCGTTCTGTATATTCATTCACACTAATGTTATTATACAGGGTGGATAAAAAAAGCGAAACCGAGATGTTATTGCTAATTAGAACTGAAGTAGGACATATATGTGAATCAAAGGGAGATGTCCTCTGTTAGGGTTGAATCTCCTCTTTAAAATGACACCTAGATCATGTTATTACATTCACGGTTGACTGAGCAGTGATCAATTTTATGAAAGGGTCTATTTAGAGAGTTGCGCCACTCTTCTTGGTGAAATCACTTTTCGATTGTGGTTTTTGTGGTGTCCTTTGTCACAGAGTGAAATTAGGCAATGGTTGCCAATCAAGGCAGGTGGCGCAATTCTCTAAATAGATCCTTTCATTAAATTGGTCACTGCTCAGTCAACCGTGAATGTAATGGCATGATCAGGGTGTCATTTTTAAGAGGAGAGTCAACCCTAACAGAGGATATCTCCTTTTAGTTCTCATGTGCCCTACTTCTATTCCAATTAGCAATAATATATCGGTTTCGTTTTTTTATCCACCTGTACAATGCCTGATAAATCCCCGTCATCTGATTGGTAGGACCTTGATCACATGTCACTGGATTATTCGTACCAACCCACGACCCGGCCTCACTGCAAATATAGAAGTTCTATTCAACGATAAATAAAAGATAAATAAAACGCTCACACTATTGGTGGCGGCTCTGACCAATCAGATGACGAAATCTATTTAAGTGTTGTATAAAACAAATAATGTTTCACATTCGTGCAATGGAAAGAATAATTTCATTCGGTGACAGATGGAATGTTCCATTACACTCTTCTTAGCCTCGTGGTGTGGAACATCCATCTGTCACCTCATGACATTATTCTTACCAGTGCACTCATAAACATTCATTATTTGTATATTGGTAAATTATATCACGTACATGCCTATAGGTAAAAGTTAATACGAAAGTTATATTTTGTTATGTTACGGGCTGCTGGTGTAAATAAACTTTTGGGTAAATCGAAAAAAAATATTAAAGAGTCATTTGAATGTGAATTTGAGGTCAGCGAGCTTGTAATTACCGGAATAGTTTCTTGTATTTGAACATCAATAAACAGCAGCTCACTTAGAGGACGTTGAGAAAAAAAAGGTTGCACTGGATTTTAAATTCCATATTATTGTGATTGAAATTCGCAAATTGTATTTACCTTTCGAAGGCTAAAAGTCACATGTAAACATATAAACACTATTTACTGTCCCGTGAAAGAGCAAATATGAGAAACAAATTACAAGTGTTCTACTACATGACTCGTACAATGGCGTAGGTATGGTAACATTTTGCAGCATTGGGGAGAGAATGCAGGTCTCGTTTTGAAGTCGGGCACTCCATTGGTTCCAAAGACCAAAAGATCAAATTCTGAGCCGGGGACAATTTATATGTCAAAGGTAAAATAATTATCAACCATTTATTCGAGAATTGTTGCCGATTTATGTCATAATTTAATGGGGTAGGTCCTATACACTTTTACTCAAATGAAAGGTTATCTGGCTTCACTTCTATCAGTAAAATTAGTAACGTTCAGAGTAAGTAGGCATAACGCCTTTTCTGTTTCATCGCTGTACTGTTCCAATGCCTGATTGGCTAGCTCTAACAAATCAATGCAATCTGATTGGTCAGTGATCGAAGGTGAGTCCGGTACCGTGCAGCTTCTCCTTAATGAGGGCGTCCATGGCTTCGTTCTGCGCCACAGTGAAGTGGGTCTTCCAACTCCCACTTTTACCTAAAATTAAAAAAGGTCAACAAAAGTAGAGCTATATGCTGAGAAACGGTGACGTCACATCCTTTCTGGGTCAGGCTCACTTCCTATATCAGTTCACGTGCATTCCTAAACGATACATTACACGAACGGTGTAGTGCACATCCTACTTTGAACAACTTGGCACCTGAAAATGGTTCACTATACCTTTCAGCAGATTGTCACCACACCATTTACAACCACAGTGGTGCTTATTTTCAATTCACAGAGGAGAATCAAACCAATTTTGAAACGGATTCACAACAGCTTTAGCAAAACCACTGTGTTCACTGGTTCTGGCATGTTAACATTAGCGATACACAACCTCTTTTGTTACGCATGCACTAGGTTATTATTCTTTTAAATTATTGTCCAATGGTTGCTTTTTACGTTTTGTCGTATCAAATTGAAAAGAAAAAAATATTAAATTCGGTTCCTTCGATCGCATCAATAGATGTTCTTGTTCCTGTTTAGTGTTTGAGGAAACCTGAATAATTTCACTTTTCGAAAACCTTATATTTTTAACACATTGTATTTGATATTTTTGGCGAAGAATAAAAATTACCATGTTGGTACCCCAACCTCTCTGTTTTTAAATAAATTAATGTTCATGACTGAGGGGCTTGGTTGTTTTTGTTTGGACCTTTCTACTCTGTGTGACTGTTTTGATCGCTTTTTAGGGGGGCTAGGGAAAACTTTTGGAAAATTCACCTTTCCGCATAAAGGAACGGCCAGGTCTCTCGTCGGTTGAAAGTAAGTAGTCAGGGTTGATCATGGGGTTGCTCTTCATGTTGTCGAATGAGCAATGCTCCGTGATGTCATCCAGTGTCTTGGCAGACAGAGCCTTGCCCAGAAACCGACTGATTGTCTCCACGTTTCCTCGCAGATCCTGCATTCAAAATGGACATTACACGTTCGTTGATTAGTCACAGTTTGGACGTCGAGAGGTGGTTGTCTTGCACAAGTGGCAGACTAAGGATTTGCTCATGTGGAGATTTTGTTTCTGGCTGCTGGGCCTGGAGTGGTCACCGCTGCCTCTTCCCCGTATAGATCCGCAAATGTTGTGCAAACGCCAGGTCTGAACGCATATCATGGAATAGATATATTACAAACCAGATGCTATTAATGAAGGGTACCAATCCCATCCTAACGTGTGTGTAGAAAAATGCTTTATGCCTCTGGCCCTGCTAAGGAGGTAAGTTTGTGTCACTTCGTAAAAACAGAAAAACACAGATTTTAGGCATTTTGTCAAATGTTTGTTTACGATTATTACAATATTTGACTTTGAAACTCAGTTATATTCTTCCTTTTGTCAAATGCAATACATTGGCCGGCAAAACTCAAAATCGAAATTTTTTTGGTTTTTGTCACTTCGTGAAAACATCGTCGAATAATTTCTCGTATGGTGCACTAATAAAGTAAACGTCAGTTATTCCTTGAACATGTAAAAGCAAACACTCACTCTTTTCAAATCTTCAAACCGTAGCAACAGAACGTTGGGTTGGTGCCTTCTCTTCCAAAAGTACAAGTAGTGGTCCCACCAAGATCCGTAACTTGCTTTGAACAAACAACCAAACAATGCGATGTCGTAAAGGTTTTTTTTTTATCTGCCAAGAGAGCGTTTTATTCAGTTCCCTGTGCAACCTATACTGCAGGTTTATTCGGATCGTTATTACATCATGACACGTAAGGTGTCGGGAGCAATCAATGATGTTATTTTAGGGCAACAAAATCATCTGCTACGTGTAAACCATGAAATATTATGGACGCAACATTGTTTCATCAAATGACCGAGATAATATTTTACCTTTGTTTGAGTTTCTGTATTCTAAATACTCCTCAAACGGTAGCCCTGCGCCCTTCAAATTTAACAGGTTCTCGAAGTAGAAATAAGACACCATCAAGTCCTTTGGATTACGGATGACGTAGACGATCTTGGCTTTCTTGGTCCAGATTTGTGGAGGCAGGAGCTGGCCGGGAAGGTGGGACTTGATAACCCGGGGAGAAGGTATCTCGGCCGCTATTCTGTGAGTCGGCGGAAGCTGTGGAGAATAGAAATCCATTGAAAGTCTTCCTGTCGATGGCACATTAATTAAGCTACTGTGGCAGGATGGATGAATGGATGAGGGCAAATTTAATATTCTTCACATAATATTGATTGGCATGCAATTCATCTGCGGGGAAACCTACATTATTCGCACCTAATAACATTTGCAACGAAGTTAACTTAAAATCGGACATAATAAGAGTGTCAGTATTTGGCATTTTGTCAATGTTATGCAAAGCCCCGAAACAACAACACACTATGAAAGCAGCAATCTATGGATTGGGTTGGAGCCATACACCTACGTTTTTGAGGCGCCTTATTTCCTGGGGCATACTCTGCTCCAGAAACGGCACCTGGAACTTAGTGTGTGTCTTGTTGACTTCCTGCAGGTTCCCATCATGCTTTGCGCACAACACGATCTCCTGGACCCACGTTGTGCCTGCGAAATATAAAACGAGACAAATAAACAATCCATATCATTGCCAAAGCTGAAAAAGGAACTGAACATCGTAACCAGTTCACCAATGAGCACTATTTCATGATAATTATTTCTGAATCCCCATTTGAAAAACAATACCTTTGTTTGTCCTTCCACTTTTCTGAAATCTTTCGTTATCCCAAGCTACCTCTCTTTGGGTGCGTTCGTTTAGCTCACCCGGGTAGACACGGGTAAAGGCAGACGGGTCAGCCACGACAGTCGAGCTAATCGAACGCTCAACCGCGGGCCATCACGATCCGCATGTGACGCCCTAAGCAGTGGCCGTAGCCACTGACGAACGCCCGTTTCGGTTTGGGTCTTAGTTTGAGATTTACTGCTTTTTAGTCAATTGCAAAACTCAAAAAAATTGGGCTGAAATTATAGCCTCAAAAGTCGCCATGAACTCAATAAATGATTTCCGCTGTCCGGCCGCCATATTTGTTTGATTCTAGGGAATGAACAACGCATGCGTGAAGTACTTCCACCAGTGACTCTGCTCACGAGCAGGGTCTGTGGCTGACCCGGGTGAGCCCCGAGAATTACGTCAGAGGTAATCGAACGGCATGGGCTCACCCGTGTCGGATGAGCTAAACGAACGCACCCTTTTTTATAATAGATTTTCATTTACCTGTCTTTTTCTCTTAAAGGATGACTTCAAAAATAATCCAACTGAACATGGAAACGTGCCTACTGATTCAATTTAAAGAAAACTTTTTTTTTCAAACTGAACCTCAGGATGGTTTTAAATGCCCTGGGAAATCGTGGATTTATTTGGCCTGAATTGATATCGATCGAAGGTGGTTTTTAATCTCTGGCAGGAGCTTCTATCACTTGGTGGTTGGTCGGTTGGTCAGACGTCTGTCCCCGAAAACTGACCAAAAAATATTTGACCAAAAATATTTGATCAAAAATTGACATAATTCCATGCCGTCGTCAGTGAATGCACTCTTGACGAAAATTATTGGAAAACGGGTTTTGTCTATTTTGCGTAATGTCCTCGGAAATTGACCCAAAACGAGCCCCCTAAGTTTTCTTTTAAATATGACTACCAAATTTTAATTTAAAGACAAAAGCAAACAAAAGAAACGGAATACCAAACAAAAAGTGTTTGTAACAATTCGAAAAGTTGTTTTTGAACATTTTGTAAATGGAGGCAAGATAATGTGCAGTAATATTATATTTTCATGGGAAACCTATGTCTATTTTTATGGGAAACTTATAGGGGAGCTTATTTTGGTCAATTATCAGCGCGTGATTTTCGCGTGGTACGTACAACCATTTATCATGCAAGACTTCCATGCAAGGCGGCCAGAGCTTATTGTGCACTCGCACTTGTTAAAAAGTGCGCAGCCAGTCGCAAATGCGTGAAACATAATATTTATCACGAGAATGAATATTTGACATGATTTGAAATAAGTTGTTATGGTTTATATTGAACGGGGTATAGCGTGACTTTACCGTGGCAACGCTAATCCAGTGGTGCAAGTGCAGCAGGTTGCGGGTTCAAATCAAGAAATTTTACCTTTTCATTTTTTTTTCTACAAAAGTGAACAGAATTCACGTGTTTTTGTCTCCATTATTAATGGCTCTGTACTATTTCTTTCAAAGGAAGTTATTGTCCGAGAACAACTCCGTTACCATAATTGACGCAAGCGCATTATGCTCACTGACTATCCGGTTCGTAAGTGCGACGTCCATTCGGTTTAAACCACGCCCACAAGTAGCAAGGGAACCATTGGAAATGGAAATTAACGCACTTTTAGTGTTTATCCAATGGGCACAGTGCTAGTAATCTGTGGTGCGCGCGCGCGTATGCCGAAGTCACTGACCGAACCGGATACTTGGTTGCAGAAAGGGTAACTGCCAGCCGGCCAAGCTGTCACGCGTCACGGCGGTGGATGGTGATACGATGAATCCATTCGCCATGGGCCTAATGCACGAGTTGGCCCTTTTTGTCGAGTTCCCTGAATGGTTTCATTAATTGTTAACTGTTGAATGGGATGGCCTCAGACTATTTACGCAGGCAAAATGGAGCCTTATTTCACTGTCATTTTTTTTAAATCTGGCTTTAAACATTGTAATTATTCATTGAAGTAGACTGGAATTAGTAATTAAGTTGCTTTCATCTTCGCAAGTTCAAAAATTAAGATTTTACCTCACTTTCAATTCAATATGGCCGACACGTGCATAAGGGTGCACCCCTGTATTCAAATTCCCATGGACGCTAGTGCTATTCCCATACTTCAAAATACTTTTAAACATACTCAGAACTCCCACAGGTATTTAAGCTGCACAGACAAAATTGATGATCAACATGTCATCTTTCATTTTCTTTTCATTTTTTGGTGGGTTGACCTTGACTTTTCGATGAATTCTCACCCGAAGAAGACAACCCACATTTTTCCCAAAGCGGAAAAGTAGCCATCTTGAAAAATGATCCTTCCACAACATGGCAAAATAGTGCCACTTTCGAGTCCAATCGCATCCAAAATGCTCAGGATTGGAAGCCCCAAGTCCGGGACAAAGGTTCATTGCCATATCTCTTCAATTCCCCAATTTTATGGCTCTCAGAACTCTCTAATATAGAATATTTTGAGGGTATAACTTTTATTCATGAGCTCGGCGGACGGATTTTTGGCCTATTTACAGGCGTGCATCCATAAGGCCCATACATTTGGATTGCGCGTGACGCTGGGTGTGGTATCCGCTCCATTCACAAGCACCCCTCACCGGCAAAGGAAGTACAGTTGGGGATGCATACCTGCAAATAAACTCCCATAGACACTAGTGCTAAATGCCCATACTTCAAAATTCTTTTAAAAATACTCAAAACTCTCACAGGTATTCAAGCTGCACAGAAAAATGATAATCAACATGTCATCTTTCGTTTTCTTTTTAATTTTTGGTGGGTTGACCATTGACTTTTCGAGATAGTTTCACTCAAAGAAGACGACCCCTATTTTCCCCAAAGCGGAAAAGTAGCCATCTTGAAAAACGATCCCTCCACAACATGGCAAAATAGCGCCATTTTCGAGCCCAATAGCATCCAAAATGCTCAGAATTGGAAGCCCCAAGTCCGGGCCAGAGGTTCATTACCATGTCTCTTCAATTCCCCAACTTATACGGCGCTCAGAACTCTCTAATATAGAATATTTTGAGGATATAACTTTTATTCATGAGCTTGGCAGATGGATTTACCGGTGTGCACCCTATAATAGCAGGCAACTTGTAAATTTTAACACAAAACCACATTCAGGACAAGCAGAATATCTCCAAAGTCAATATTTTGAAGAAAAAAAATGAAAGAAAAATATTATCCGAGGTCGATATTAAGCCCGAAAATAGTGATTTGTTTGCCCCTGCTAAGCTGTAGAGCGCCCCCAGCGACAACAAATTGAGTTTCAGCTACTTAAAAGCTCAAAATGCCCCCCCCCTTTCAACTAGCAATTGTTGTAATCGGTTGATTGAGTTTCAGCTACTTAAAAGCTCAAAATGCCCCCCCCCCCTTTCAACTAGCAATTGTTGTAATCGGTTGATAGCCTACTGTTCCCTTATGATTTGAAAGCATCCGTTACGGAAAAAAAAACCCTTGTTGATACCTTTAAAACACTTTTTCCCCCTCCCCGTAGGTTCCGCCCACTGAAAAGACCACTGCCGCGGCACAGCGCATGCGCGAAACTGCCATCTTCGTTATTCTTTATGGGATGCATACCTGCAAATAAACTCCCATAGACACTAGTGCTAAATGCCCATACTTCAAAATTCTTTTAAAAATACTCAAAACTCTCACAGGTATTCAAGCTGCACAGAAAAATGATAATCAACATGTCATCTTTCGTTTTCTTTCCAATTTTTGGTGGGTTGACCATTGACTTTTCGAGATAGTTTCACTCAAAGAAGACGACCCCTATTTTCCCCAAAGCGGAAAAGTAGCCATCTTGAAAAACGATCCCTCCACAACATGGCAAAATAGCGCCATTTTCGAGCCCAATAGCATCCAAAATGCTCAGAATTGGAAGCCCCAAGTCCGGGCCAGAGGTTCATTACCATGTCTCTTCAATTCCCCAACTTTACGGCGCTAGCGCTCAGAACTCTCTAATATAGAATATTTTGAGGATATAACTTTTATTCATGAGCTTGGCAGATGGATTTACCGGTGTGCACCCTATAATAGCAGGCAACTTGTAAATTTTAACACAAAACCACATTCAGGACAAGCAGAATATCTCCAAAGTCAATATTTTGAAGAAAAAAAATGAAAGAAAAATATTATCCGAGGTCGATATTAAGCCCGAAAATAGTGATTTGTTTGCCCCTGCTAAGCTGTAGAGCGCCCCCAGCGACAACAAATTGAGTTTCAGCTACTTAAAAGCTCAAAATGCCCCCCCCCCTTTCAACTAGCAATTGTTGTAATCGGTTGATTGAGTTTCAGCTACTTAAAAGCTCAAAATGCCCCCCCCCCCCTTTCAACTAGCAATTGTTGTAATCGGTTGATAGCCTACTGTTCCCTTATGATTTGAAAGCATCCGTTACGGAAAAAAAAAACCTTGTTGATACCTTTAAAACACTTTTTCCCCCTCCCCGTAGGTTCCGCCCACTGAAAAGACCACTGCCGCGGCACAGCGCATGCGCGAAACTGCCATCTTCGTTATTCTTTATGGGATGCATACCTGCAAATAAACTCCCATAGACACTAGTGCTAAATGCCCATACTTCAAAATTCTTTTAAAAATACTCAAAACTCTCACAGGTATTCAAGCTGCACAGAAAAATGATAATCAACATGTCATCTTTCGTTTTCTTTCCAATTTTTGGTGGGTTGACCATTGACTTTTCGAGATGGTTTCACCCAAAGAAGACGACCCCTATTTTCCCCAAAGCGGAAAAGTAGCCATCTTGAAAAACGATCCCTCCACAACATGGCAAAATAGCACCACTTTCGAGCCAAATAGCATCCAAAATGCTCAGAATTGGAAGCCCCAAGTCCGGGCCAAAGGTTCTTTACCATATCTCTTCAATTCCCCAATTTTACGGCGCTCAGAACTCTCTAATATAGAATATTTTGAGGGTATAACTTTTATTCATGAGCTTGGCGGATCGATTTATCGGTGTGCACCCTTGGGGGTGACCAACTGACGCCATCTTGCCTGACTGCAATTCACTTGCCATGAAGCGCGGCCACTGCGTGTAAATAGAACAAATCCCCTGGTGTACGTACGTCACACACAAGGAACGGTGCGCGTCAACCAGCGAAATGTCCCGCCCATGGGACGTCGTTGTTAGGTAAAAGGGCGCCCTCTTTTGGTAGCGCACGGAGCTCATAGGCCTATGCTCGGAAATTCGTGGGTCTGAGGGCATACATTCCCCCAAATGGACCTAATTCGTCTTCTTGATAGTGTCCTCTTCCACCTCGGCGGCTTGCCTTGCTATTGGTCCGGGTCGGCTGCATTTGGGGAATAACGTTCACAACCAGTTTTGGACCAAGACTATTCATAGCAAATGGAGGTAGAATTAGATAACCCACCTGCTTTTGGGTAGGTGACGATCCAACAGTCGTCGGCTCTGACCTCAAATGACCTGAGTTCATCCATCATTTCACAAACACTGAAGTTTAGCTGCACTCCTTCATACTCGCCCAACGTGTGCGGATACTTGTCCGTGAACTCGTTCTTCCTCAACTCTCGATCTACAAGCCAGAAACAACATTACAAAATCCACTAAGATGAATTTTAGCCCCCCCCCCCCCCGCCTTGATTTTACGGCGGCCTGGTGACTGGTGGAAAAATACCCGTATAAAGGAAAATGTACATAATATTGAGATTTGACGAATGAAACGGATATTTCGGATCAAATTCCATGCCTCGTCGCCAGCGCAGTCCGCATTTTTCAAAACGAGGTCACGCACCGAAGTGCCATGCATACAGCGAACATAAAATGAACGGCTTTTAGTGCGCTGCGGACTGACTGCATAATCCCCCCCCCCCCTCCCCCATTGACGCTCAATGTGTCCTTTACGTCTACCCCACAATCAAAATCACCTTGCTACGTGCCTGGCATTAAACACACCATAGTTTTGCATCAATACAAAGCTGAAGGACAGACAGACTGATAATAACAACTAATTAAATAACAGACAAAATGCATGAACAGATAATAAAAGATTTCATTAAAGATTACCGCGTTTTTTCCTCATAAATTGTCTATGATAAAGCAAATCACAAAGCAAAGACAACTACTTGTTATTATGAAGCCATACGCCGCACGGTAACACATCGTACTGGACTAATGATTCATGTCAACACTAATCGAGGTCTATAGATAAGCTGCATGGCATACACTAGCGACGCGGATACAATATAATGTAGGTTGGCGCAGTGGTTACGCTTTCCTCTCCTTCCAGCGATATGGCCCGGGTTCGATTCCTGCCCAGACCACGTGGATTTGGGAACAGTCCTTACCTGATTCTTTGGGTTTCAATGATTTTTGTTTTACAGTTTTACACAAATAACTTTGAAAAACAGCAAAACGGTCAGATACAGACTGTCTTATTTATTTCAGTGTAGTCATAGTTAACAGTCCGTGGGGCATTTTTTGGCGGTGGGCAGGGGGGTGGAGGGGGACCGGCCATGCACGAAGAAGCGTTACAGTGGTTTAGGTAATGCGTGATTCTTGGAGTGACCCTGCCCCATTCACTGCGATTCAGTTGGTGGGACTTACAGAATTGCAAGCAAAAATGTTTGCGCTGGGAACTTTCAAGGAGGAAATTGTAAGACGTATGTAGAAGTTGCAGATATGTTGAAGGAAATAGGAGTTCCGCGCAGCTCTTCAATAGCCACTATTCGCAAATTTTGTCGTGACTGAGAACAACATAAATAAATGTAAGGAGGGCAAATTCCCAGCATGTTCCCAGGCAGTGACACGATCCCAAGGACACATTAATATTCCAAGGTGCATTGCTTAATTGCCAAACCTGAAAAAAAGGTCGACAAGACTATTGACCGTGTTGTCCTTGTCATGTTTTTGTAAAACAACATTCTAAAGCAACTAACTGTTTATCGCTTTTTACAATTAAACAAAACAACATAAAGGTAATTGTTTTTTTGTGACTTAATACCGTTTGACCATACTACAAAACTGTAAAACGACAAAACGGTCAATGGTTTGTTTACTGTTTTTCGTTTTTGAGGAAATCCAAAACGGTAAAACGAAATAACAGTATGTACCGGGATTGAATTCGCATTGACTCCCGGGAAAGGTGGAGGGAAAATGGCGAAGTCTTATAGTGCATGTCCCATGGCCGGCAGTACTGTTGAATAGCAGTGAGTGCTACATGCATTGCGCGCTATACAATAGCGTACTGTACAATGTGCTGCACACTTGTGCGTATGTCTGAGACTGATCGTGGTGAGCTTCGCCACTGTTCGCGCTGTGTGATCGCTGCAAGTGTGCGCGTGCATGGATTTGAATGATGGGTGGGGAAAGAAGTAAACTACGCAAATTCTGGGAACACAACAATATTATCATTGAAAATAAATATGAATACTTCTGTGCTGCAGAGAAATTATGGAGATTTCTGTGTGAAGAAAACTGTGTAGATTGCTGTTACGATATCAGAACAATTATTAAAGGTCTTTATACTGACTAGACCCGTGAACGTGGCTTGTAAACTACAACGCCACGTTCACGGGTCTATATACTGACGTGCATGCACTTACATTCTTCGATGGTAACGTACTTGTCCATGGTTGGTTCAATAAACGTGTGTCTGGCGATGAAAGAAAACAATCTGATGTACACTATCCGTTAAAAACAGCCCGCGCTTGTGTAACGATGGCCAATTATGCAGACCGATGGTCCCATTCAGACGAGCTCAGTGCTAATGCCAATATAGGGGCCAATATAATAATACTGAGCACAAAAAGCATTGAAGCTTTGATGTCAATCAGGAATGACCCAGCAGATCAACTGTATGGAACGCCAAAGAGGCATTTAATGTGATCATCGAATCGGTGATACACTTTTGCAATCGGTGATGCATATTCACGATCGGTGATGGACTTTCGCGATCGGTGATGGACTTTTACTGGTGATGCATATTCATGTTCGGTGATGGACTTTCGCAATCGGTGATGGACTTTTACTGGTGATGCATATTCACGATCGGTGATGGACTTTCGCAATCGGTGATGGACTTTTACTGGTGATGTATATTCACGATCGGTGATGGACTTTCGCAATCGGTGATGGACTTTTACTGGTGATGCATATTCATGATCGGTGATGGACTTTCGCAATCGGTGATGGACTTTTACTGGTGATGCATATTCACGATCGGTGATGGACTTTCGCAATCGGTGATGGACTTTTACTGGTGATGTATATTCGATCACGATCAGTGATGGACTTTCGCAATCGGTGATGGACTTTTACTGGTGATGCATATTCACGATCGGTGATGGACTTACGCGATCAGTGATTGACTTTTACTGGTGATGCATTTTCACGATCGGTGATGAACTTTCGCAATCGGTGATGGACTTTTACTGGTGATGCATATTCACGAGTGGCGATGGACTTTCGCAATCGGTGATGGATTTTTACTGGTGATGCAAATTAACGATCGGTGATGGACTTTCGCGACCGGTGATCAACTTTGCAATCGGTGATGGACTTTTGCGACCGATGATCAACGACCCATCACCGATTGCAAAATCCATCATCGATCGCCAAAGTGCATCAGTTATTGAACGTGCATGCCGCTGTGGCTTAGGGTTTCTCGTGTTGCCCCTGACGGTGATATTTGTTTACGGTGTTTTTGTGTTTGAAAGTGTCTTCCTCATATGTGAACTGCATTTTTTTTAAAGATTTATGTGCGTAAGATGTTTTTTGTTAGTGTATGCCGCTGTGGCTTTGGGCTTTGGTGCTGCCCATATTGCAACCGGTAAATGCCCAATCGATGGTATCCGGAATAAAAACACTCCTCTGTGGATGTGGCATAAACACAATAATTTGTTTTTATCCAATAAATGGTAAAAAGTTTTTTGCACCTGATGATTGATGGGTGGATCACATTAAATGCCTCTTTGGCGTTCCATACAACTGACCCTTTGCAGAAAATCAAAGCCCTGCATGCTCTGCTGTCACACACAACGTACGGTGCATTGACCCGGCGACCTTCACAGCCCCACTGCGTAGACCGGACTATACATAAACAGCAGGTCGATCCTCAGAACAAAGGCGATGTCTGATTTGACAAGAAAAGTGCCCCTTTTTCTTCTCTACCAATCAAAACGGTTGTAACATGAAAGGAAAGCTTATTGTGTTCCCTTTCAGAAACTGTGCGAGGTAATTGTATGCGACCACGTTCACACGTGTGCCGTTCGAAGAAGTAAACCCTCACCCTCAAAAATCGGGGAAATGTGCCGTGACCTCCATAGAAAACATCACTTAGTTGCCCGCTTTTTCAATGGAAAAGTGCACATAATTATTCGCCTTTAATCATGAAGAAATTATATTCATTGTGAAAGAGGAATATCTATATTTTGTGATGCGATGCGAGGGAGTAATTAACCAACACACGTTCCGCATATTGACAAAAGTTTGCTCAGAGCGCCTAGACTTGAGCCAGTCTTCCCATGTAAACAGAGCTGCACTAGTGGCAAGTGAGCAAATGCTCCCATGCCTAACGATCGTCGATCACGGCCTATACTCAATAATATACGGAAGCGTATTTAAGACATGACCGAAAATATTGTTTAGGCCCACTGCTTCGCCCGGGTACGTGGATTACTATTTCGCCCGGGCGGATTACTATTTCGCCCGGGCGGATTACTATTTCGCCAGGGCGGATTACTATTTCGCCCGGGCGGATTAGCATTTCGCCCGGGCGGATTACTATTCCGCCCGGGCGGATCGATTACTAATTCGCCCGGGCAGATTAATTACTAATTCTCCCGGCCGGGCAGACTACTTATTTGCCCGGGCGAATTAGTAATCCGCCCGGGCGAAATAGTAATCCGCCCCGGGCGAAATAGAGGGCCGGAAATTTTGGTCATGTCCTAAAATACACTTCCGTAATAATACCAAACACAAGAGGCATTGAAGCTGTTTAAATGTATGTCGAATACTGGAATAGGAATAAGTACCCAGCAAATCGCTGAACTCGACCTTGAACCATGCACGATCGCACTGTGTAGCCTTGCCGTATCGCGTCCGTAAACAGAGTAGGATATTAGACCTGGCCAAGTCTGTGTTTCGCTCTGATCTTGTATACAATAACACGCCTACGTGTAGTGTACATGGCAACACAGGAACTCAGCATGGGCACAGCTCATGGGAGTCATGATAACGTCACACTGCGCAAGACCGATGCTCATGCTTGCCTTTCGGAATACCTGAGACCGTACGTGGCACCAGATTGCGGGTGAATCTGACAAGAGACTTTTTCAGAGTAAATTATGGCAACTCCAGAGCTAGATGTCCGTACAAACCGACAACTCTAACATTATGTCGGAGCACACCACAATTAGGTCACATATTTATTAAGGTCGAGCATTGTACCGCCGGCAGTGTTGCTGTGTACAAGCTATCACGGAACGTACCTTGTTACTGCATGCACATTCGAATATGTGCATGATGTAGGCTTACATGTGCATACATATTGTTGAGTTGAGGGTTGTATTCATCATGTTCATGTTTTGCCACAGGAATAATATTCTTCTATGGTACATATATACCTTGCTCTATGCATAGGTCTTTAACCTGACGTATACGCTTCCATCGCCATGGACATGTACCTAACCGTCGAAGATTGTAAGTACACTTTAATTGTGTATACATCAACGGACGATTAAAGTTTGTTTCGTCAGCAGTATCTCAATTGTCAATACCCTGAGAATCTTGGCCCATTTACTGTCTCATAATTTACCCCAGACTCCACGTATACGTGTTATAATTAATGAAATCATATGTTTAATAATTTCCCATTGACATGTGTCAAAAACCCTATTATAAACAATATCGTTAATGATATACTTCACTTACTTGTTCTGCCTGTTGCCTAAGTAAGAAGATTTTGATATATTTTGAATGCACATCCGTGTTTTTGCTACATGAAGAATAAGAGTGCTGCATGTTCCTTGTTAATCCTTGCGAATCAAAGACGGACCTGTTACTTTTTGAACGTATTTTTAATAAGTCTAGCACGTTTGTTTTGGCTTGCAGTTCGAGATATGAGGAGGGAAATGTACACGGCTCAGAAACCGTACACGCTGGGCGAGTACGAAGGAGTCCCGCTTAATTCAAACATTTGCAAAATCATGGACGAGCTGAGGTCATTTGAGGTCAGAGCCGACGACTGTTGGATCGTTACCTACCCAAAAGCAGGTGAGAACACTATGGCTGCACATTTTTCGGACATGCTATTTGGGCAGGGTGCAGCTATTAGGCCTACATATTTTTCGTATATTTAAGTAGCGTAGACATATATTTATATGTATACCATGAGCGGCATTTTGTAGGGCTGCCCATAAGGGCAAACTTTTATGCCGTGGTTGGCAATTAACAGATAATACCAACAGTTTTACGTTGCATTTTTGGTACACAGCGATTGTCGAATATCTCGTACTTCCAGCAATCCAATGATATCATTGGAAACAAGAATATTCTTTTGCAATGTTCATCTTCAATAGTTAGCCAACCACGGGTAAGCAAGCAAACGGTCAATGAAATGTGTCCGACAGTTGTAAAACGGAGTGAAGGGACGATTGACTTCCTTTAGAACACCAAGAGCCAGGGAAAGAAAAGATGAATTCCGGTTTCTTCATTGAAAAGTTGGGTTTCATTGAACATAATAAAATGAAGAGAGTTATACTTTGGACACCGTAACCCTTCGCAGCCACTAGACTGCGCAGGGATATTTTGTGAGCTACGTGCTGAGCAAGCGATTTCAAATGACTTTTTGAAAGCTCAGCTAGTATCTTTTTCAAGATTCTGCTAAAAACAGTACAATTAAAGGCAGAAATAACGGAACACTGGCTATCAAATGATTCTAGGGAAGGGACAAAAGAAAGGTATCTTAACCTGCAACTATTGACATGATTTTGTTTTCCTTTTCACAGGCACAACTTGGCTTCAGGAGATCATGTCGGCCGTGATGCATGATGGGAACCTTGAAGAGGTCAACAAAAGCCACTTTATGCTCCGTGTGCCATATTTTGAGCAGACTTTCCCCGAGGAAGTAAGGCGGCTCAAAAACGTAAGTGTATGATTGTACCTGCAAAAACTGTGTTTAGCAATTGAACACTTGTTTAAACACACATTTCGTGCACTTAGTTTGTAAACATGTTTAAATACAAAACGTGATTAGAGTATTGATGGATAGTGTTTAAAAATAGAACATTGATATTTAAGAATTGGATTCGCAATGTTTAGCTTCTAAACATAATTACAAAATGATAGTAGAATTGTATTTATGCCAACACAATTTTAGGAGCGTGCGTTTCACCGCAATAGGAGATTGTTGGTTACTGTTTTAATGCGTTGATGTATTGTTTATAAAATGCAGGACGCGAGCACGAATTTCCATCTATGTTTCTCTTGACAACATGCTGGTCACATTTCTTCAAATTAGTGTGTTCTGCATACGAATGTGCAGTTAGTGCAACGTTCTAATTGAAACTAACTGACAGTAGTTAATCTACGAAGAATGCATGCTGCAACAACCTATGCAATTGGAGACTTTTGAGACGTTGGTGGCAGCAAACATACCAGTCCTTTCTCCATTGTTTGCGTCATATTGAACATGCGTCCTTTAGCTTAAAGGTAGAGTCCATCATTTGTAATTTGTGCATTTTGTTACTTTGAAGCAACAAAAGTGCTCAAAACCTAAAGAAGGGTACTGTACAACTAACCTGATGAAGTTTCAGCTCAGCTTCAGCTGGATATTCCGGGAAAACCAGCATTCTAGGATCTCGATTTCAAATCAAAAGTTGCTGAATCATGTTTTGAATGGGGCCTAAATTCAGCGTCCTCACTGAGCCGATTGCAGCTACGCGATTCGTGCACGGATCTGACGAATTACGGCAACCGCGCGCGCGTGTGCGTCGTGCCAATCCTTGCGCGCGCTTCGCCAAATAACAAAACGAACTACCTATTCAAATTTCTTACTGTGCGTCTTAAGAAGCACCGTTGGAAAGGCTTTCTTGTGTTGATTTCTTCAAAATGAGAGCTTGCCAGAAAGAATAATTTCACAGGGAGTTTAGTCCCCTTACTATCTTTCAAGAATGTTTTTCAACAATAATTACGCCAGTTACTTTTCGGATAGCTGCAAATGATGGACTATATCTTTAAACATGGACGTAAACAATTGAAAAGGGCCGGTCTGTTCACTGTCACCAACGTCTCAAAAGCCTCCCATTGCCAGAAAGACATTCATATGTCCATTATTTCATTCTCTACAGCTCCCTTCAACTCACAGAATAGCGGACGAGATGCCTTCCCCTCGTGTCATCAAGTCCCACCTCCCCGGCCAGCTCCTGCCTCCACAAATCTGGACCAAGAAAGCCAAGATCGTCTACGTCATCCGTAATCCAAAGGACTTGATGGTGTCTTATTTCCACTTCGAGAACATGATGAATTTAAAGAGCGCAGGGCTGCCATTTGAGGAGTATTTAGGGTACAGAAACTCAAAGAAAGGTATTCTCTCGATTATTTGACAAATCAATTAATGCTTTCAGGTGGTTATTATTTATGCCTATACAAGTTTTGATGCAACCATTTATAATGAAAGAAAGGAAATGAGAATTGAATGGAGTGTTGGTGATATGACTTAGAGACTCATCCCAGATTGGCACGGTGGGATTTGAACCCAGGTCGCAATGTTAGGAGGTAAAGAAGTTACCACCACGCCAATTGACAGATATATCCGCCTTAAAAGTAATGGATCTCATTTGCTGAAAAAAAAGTGTTTGTCAGAAAAAAAAGGTATTTTTAACGATTCAGGGAACAATACAGTAAATCTGAACTTTCTGCTTGTTAGAGGTACGTTTTGCCAAAGTGCCTCTTTCTGCTCAGCACATAGCATGGGTTTCCGTTGGCAGCGCGATGGGTTGGTCCAAACCACCACGATAGTCATGCCTCGTTTCTCGAGAATGACAGCCTGCTGCATCGCAATGATTTCACAGGATGATTGATCTCATTTCATGATGTTTTGACAAATTCATTTGTGAATGTTTGCAAATCGGGTCCATTACCTTTACTGAGATCGTGTGCCTTGTTTGGTTGTTTTAAGCAAGTTACGGATCTTGGTGGGACCACTACTTGTACTTTTGGAAGAGGAGGCATGAACCTAATGTTATGGTGCTACGATTTGAAGATCTGAAAAGAGTGAGTGTTTGCATTTATATGTTGAAATAACAACTGTCGTGTACTTCGTTGGTAGACGCAAAAAATGTATATGTCCCTGTAGACATCCTTTTTAAAATATAGACATAAACGAACACCAATGATATGCGTTCAGGTCCGGCGCTTGTATAAAAGTGGCGGATCTACGGGGAGGTTGTGGAGTGGGTCCATCCCTACCTCCCCCCCCCCCCACCCCCTCACCCTATCCATAACCCTTGCAGCCAAAAATAGGAGATACATTGCAGTTAAGATACATTGGGTTACAATCTATTGGCATGGGAAAATATTGCTGGGACTTCACCATTGGCGTCCCCTCAAAAAAAAAAAAAAACAGAAAAGTACAGAGGGACCTTTCTCCCTTCCCCGGGGGTCGCTGCCCATGCTTCCCTCTCATATTGACCTATCGCGGTAGAATCGCGTTAGAATCGCATCAACGCAGTTTGTGAAAAATTGTCCAATTACATGATAAACGAGTGGACGCCGAACGCGCAAAATCTGAGACAAACAAAACTTAGTGTACAAAAACTCAATATGTTGTCTAAGGGGCGTGGCTAACTCGCATACGGCGATAGGTCGATTGAAAACTACGCACCCTCCCTCCTGATTCGACTAGGATCCAGCCCTTCGCTAGACTACCACCACTCGACATCCACATTGCGACCGATCAACGGACGTGTAATGTCCATTTTTAATCCAGGATCTGAGACGAAACGTGGAGATAATCAGTCGGTTTCTGGGCAAAGCCCTGTCTGCCAAGACACTGGATGACATCACGAAGCACTGCTCATTCTACAACATGAAGAGCAACCCCATGACCAACCCTGACTACTTATATGCATCCGACGAGAGACCAGGCTATTCCTTTATGCGGAAAGGTAAATATGATGTTTTTTTAAAGATTATTTCTCACTTAAAAAAAGCGAACCAGACGGGCACACAATTCAATTCAATTCAATTCAAAATACTTTATTTATCCTTAAAAAAAGGCAATTACATATGGTTGGACAGCTCATTAAAGACACTTAATAAATTCCAAGTCGAGTAAAAATAAATACATCAATCACAAACAACATGTCCTTATCTCAATTAAAATTAGTGTAAAATCTTATCTTATCTAAAAAATAGTATATTTAGACGATTAATGTACACATGATGAAAAAAAAATGTTTACTTAAAAAAAATTCCAATTTAAAATGAAGTAGTCAAGGCTAGACAGGAAGGACGCACCCACCTCCCTTCGAACATTAACGTTAATCAGAACTTCCCATTCGTCCGAATTACAATAAACTGTGTTTATTTTTTTATTTTTGTTTTTCATTTGTAATTTTCTTTTTCCATTTCAGGTAAAAGTGGGAATTGGAAGACCCACTTCACTGTGGCGCAGAATGAATCCATGGACGCCCTCATTAAGGAGAAGCTGCACGGTACCGGACTCACCTTCGATCACTGACCAATCAGATTGCAGCAACTTTGTTAGAGCTAGCCAATCAGGCATTGAAACAGTAAAGAGATGAAACAGATAATTATTTATGGCTACGTTCCTTTGAAAGTTACACATTTCATATTGCATTGGGATCAATTGCCTTCCACTAAATTGGAATAGCTGTGGTTGGGATATATTCTGACCAACAATTGGGAACAATTCCGACGGAATAATCGGTTGATATCCTTGACCTTTGTCACTGCCCAACCATTGAGCTTCATCTCACGTTATGAATAAATTTACCAAATGTTGACATTGTAAACGAAAAAAAGACAACTGTTTCACCAAAGTAGGCCTACCGCGTACTTTTATTTGAACATGCTGTAAACGTACAGTGCGTTTTGCCTTCGAAAAGGAAGGTTGTTGCTAAATTTTGGCTGTAATTTAACTATGAAGATAAAAAAAAAAGCCGTAGAAAAATCTCAATTATTGAAGCACTGTAGTATCTTTACTTAAATCTAAATATAACAGATGGTAAAATGTTCGGATTGCAAATTTGCATCCTCAAGTTTGATTATTCTAGTCTGTTAATTATCACCCACAATGGCGTCATTGAAAAGGCACAGTGGTTTCGGGCGCTACAGTGATTAAAAGTTTAAAGCGCCCCATTCGCTGGAAAAGATGGCCCATTGACTCCCACGAGTTTGTCAAAAATTACCGCACTTCAAATAACTGCCATGCAGAGACTCTCATTGATACCTAAACCAATAAAAGACATTTGGACCTTTTCCTGTTTTAATCGCCGATGACAGCACCCAGCCCCTCGTATCAAATGTTTGAAGGTCATTATGCCTATGATATCAATTCAGGCGTATTAAATGTCACTGCGTATTTTGTACCAGTTCTATCTTCACTTTGAGCGACGATTATCTCGTTAAATCGGTGCATTTCCTGGTAATAGCAATTATTAGCAAATAACTACACAGGAGACGTAGCGCCCTCTATCGTTACTACAGTACACATAAAGTCCTCTACAATGAAATTTGCAACAAGTATGAAATAAAGCTGTTTGCAATAAAGCTGCAATCTTTACTTTTGAACAAGGGCTCTTTCGTTAAATCGGTAGGTGCATACAATCGCAAATGACTATACAGGAGACGTACCGGTAGCGCCCTCTATCGTCACTACGGTACACATCAACTCCTCTACTATGAAATTTACAACAACTTTGTAATTAAGATGCTTGCATAGTAATCAGAATGTTTATGTCTTAAAAACGTATCTGATACATAGTATCTGAATCGCCTGGACAAGCTCTCCATTCCACAACTTGCGGATGGCTATTGGTCGAACGTCAATCCGGTCCCGTAACACTTGTCTCGAATGAGGGCGTCCATAGCCTCGTTCTGAGCCACAGTGAAGTGAGACTTCCAATCTCCAACTTTGCCTGAAATAGGACAAACACAACCGAGCGAATAATCTCAAGGACTTGAATTGTCTATGACTGGTGTAAAGGCTAACATAACGCCGACTCTGTTAAACGAAAGCACACGCACCTCCACACGTTTGTTTTTATACATACCTAATGTGGACATTCTTTGTCAGTGAAAAAAACTCATTTTTACTCAAACTATGACATTTTTTTCAACCACATTTTTTTCTATGATCTCTTTAGTGTTTCTCTTCATTTTGCCACTGATAAACCTAGCCCCAAAATGCCTCTAAACCTGTTTTCAAGAGAAAGGGAAACCTTGTGTGGACGTACGTGGGCAAGTCCACACAACGTATCTTGGAACTGGTTTATGTGGACATCTTTTGTTCGGAAGTCCTCATAGTGAATGTAATGCTTGTACAATAAAGCTGCTGAGACATATTGTAGCATACCAAAATGCACTATGAGTCAAATAAATCCCTGGGAATCAAGTGGGAAAAGAAACCTGCTCTAATTATTTTGATTCCGTCAACCGATGAGGATGTCTACCTTTTCTCATGAAGGACCCTTCCTGCGGGGCGGTGTCGGCGGCCTGCTTCAACCGATGAGGATGTCTACCTTTTCCCATGAAGGACCCTTCCCGCGGAGCGGTGTCGGCGGCCTGTTCCGGTGGTGCTAAGATGGAGTCCGGGTTGGCCATGGGGTTCTTCTTCATGTTGGCGAAGGTGCAGTGGTCGGTGATGGCGTCCAGTGTCTCGGCGGGCAGGTCCTTGCCCAGGAACTTGCTGACCCTTTCAACATTGCCCCTTAGATCCTGAAGCGAGGAGGATATAGATGGAAACTAAAGGCCGTGTCTCAACAACTTGGCTACATGCACTTGGGAAGTGGATGTGGCTGAGTGGCGTAGCGGGGGGGGGGGGGGGGGGGAGGCAGAGGGGCACTCTGCCCTCCCCCAGCAATTACTTCAATAAATGGTATTAAGAGAGTTTTATCATCCATCCACCAAAACAAAGCCCGCTCAAAATCCATTACAATGAGCCGTGAAAATGGGTATATACTTTGCAGTTTGGATAATAATGGCAGTTTAGAAGAGCGCCCCTATTAGGAAGGTGGGGACCAGCCCCCCCCCCCCCCGCGCTTTTTGACTGTACAGAGGCAAAAATTCCGGAGAAAAAATGTGTACATTTCGGCGCGGATGTCCGGTTGCCCCCCCCCCCCCGACATCCAAGCTGGATACGCTACTGATTTGGTCGCTTCCAAAGGTTTTCATTTGCAGCCGCAGCTAAGTTCTGACACGGCTAACATGCCATTTCTATGATGAGCGTATGCCTTGAGCGCTGTTCACAACGACGCCATTTTCCGGATATGAACAGTAAACAAAATATCACCTCAATTGAAACAATTTAGTAGATTGATTGAATCGAAAAAAGTAAAGATTGCCAATACAATTGACTACAATTGACAACCAATTCCATTGATTTCTCTAATTCTAAGAAAGTGACTGTTAACAGTCATTCAATACGGAAAAGACTACGATTATTGTTTGTATGCGATCGATGACATGTTTGCTGCCTCCTCTCTCCCATATACCTTTTGTGTTCAAATGGTCAGTGCGGTGATGTAATCATCGAGTTCTTTCTTTGTACGGCCTTACAGTGGAACTCTTGCCAGGTTCCTGCTTTGCTCCTTGTACCTTATCACAGTTCGAGCGAAACATCAACAGACTTCTTCCTCTTGAACTTGCGTCTAATTACCCCCCCCCCCTTTTTTTGGGGGGGGGGGAGAGTAGTAGTAGCCCATGGCCCTGTGTTTGACGATGTCCGCAAAATATACCTCCTTCTTGCACATTCAGACTGATGGAATTTTCGTCGTGGTGATGTAAATTAGTTTTGCCCCTCACCGATGTATTTAACACTGTATGCTCAGTGCGTAACCTCCCAGAGTCAAAGTTGTAAAAACAGGTGCGAGTGCATTATGCTTGCCTGTCAAAAATGATCACTTACCCTTTTCAGGTCTTCAAATCTCAGCAGGAGGACGTTTGGATGGTGTCTCAATTTCCAGAAGAACAGGTAGTGATCCCACCATGGACCGTAAAGAACTTTGCGAATAAAAAAGACCATGTCTTTACTAGATCTATAGGTCCAGAACGAAGTAGCTGAACTCATTATTACATAAGTATCTACATATGTGTTTACTCTAATGCTATAGATGGTAGTGGGTTGCGGATGGAACAGGGATTCGTGGTTCTAAACGGAAACAAATAGGCTACAATTGGAACCCATATGTAGGCCTGTATCTTATGATTTGGGATTATAAGACATGTTTCTGAGCAATGAAGGCGCTGACTTCGTTGTCATTCTCAATGCCATTCCCTGGGTATCAACAACGGCACAATGCGTTTATTTAAGTAATTTAGCAATAATATCTCAGTCTGAACTTGATGATTGTAAATCTATTTCTGAATGTAAACTAATTACGTTAATGTAGATTTATAGTATTAACTTCGGATTCATATCTATTTGTAGCACCAAAGTGGTTGCAGCGCCCTCATTTGCACGAAAATGAGACGTACAGGGCCGTTGTTAGAGGAGACCCGTGTGCAAGATCTTGTGCCTCTTGCACATGCAAATTAGTTCACGGAATGGTCTGGTGTCTGCAGTGCACATGTTTTAAAATAGTGTTTATGTTTATCTGCGGTGACTGTTTATGGTACGGGCGTTATCTATCCGTTTTGGTGTGAAATCTGAAAACATGATGACTTTTTATGCAGAAAGTTACATAACAAGGAAAATGGAAAAGGAGGATTGTGGGGTTTTTTTAGTAGCCGTAACAGGAATCGCCAGGTACCAGTGGTGTAGTCAAGTCCTATCACAAGTGCTACAAGTTGAATCACATGTCCTTTCATGAGTTCAGTTCCAAGTAACGGGCTGAACAATGTGACAAAGAGAAATGTTTTTTGCAATAGTTCATTTGATTGAATAGCTAGCTATTTGACTTGAGACGGACTTGTGATGAACTTGCAATGAACTTGCAATGAACTTGCAGGGACTTGTGATTGACTTGAATACTACACTGGAAGTACACAACATCACTTATCAGGATACAAGTTTCCCACCAAGGGGTAACTATTGGAAGTGGGGTTGAAAATAAAGTGCTAAGCCTAGCCATGAGGATGAGATTGGAGGAGACAATGTTCCTCACTTTTTCCTGACATCATTTCGTCGAAATACTCGCTGAATGTCTGGCCGCTCCTGCCGGTAGGACTGACTCGCTTGAGGAAGTAGAAGTACGACACCATCACGTCTTTTGGGTTACGGATGACGTAGACGACCTTGGACTTGTCCCAGATGTTAGGGGGCAGCAACTGACCGGGGAGATGGGACTTGATGACGCGGGGAGATTGAATCAGCTCAACCACCTGGTAGGTCAGTGGTAGCTAACAAAAAGAAACAATTAGAGTCATAATGGTGTCACCACACAAAGGACCAACTATAGAACATTATCATGTTGCGGCCCTCTTGAGTTTTTCCCATTCAAATCAACGTAACCAAGGCGATGCTGGAAGGAAAAATAGTCTGGTTCCTTTTTGCACCAAACCCCCTTATCATTCAGTACTATATTAGATACAGGGAACATGACTCAAATGGTGGCAGCATGATCAAGGTCTATAAACATAGTGATTGTTTAAGTTAAATCCACTGAGTCGATCCCCCGCCCATACAAGGACACCACCTTATAGGAGACACGTTGTTGAAGGAGTAAATTATTTGATATTAGGGAGACACTGGTCATCAAGGAGTAATATCGATATTACTTCAAGAGTCTGGGTAATGTGGAAACTACCAATTCTTGAGGGAAGTTTCTTGTCCAAAGTTTTATTTTACGACATCTTTAATGAGGGTAAACTCCGATCAATGCAAGGCACTGCTTTCCATGGAGGCCCTCAATATGAGAAACACGAGACCCATTATGTAACACCTTTAAGGGTTACAAGGTGCTGCGGCGCATATTGCTGCCACTGCCAGAAACACTGTGGCAAACCCCTTCTCCTAGCGATAAAAGTAAATGGGTTCTTTAACGTGCTTTACACAACACACGGGACCTAGGCTTTACGTCCCTTCAGAAGGACAAAACAATAATGGTAAAGTGCCTTGCTCAAGACCATAAGCACCATATGTTCCCAGGTATCGCGGCACACGGGTCGAACACCGTAACCATTGGACCACAGTACCCCAAAATGTATTCAACATGATTCATTGGATCGAGAAAAGTATAATAATTAAAAAGTCTGGGGATGGGAGAGTATTTAGAAACGCAGTGGTTATGGGAGAGATTTTATTTGCTTTTACTTGTGCACAAATCTATGAGAAAGTCGCATTCTCGGTGATTATTATGCAAAAATAATTAACTTTTGTCACGAATTCTTTTGAAGACAAAACAATGACCGCAAAAGGCTAGTACTTAAGAAAGGGAAGCTAGAATACACCAGTCAAGGAATTGTTGGCAACGGTGCCAAAATATGGTGATATTTGGCGAAAGTGACACGATTTGTCTGGAAAAGAAGACGATTTCCCCGATAAAAATGACTAATCGGGCTTACCCTATTTAGTTGCCGAATAGTCTTTGGCAAATTAAACTCTATGAACGGCATCGGGGACGCAGTATGTCGCTTGTTGACTTCCTCCAAGTTCCCGTCATGCATCACGCACGACATGATCTCCTGCACCCAAGTTGTTCCTGGAAACATACATTTGATCCTGGTAACTTTGTTTGATGATGGACACAATGGGAGGGCGCTATTGTAGTGGGTAAACTCTCAAATTTATCCAAACCGAATAAAGTACTCATGTCTGCCATTATAGGCCAGTTACTCTCTCGCACTGCTGTAGCATTCGAAATGATGGCTAGTTTCTCTGGTCATAACGAAAAGTTTGCCCTTGAATAGATTCCAGAGAAAATACGCGTTATAAATACTTATACTAATTATAGCGGCCTCTTATACTATGTGGCCTCTCTGGGCTCCGATATATATTGCACTAAATTTAGTTGGGCACCATTGGCAGTCAGCAGCAGACATTTGATGGGGAAAAAGTAAACAAACAAAACAAATGGCGTCGCCGCACCATTTTTAAGCGAGCTCCATACCATAAACTGAAGACTTTTTTGGCCTAACACAAGAATAAAAGAAAACGCCAAGTTTTTTGAGTAAAGTCGTGTGGATGTTTATATCCTACTATTAGATGTTCGTTCTGATTATTCGTTCAAAGTGCGTTTTATAGCCCAATTGGGCTCATTCCGGGCAGCGGGAGCCCTTTAACGTGCTTAGCAAGCTCCATGAATAGTGCTCTTCTCGTACTCTACCTGCTTTGGGATAGGTCACGATCCAGCTATCGTCATCTCTGACTTTAAATGTCTTCAGTGCCTTGACCACATCATCTCCTTCCTCGTAAAGTGTGATGCCTTCATGCTCCACGTAGCCAAACGGGAGGGGCTTCGTCGTCAGTTTCTGGTCTATAGGGAATAGATAGAAGACCTGAGACGTAATGACATCTTTGTTTACATTATGCGAGCTCGTTTTCACCTACCTGTCATAGGTATAAGCGTACATGTAAACAAAGCCTGACGTCATTTTGTCTCGATGTTATGGCATGCATTACTGTCTGGTCTGCAATATTGTTGCGGTTCAATACGAGATATATTGTAGTATATGCCACTAGCTAGTCCAAAGCACACGCAGTGGATCCTGGAAGGGACCATTTTTCCCCAGCAATCAATGACAGCGTAAAATGGTGCCACTTTGGGGAGCAAAAAAAGTCTTTAACAATTAAATACTAATGGATGGCTTTGAGGTGAATACAAGAATATTGCGCGGGCTACGACATTAGTGCGCGAGTCGAAGACGAGTGCAATATTGTTATAGCGAGTGCAATATATATTCTTGTATCCGCCGAAAAAAAACCCAATATTTTTATCATATATATCACGCTGACTTGATTCGCAAGAAATACATTTCAAGACACTGCAGTCTGCATTTCTCCAATTTCATCAAACTATTTGAAGCTGTCATTGTGATTGTTGACAACAGTGCGCGTACACCTTGCCTGCTGCGCGCTGCGCGCAAGGTGTACGCGCACTGTTGTGGGCGTCCGTGTTCGAAGGTACCTTGCGCTTTAATTGCGATCTGTTGACTGGTTGACGCTCTTGATCGTGCGGGAACCAGCGAAAATGCATGGATGAGGGTGCGCCGGGCAATATCAAGAGTAATATTGTCCGCAATCCGGGTACTTTTACTGACAATATTGCTGTCATCCGGGTACTTTTTACGAAAGCATGTAATACGCTGATTTTTTTATTATTTTTTTCACTGGAATTAGCTTGATATAAATAATAATATCTTATGTTTTGACGCACGTTTAAATTGCCAGAATTCAACTTTTTACAAACTTTAATTTCCAGACTGAACCGAAGTAAATGTCCAACTGCTCATTATAAGTGATGTTTCTTCTTTTTGCAGCCATTTTCGAAAGCTGTACTTTTCGGGGAAGGGTAAAAAAGGTTTGAGGTTTCTATCCGAAAGCATCTTAATTAAAGAAGAAACACGTTTCAGCTCACGGGATCAGGTCGAAGGTCGCGGGATCAGGCCACAATTTTGTAGCTTATGTGTGCTACGTTTAACGAGTCATTGAATTTTCGACTCGAGGCAAGTAGAGTCGACCCCCTTTTTCGCGAGTAACTAGAACGTCGCTCTTATAGTAGTCAAATCGAGTCTTTCCAACTAAGGCAGTAACTCTAGTCGAATCGATGTTCTTATGGTCATTTACTCGAGTCAAGTTGGGTCATTCTGCTGCAGATACTCGAGTAGCGTTCAAAACCGAGTTGGATCACGTTCTTACTCGAGTCTATTCGAGTAAACATCTCAACGTCAATGTATCTAGTAATCATGGCGTTATATTTTTGTCATAGTGGTTGGAGTTATAATACAACTTACACACTTCATCTGGTATCAACTTGTCCATGACTACGTCAGAACACTGAGAACCTGTGCAGAAATGAAAACACACGGCATGTTGATGAGTTCACTGCACTTGCCAGGGTGATGCACGTTTTACTAAATGATCTGTTCGCCCGGGTTTAATGGGTTCATGAAGTGACGTTTTCTTAGGAACACAGTTTGTGCAACTTTCTACTCTTCTTTAATTTACGAACAATACTTGACACCCTTTTTGGTTGATATGATTGAAAAGTGCACTTCTTTAAACTACCTTTTAAAAGTCCATGCTTTTCCTGACAACCGATGTTGCTGTGATGTCACTTCAGGAAAACACTGTTAGTTTAGGGTTTTTGTTTTCAAATTGGCTTATTGAAAATGTTTGTGAGAAATGTTTATTCATTGGCTTTCTGCCAAAATGACACAACAACGAATCACCAAAGAACAGAAAATTTACGACAGCAAAATATCCAAAATTTCTAGCAACCTCTTGTGCTGAAATAGCTGTGACATTGAGTTTTTTCTGCCCGGAACGACATCACAGTTTTGCTCATGAATATGGAAATTTGTATTAGCATACAAGGAAAAAAACACCAAAATACCCGTCGATGGCAAAATGAAATTTGAAATGGGACACTTTCAAGAATAACATTAAAAACAGTTACATTGCATGGGCCATTAAAGGGCTATCACACAATTTGGCATTATTTTATGATCTACTGCACCAACCCTCAGTGGTCCAAATGTAGTGTAATTTGAATACAATGTTCAACCAAGCACAATGAAACTATTTGTCATGATAGTCGGCCTTACTTTTTCATGCAGTATTGTCAAGTGTAGAACGCCATGGTCCAGTGGTTACGGTGTTTGACTCATGTACGAAGGTGCGTGGGTTCGAACCCTGCCAGAAACATTGTGTTTGTGCCCTTGGGCAAGACACTTAACTACAATTATCTCTCTCCACCCAGGAGTATAAATGGGTACCTGTGAGAGTCGAGGACCGATTGAGCGATGATATCGGCTGCCGCGTGGTCCCATGGCCTAATGAGTAATTGTAAAGCGCTTTGAGATTGTTGATACGTTGGAAAGCGCTATAAGCACAATCATTATTAAATATTATTAAGTGAAGTTCTGTTATGTGCAAGTTATGACATTTATAGCCTCCCTTCAACTCAACATTAGTTGCATTTGTTGATTAAGTAAAACCTACCTGGGTTACAACGTCCTGGAAAGTTGATTAATTCCTGCTGGTTTACGGGTGAGTCTCCTCGAGCCGTCTCAGGCCTACACCCACAAACGTTATAGTTAGTTAGTTAGTTAATTAGTTACACATTAATGTGTCCTACAATAGGTGAGGCCTCGCCTTTAATTGCTATCTTTATATTGACATCGGTGTTCATGTTACTATGGCTATGCAGTACGGGACAGTGAAGAGTGGTGCTGGTGCCAGCTTGAACAAGTTCGCTCCATTGAAGTTGCACGTTGCCCTCCACGGACTTTATACGGCGTGACCCTAAGTGACAGGAGGCCATCACAATTTAATGGTGTAATGGTAAATGATGTGGATAGCTCCCTCATAGTGTCGCCAGATTCGTTCCCGCATGACAAAAATAAGTGTATAATCACAACATATTATATACTAATTGTCGTGAAATTTGGTACCTTGATCCAGTGTTGTAGTACTCGTACTCGGTACTAGTACTCAAGTACTACTCGAGTACTTTTTGGTTATACTCGTACTCGTACTCGAACGTCAAAGTACTCGTACCCGAAATGACGGTACTCGTACGTACTCGGGCAGCAAAGTACTCGTACTCGAATAACAGTACTGGGAGGGGGGGGGGTGGTATAGCTTGACTTTACACCAGAGCCTTATTTTATCGATACTTTCAGTTTGAAATGGTTGATTGGCTTTGTGGAGAAGTCGAAGTTTCCCGATTTTCTTCTGGGCAAGTCCGGACAAATACATTTAACAGCTAGCCGTGATTGGGTCTGTTTATCGGTATGACGGGGCCTGGGCCAATTACACATAATGAACAATTTGCCGTATGGCCGTGTTCGGAAATACAAGTACTCGTACTCGTACTCGGAAGTACGGTACTCGTACTCGTACTCGTACTCTGAAGTACTCGTACTCGTACCTGTACTCGGCAACTAAGTACTCGGTATTCGAAAAAAACGTACTTGCCTACAACATTGCCTTGATCCTGTAGTAATGTTTTCTTTAAATTCGGTCGCTGCCGAAGTTATTTGAAAGTGATGGGAGTTAATAAGTAACCGTGTGATATTTTCTACTCGAACCCCCGGTGTAGGGGGTTTTGGATAGAAAGTTTCAGATACCTACTTGTGACGGGGTGTCGGGTATTAAATCTCAACTTCAGACTTGACAGGCTTGTAATCGGGTGAACACGATTTAATCTGTCCATAACAAATACAAAATTTACTTTAAACAGTTGTAAATTGTTAGTATGAATCAACAAAAAATGTGTTTATAATTGAAGTTAAGCAATCATAACTAATCACATAATATCAGGCAATTAACATGATCGATGACACCAGCCTTGTCTGTGGGTCTACATGTACATTTTGTACCATTACACGCAAAAACCCTATTGTCACATGTAATTAACAACAATGAACATACATGTACATTAAAAACTGTCTCTATTTTATACTTGTGTGTGATTTTCCCCAAATTAAATACCTTAAACTTATCCCAGAACCCAAAGCATGTCCATAATAACCAAATAAAGGGATTATAAATGATGAGTTATGTATATTTCACTTACGACTTTGGGATGACGTGCTAACTAAACATGAAATATGGCGACTGCAAAAGCGTGACTGCGGAAAGTTCTAGATTACGGTCCAATTTAACAGCGCCCTCTATTGATGAAATATAACAAATAATTAGTTTATCAATAAAAGAGCATTCTGACTTAACACTACTTTAATGTGTTAGTAATGAACGAGGGGCCAGCGTTTTTTCTTTTCTTTTTTAAGTTTGAACCAATATGCACGTCGCTCGTGACAACGTTTGTACTGTATATCTACATAGTATAGGTTTTCCCGGCTATTTTAACACTTGTATGAATTTTCGTGCACGGATCCGACTAATTACAGCAACCGCGCGCGCGTGTGCGTCGTGCCAATCCTTGCGTGCGCTTCGCCGAATAACAAAACGAACTACTTATTTAAATTTCTTACGGTGCGTCTTAAGAAGCACCGTTGGAAAGGCTTTCTTTTGTTGATTTCTTCAAAATGAGAGCTTGCCAGAAAGAATAATTTCACAGGGAGTTTAGTCCCCTTACTATCTTTCAAGAATGTTTTTCAACAATAATTACGCCAGTTACTTTTCGGATAGCTGCAAATGATGGACTATATCTTTAAACATGGACGTAAACAATTGAAAAGGGCCGGTTTGTTTACTGCCACCAACGTCTCAAAAGCCTCCCATTGCCAGAAAGACTTTCATATGTCCATTATTTCATTCTCTACAGCTCCCTTCAACTCACAGAATAGCGGACGAGATGCCTTCCCCTCGGGTCATCAAGTCCCACCTTCCCGGCCAGCTCCTGCCTCCACAAATCTGGACCAAGAAAGCCAAGATCGTCTACGTCATCCGTAATCCAAAGGACTTGATGGTGTCTTATTTCCACTTCGAGAACATGATGAATTTAAAGAGCGCAGGGCTGCCATTTGAGGAGTATTTAGGATACAGAAACTCAAAGAAAGGTATTCTCTCGATTATTTGACAAATCAATGATTGCTTTCAGGTAGTTATTATTTATGCCTATTCAAGGTTTGATGCAACCATTCATAATGAAAGAAAGGAACTGAGAATTGAACAGACAAGCTACGTCTTAGCGGAGGGAGAGGGCTGCTTGGTGTACGTATTGCTGATACGATTTAGAGACTCGTCCCAGATTGCCACGGTGGGATTTGAACCCAGGTCGCAATGTTAGGACGTGAGGAAATTATCACCATCACGCCAATTGACAGATATATCTTAAAAGTAATGGATATCATTTGCTGTGTTTTTACCAATTCAGGGAACAATACAGTAAATCTGAACTTTCTGCTTGTTAGAGGTACGTTTTGCCAAAGTGCCTCTTTCTGCTCATCACAAAGCATGGGTTTCCGTTGGCAGCGCGATGGGTTGGTCCTAACCACCACGATATTCATGCCTCGTTTCTCGAGAATGACAGCCTGCTGCATCGCAATGATTCACAGGATGCTTGGTCTCATTTCATGATGTTTTGACAAATTCATTTGTGAATGTTTGCAAATCGGGTCCATTACCTTTACTGAGATCGTGTGCCTTGTTTGGTTGTTACGGATCTTTGTGGGACCACTACTTGTACTTTTGGAAGAGGAGGCATGAACCTAACGTTATGGTGCTACGATTTGAAGATCTGAAAAGAGTGAGTGTTTGCATTTGTATGTTGAAAGAACAACTGTCGTGTACTTCGTTGGAAGACGCAAAAAATGTATATGTCTCTGTAGACATCCTTTTTAAAATATAGACATAAACGAACACCAATGATATGCGTTCAGGTCCGGCGCTTGTGTAATAGTGGCGGATCTACGGGGGTTATGGAGTGGGTCCAGATAATAATTCATTGCTACGTTCCTTTGAAAGTTACACATTTCATATTTCATTTGGATCAATTGCCTTCCACTAAATTGGAATAACTGTGGTTGGGATAAATTCTGACCAACAATTGGGAACAATTCCTGACGGAATAATCGGTTGATATCCTTGACCTTTGTCACTGCACAACCATTGAGCTTCATCTCACGTTATGATTAAATTTACCAAACTTAGACATTGAAAACGAAAAAAAAAAAGACAACTGTTTCATCAAAGTAGGCCTACCTCGTACTTTTATTTGAACATGCTGTAAACGTTCAGTGGGTTTTGCCTTCGAAAAGGAAGGTTGTCGCTAAATTTTGGCCGTAATTTAACTATGAATATAAAAAAAAGCCGTGGAAAAATCCCAATTATTGTAGCACTTTAGTATCTCTACTTAAATCTAAATAAAACATATGGTAAAATTTTCGGATTGCAAATTTGCATCGTCAAGTTTGATTGTTCTAGTCTGTTAATTATCACTCAAAATGGCATCATTGAAAATGCTCAGTGGTTTCGGGCGCTACGGTGATTAAAAGATTAAAGCGCCCCATTCGCTGGAAAAGATGGCCCATTGACTCCCACGAATTTGTCAAAAATGTTCGCACTTCAAGTTAACTGCCATGCAGAGACTCTCATTGATACTTAAACCAATAAAAGACATTTGGACCTTTTCCTGTTTTAATCGCCGATGACAGCACTCAGCCCCTCGTTTTAAATGTTTAAAGGTCATTATGCCTATGATATCAATTCAGGCGTATTAAATGTCACTGCGTATTTTGTACCAGTTCTCTCTTCACTTTGAGCGAGGATTATCTCGTTAAATCGGTGCATTTCCTGGTTATAGCAGTTATTAGCAAATAGCTACACAGGAGACGTAGCGCCCTCTATCGTCACTACGGTATACATAAAGTCCTCTACAATGAAATTTGCAACAAGTCTGAAATAAAGCTGTTTGCAATAGAGCTGCAATCTTCATTTTTGAACTAGGGTTCTTTCGTTAAATCGGTAGGTGCATATAATCGCAAATGACTATACAGGAGACGTACCGGTAGCGCCCTCTATCGTCACTACGGTACACATAAACTCCTCTACTATGAAATTTACAACAACTTTGTAATTAAATTAAGATGCTTGCATAGTAATCAGAATGTTTATGTCTTAAAAATGTATCTGATACATAATATTTGAATCGCTTGGACAAGCTCTCCATTCCACAACTTGCGGATGGCTATTGGTCGAACGTCAATCCGGTCCCGTAACACTTGTCTCGAATGAGGGCGTCCATAGCCTCGTTCTGAGCCACAGTGAAGTGAGACTTCCAATCGCCAACTTTGCCTGAAATAGGACAAACACAACTGAGCGAATAACTTCAAGGACTTTAATTGTCTATGACTGGTGTTAAGGCTAACATAATGCCTACTCTGTTGAACGAAAGCACACGCACCTCCACACTTTTGTTTTTATACATACCTAATGTGGACATTCTTTGTTTTCGTGTAGTTAAGAAAAAACGTGAAAAAAAAACTCAGTTTTACTCAAACTGTGAAAATAATTTTCAAAAACATTTTTTTCTATGATCCCTTTAGTGTTTTTTTCTCCATTTTTCCACTGATAAACCTAGCCCCAAAATGCCTCTAAACCTGTTTTCAAGAGAAAGGGAAACCTTGTGTGGACGTTGGCAAGTCCACACAACGTATCTGGAAACTGGTTTATGTGGACATCTTTTGTTCGGAAGTCCACATAGTGAATGTAATGCTTGTACAATAAAGCTGCTGAGACATATTGTAGCAAACCAAAATGCACTATCAGTCAAATAAATCCCTAGGAAGAACAAAGTGCATCAAGTGGGAAAAGAAACCTGCTCTAATTATTCAGATTCCGTCAACCGATGAGGATGTCTACCTTTTCTCATGAAGGACCCTTCTCGCGGGGCGGTGTCGGCTAAGATGGAGTCCGGGTTGGCCATGGGGTTCTTCTTCATGTTGGCGAAGGTGCAGTGGTCGGTGATGGCGTCCAGTGTCTCGGCGGGCATGTCCTTGCCTAGGAACTTGCTGACCTTTTCAACATTGCCCCTCAGATCCTGAAGTGAGGAGGATAAGGAAACTATACTGGGCTGTGTCCCAACTACTTGGCTACATCTTGAAACAACACACTCTATTCTATAACAAGCATGAGGTCGTGGGTTGGAGTCCCACTCAGTGATTTTTTTCTAAAATTCACTCCGGAGGTTACACACCGAGCATACAGTAACTATACATCGGTGAAGGGCAAAGCCTACTCTTGAATTGTTGCTTATTGTAAAGCTCACATGTAAATATCGCATGCATGCATAGTGCTTGCCTTCAGTCAAAAATGATCACTTACCCTTTTCAGGTCTTCAAATCTCAGCAGGAGGACGTTTGGATGGTGTCTCATTTTCCAGAAGGACAGGTAGTGATCCCACCATGGACCGTAAAGAACTTTGCGAATAAAAAAGAGACCAAGTCGTTACTAAATTTATATAGGTCCAGAAAGAAGTAGCTGAACTCATTATTACATAAGTATCTACAAATGTGTTTACTCAAACGCTATAGATGGTAGTGGGCTGCGGATGGAACAGGGATCGGAAACAAATAGGCCACAATCGGAACCCATACGTAGGCCTAATCTTATAATTTGGGATTTAAGACATATTTCTGAGCCATGAAGGTGCTGACTTCGATGTCATTCTCAACGCCTTTCCCTGGGTATCAAAAAAGGCACAATCAGTTTATTGAACCAATTTAGCCATTGTTATCTCAGTCGGCAAATGATGTCTATTTCTGAATGTGAACTAATTCTGTTAATGTAGGTTGGTATGACATTCGGATTCATATTTATTTGTAAGACCAAGTGGTTGTAGCGCCCTCATTTACACAAAAATAAGACCTACAGGACCGTAGTTTGAGGAGACCAGTGTGCAAGATCTTGTATGTGCCTCTGTGCTCTTGCACATGCAAATTAGTTAACGGAGTGGTCAGGTGTCTGCAGTGGCCGTGCTTTAAATTAGTGTTTCATGCATTATTGGCATTGACTGTTAATGGGTAAAGACAGAATCTATCCGTTTTGGCGTAAAATCGGAAAACACGATGACTTTTTATATTCAGTAAGCTTAAAACATAATTGTAAGGAAAATGGAAAGGGAGGATCGTGTTTGTTTGTTTGTCTGTTTGTTTGTTGGGGTTTAATTAATGGGCTGAACAAAGAAATGTTTTTGTAAGTTCCTTTGAATAGCTAGTGATTTAACTTGAGATGGAATTGTGATGAACTTGCAGGGACTTGCAGGGACTTGATTACTACACTGGAAGTACGTGACATTACTTATCAGGATACAGGAAGCAGGTTTCCCACCAAGGGGCGGGTTACCATTGGAAGTGGGATTGAAAATAAAGTGCTAAGCCTAGCCATGAGGATGAGATTGGAGAAGACAATGTTCCTCACTTTTTCCTGACATCATCTCGTCGAAAAACTCGCTGAATGTCTGGCCGCTCCTGTCGTTAGGATTGATTAGCTTGAGGAAGTAGAAGTACGACACCACCACGTCTTTTGGGTTACGGATGACGTAGACGACCTTGGACTTGTCCCAGATGTTAGGGGGCAGCAACTGACCGGGGAGATGGGACTTGATGACGCGGGGAGATGGAATCTGCTCAACCGCCTGGTAGGTCAGAGGCAGCTAACAAAAAGAAACAATTAGAGTCATAATGGTGTCACCCCACAAAGGACCAATTATAGAACATTATCATGTTGCGGCCATCTTGAGTTTTTCCCATTCAAATCAACGTAACCAAAGCGATGCTGGAAGGAAAATAGTCTGGTTCCTTTTTGCACCAAACCCCCTTATCATTCAGTACTATATTAGATACAGGGAACATGACTCAAATGGTGGCAGCATGATCAAGGTCTATACACATAGTGATTGTTTAAGTTAAATCCACTGAGTCGATCCCCCCGCCCATACAAGGAAACCACCTTATAGGAGACACGTTGTTGAAGGAGTAAATTATTTGACATAAGGGAGACACTGGTCATCAAGGAGTAGTATTGATATTACTTCAAGAGTCTGCGTAATGCAGAAATACCAATTCTTGAGGGATGTTTCTTATCCAAAGTTTTATTTATACGACATCTTTAATGAGGGTAAACTCCGATCAATGCAAGGCACTGCTTTCCATGGAGGCCCTTAACCCTAAAGGGGCCGGGTTATTTTGACCATCTGTCAGCCGGGGGGGGGGAGTCTCGGCCATCGAGCGACGAAAAAATTTTGAAACTCGGTACGTGCATCGAGCAACTCTTCATAAACACACCCAAGAAATTTCATGACCAAAGGTCAAAGGGTTTTGGAATTACGGCTAATTAATTATTCATATATATGAATGGCAATTCTGGTCTGTGTACACGACGTATATAGGAAAATTCAGTTTTCACGGCGCATAGTGCCGGAAAATTTTCGCTGCGCGACAACCCCTAGTCCGATTTTTATGTTTCTGGTGTCAAAAGATGCGCAAGGCTCGAGGCTAAAAAGTCATAAAAGCTCGGGTCGCGAAAAACTTTTTTTAAAGGCTATCGCGAAAAAGTCGGGGGGGGGGGGCGGATTCTGCCCCCGGCCCTTTTAGGGTTAATATGAGAAACACGAGACCAATTACGTAGCACCAATAAGTGTTACAAGGTGCTGCGGTGCATATTGCTGCCACTGCCAGAAACACCGGGGCAAACCCCTTCTCTTAGCGAAAAGTGTTACTGGGTTATTTAACGTGCATGACACAACACACGGGACCTACGGCTTCACGTCCCATCAGAAGGACGAAGCAATAATGGTAAAGTGCCTTGCTCAAGAGCACAAGCACCATATGTTCCCACGGTCAGGATTCGAACCCATGTATCGCGGCATACGGGTCGAACACCATAATCATTGGACCACAGCACCCCACAATTTATTCAACATTATTCATTGGGTCGAAAAAGTATATATAATAGTTAAAAAATCTGGGGATGGGAGAGTATTTAGAAACGCAGTGGTTATGGGAGAGATTTTATTTACTTGTGCACAAATCTATGAGAATGTCGCATTCTCGGTGATTATTATGCAAAAAGAATTAACTTTTGTCACGAATTCTTTTGAGGACAAAACTATGACCGCAAAAGGCTAGTACTTAAGACAGGGAAGCTACAATAAACCAGTCAAGAAATTGTTGGCAGCGGTGCCAAAAAATGGTGACATTGGCGACAGTGACACGATTTGTCTGGAAAAGAAGACAATTTTCTCGATAAAAATGACCAATCAGGCTTACCTTATTTTCTTGCCGAATAGTCTTTGGTAAGTTAAACTCTATGAACGGCACCCGGAACGCGGTATGTCGCTTGTTGACTTCCTCCAGCTTCCCGTCATGCATCACGCACGACATGATCTCCTGCACCCAAGTGGTTCCTGGAAACACACATTTGATCCTGGTAACTTTGTTTGATGATGGACACAATGGGAGGGCGCTATTGTAGTGGGTAAACTCTCAAATTTATCCAAACCGAATAAAGTACTCATGTCTGCCATTATGTGCCAGTTACTGTCTCGCACCAGCTGTGGTATTCGAAATGATGGCTGGTTTCTCGACCCCTGGTCCTAAAGAAAAGTTTGCCTTTGAATACATTCCAGAGAAAGTACGCGTTATAAATGCCTATACTAATTATTATTATTAAAATTGAACCGGAAGTTAAGTGGTTATTGCTGAAATTCGGCCTTTTTTGCACCATTTTTGAGGCGGAGGCGAGCTCCATACCGGAAACCAAAGACTTTTGGCCTAACACAAGAATAAAAGAAAAACGCCGAATTTTTAAAGTATAGTTGTGTGGATGTGATATCCTACTATTAAATGTTCGTTCTGATTATTCGTTCAAAGTGCGTTTTGTAGCCCAATTGGGCTCATTCCGGGCAGCGGGAGCCCTTTAACGTGCTTAGCAAGCTCCATGAATAGTGCTCTTTTCGTACTCTACCTGCTTTGGGATAGGTCACGATCCAGCTATCGTCATCTCTGACTTCAAATGTCTTCAGTGCCTTGACCACATCATCTCCTTCCTCGTAAAGTATGATGCCTTCATGCTCCACGTAACCAAAATGGAGGGGCTGCGACAACAGTTTCTGGTCTATAGGGAATAGATAGAAGACCTGAGACGTAATGACATCTTTGTTTACATTATGCGAGCACGTTTCCACCTGCCCGTCATAGGTAAGCGTACATGTAAACAAAGCCTGACGTCACTTTGTCTCAATGTTATGCATGCACTACTGCCTTCAATATTGTTGCGGTTCAATACGGGATACCGTAGTATATGCCACCAAAGCACACGCGGTGGATTCTGGAAGGGGCCATTTTTTCCAGCAATCAATAAGTAAGACGTAGCCATTTTGGGGAGCAAAAAAGTTATTAACAATTATATACTAATGGATGGCTTTGAGGTGAATACAAGAATATTGCGAGAGCTACGACATTAGTTATATTATTATTATTCATGTCATGCTGACTTGATTCGCAAGAAATACATTTCAAGACACTGCAGTCTTCATTTCTCCAATAAGCCTGAGACGTAATGACGTCACGCTTTATTAACATGTGCGCATTCCAGTAGACGGTCCCCACTTCGCGCCCGTAGGAAAACGCTTATGTAAGCAAAGCCGTTACGTCATTACGTCTCAGGTCCATTTCGTCAAACAATTTGAAGCTGTCATTTTCGCTCGTACCCTGGGGGTACGAGCGAAAATGACAGCTTCAAATTGTTGCGCTGGGGGGCCCGGGTACAAGCGACGCTGTCATTGTGATGTTGACAACAGTGCGCGTACACCTGGCCTGCTGCGCGCTCGAAGGTACCTCGCGCTTTGCGCTCTGACTGGATGACGCTCTTGATCGTGCGGGAACCAGCAAAAATGCCTGGATGAGGGGGTGCCGGGCAATATCAAAAGTAATATTGTCCGCAATCCAGGTACTTTTACCGACAATATTGCTGTCATCCGGGTACCTTTTTTATGAAAGCATGCAATACGCCGATTTCTTTTTTTCACTGAAAGCTTGATATAAATACTATTTCACGTTTTGACACACGTTTAAATTGCTAGAATGCAACTTTTTACAATCTTTAATTTTCAGACTGAACCAAAGTAAATGTCCATCTGCTCATTGTAAGTGATACTTCTTCTTTTTGCAGCCATTTTCGAAAGCTGTACTTTTCGGGGCAAGGGTAAAAAAGGTTTGAGTTTCCTATCCAAAAGAATCTTAATTAAAGAAGAAACACGTTTCAGTTCACGGGATCAGGTCGAAGGTCGCGGGGTCAGGCCACAATTTTGTAGCTTATGTGTGCTACGTTTAACGAGTCATTGAATTTTCGACTCGAGGCAAGTAGAGTCGGCCCACTTTTTCGCGAGTAACTAGAACGTCGCTCTTATAGTAGTCAAATCGAGTCTTTCCAACTATAAAGGCAGTAACTCTAGTCGAATTGATGTTCTTAGGGGCCATTCAGAATTTTCAATGTTTTAAAATTTCGATCTTTTTTCCAAATTGTGGGTGGGTGGGTCAAGCTAAATAATTGAAAATCGAAATTCACTTTCCATAGAAAAAAGAAAAAAAAACAAAAAAAGATAGATCTTTTGACTTGCCTGAACTACGCGCAAACGTTCCGATATCGCGATGCGTGTTTCTTTTCCAACTTCGTCCCCTGTATGTACTGTCAGTGGCGTAGCCAGGAATTTTTCAGTGGGGGGGGGGGGGGGGGGGGCGGTGGGGGGGGGGGCTGGAACATTTCATGGGGGGGCGTCATGTAGATCAATGATAACTTTTTTAGAAACTCAAAATCTCAGTGGGGGAGGCGACTGGGGGGGGCGACAAGGTTTCATGGGGGGGGGGGGGCTGTCGCCCCCCCCCCCACGCCCCCTCCCCCCCCCCCCCCTGTGGCTACGCCACTGCATGTCATACAGTTAAAGTTTATGTACACTTGTATGAAAAGTCAAAGAAAAGTAACTCCCATGATCTATTTGACACCAAGTTTGTGTTAACTTGCTGGTAACGCCCTAAAAAATTATCCAGACAAATATGTTTATTTTGTAACATTTTATGTTCGTCTGTCGGTCTTCTATACGTTATGCTGTTATGTTTACTTTTAGGTACCTTCAATGGTACTATGTTTAATTAACCTGTTCATTTGTTTAATCAAACTAATAACGCACATATAGTTGCCAAATATGGCACTAACAAGTTTGAGGTCGGCAATTTCGTCTTTAAAAATCTGGGTACGTCGGGTTACCGTACACACAATTGTCCTGGAAACAACAGTACCAAAGTACAGAAAGTCGCACGCAAGAGCTCCCCAGCAAGTATCGCTGACGCCATTATGATTCCAAATTTCTCACTGTGTCACACAGTGAAATATCTAAACAGCGTCGTTGTATTGTGAACACATAAAAGCATTCAAGTCGCGTTCTTGCACACTTTTTGCAAGTCGACATAGATATCCTTGAACCACTGCCCCTGCTTTGCATAACAAGTGCACATGAATGAACGATTCGACTTTTATTCAAAGAAATTTCTATGTACAGTCACCAGAAAGTAAACAATCCACGAAAGTAACAAGTAAACGAAAGTAAACAATCCACGTGCATAACGCACGGCTACACCATCGTACAGTGTGGCAGGGACACCAACAAGTAACACAACTAAACATTTTTTTAAAAATTGATAAATATTCTGATTGAATTTCGTTAAAAGATACTTGTTGGTGAGGTATCACATATTTTATCACATAAAAGAGGAAGACCGACAACTTCACGCCGTCACTGAACTAGACACACATGTACATGGTGTTCAAGTACATGTACATGCAAGTGCATGTACATGTACATGTTCAGTTTTTTATTAATCGAAATTAGGGGTGGGTGGGTGGGTCAAAATAATTTGGAAAAAAAGTCGAAATTTTAAAACATTGAAAATTCTGAATGGCCCCTTATAGTCATTTACTCGAGTCAAGTTGGGTCATTCTGAGGCATATACTCGAGTAGCGTCACAGAGTCAACAAGGTTTGATAGTCGCATCGATGCAGGTCGAATAACAAAATTGGATCACAAAATTGGAAAACAGAGTTGGATCACGTTCTTATACTCGAGTCTATTCGAGCAAACATCTCATCGTATCTAGTAATCATGGCGTTATATTTTTGTCATAGTGGTTGGAGTTATAATACAACTTACACAGATCAGCTGGTATCACCTTGTCCATGACTACGTCGGAACACTGAGCACCTGAGCAGAAATGAAAACACACGGCATGTTGATGAGTTCACTGAACTTGCCAGGGTTATGCACGTTTTACTAAATGATCTGTTCGCCCGGGTTAAATGGGTGCATGAAGTGACGTTTTCTTAGGAACACAGTTTGTGCAACTTTCTACTCTTCTTTAAGTACGAACAATATTTGACATCCTTTTTGGTTTATATGATTAAAAAGTGCACTTCTTAAAACTACCTTTTAAAAGTCCATGCTTTTCCGGACAACCGAGGGCGATGTTGCTGTGATGTCACTTCAGGAAAACACTGTTCAGTTTAAGGGTTTTGTGTTCAAATTGCGAACCAAAACAATTGGCTTATTAAAAATATTTGTGAGAAATCTTTGTTCATTGGCTTTCTGCCACATACAGAGCTAACAACGAATCACCAAAGAACAGAAAATTTACGGCAACAAAATATCCAAAATTTCTAGCAACCTCTTGTGCTGAAATAGCTGTGACATTGAGTTTTTCTGCCCGGAACGATATCACAGTTTTGCACATGAATATGGACATTTGTATTATCATAAAAGGAAAAAAGCAAGGAACCCGTCGATGGCAAAATGAAATTTGAATATAAGGTTAAATGGGACATTTTCAAGAATAACATTAAAACAATTACATTGCATGGACCATTAAATACATTTTAGGGCTATCACACAATTTGGCATTATATTATGATCTACTGCACCAACCCTTAGTGGTCCAAATGTAGTGTAATTTGAATACAATGTTCAACCGCGCACGATGGAACTATTTGTCATGATAGTCGGCCTTACTTTTCATGCAGTATTGTCAAGTGTAGAACGCCATGGTCCATAGAACGCCATGGTCCGTAGAACGCCATGGTCCAGTGGTAAAGGTGTTTGACTCATGTACGAAGGTGCGTGGGTTTGAACCCTGCCAGGAACATGGTGTTTGTGCCCTTGGGCAAGACACTTAACTACAATTATCTCTCTCCATCCAGGAGTATAAATGGGTACCTGTGAGGGTCGAGGACCGATTGAGCGCTGATATCGGCTGCCGCGTGGTCCCATGGCCTAATGAGTAATTGTAAAGCGCTTTGAGATTGTTGATACGTTGGAAACCGCTATAAGCACAATCATTATTAAATATTATTAAGTGAAGTTCTGTTATGTGCAAGTTATGACATTTATAGCCTCCCTTCAACTCAACATTAGTTGCATTTGTTTGTTAAGTAAAACCTACCTGGGTTACAACGTCCTGGAAAGTTGATTAATTCCTGCTGGTTTACGGGTGAGTCTCCTCGAGCCGTCTCAGGCTTACACCCACAAACGTTATAGTTAGTTAGTTAGTTAATTAGTTACACATTAATGTGTCCTACAATAGGTGAGGCCTCGCCTTTAATTGCTATCTTTATATTGACATCGGTGTACATGTTACTATGGCTATGCAGTACGGGACAGTGAAGAGTGGTGCTGGTGCCAGCTTGAACAAGTTCGCTCCATTGAAGTTGCACGTTGCCCTCCACGGACTTTATACGGCGTGACCCTAAGTGACAGGAGGCCATCACAATTTAATGGTGTAATGGTAAATGATGTGGATAGCTCCCTCATAATGGTGAAGGTGTTTGACTCATGTACGAAGGTGCGTGGGTTTGAACCCTGCCAGGAACATTGTGTTTGTGCCCTTGGGCAAGACACTTAACTACAATTGCCTCTCTCCACCCAGGAGTATAAATGGATACCTGTGAGGGTCGGTGACCGATTAAGCGCTGATATCGGCTGCCGCGTGGTCCCATGCCATGGCCTAATGAGTAATTGTAAAGCGCTTTGAGATTGTTGGTACGTTGGAAAGCGCTATAATTAAACACAATCACGATTAATTATTATTAAGTGAAGTTCTGTTATGTGCAAGTTATGACATTTATAGCCTCCCTTCAACTCAACATTAGTTGCATTTGTTTGTTAAGTAAAACCTACCTGGGTTACAACGTCCTGGAAAGTTGATTAATTCCTGCTGGTTTACGTGTGAGTCTCCTCGAGCCGTCTCAGGCCTACACCCACAAACGTTATAGTTAGTTAGTTAGTTAATTAGTTACACATTAACGTGTCCTACAATAGGTGAGGCCTCGCCTTTAAGAGATTACTATCTTAATATTGACAACTGACGTCAACCCGTTTCGGAGTGCATGTTACTATAGTGCAGTATTAACGATGGGACAGTGGAGAGTACTGTTGCCAGCTTGGACAAGTTCGCTCCATTCGCAATATTAAGTTGCACGTTGCCCTCCACGGACTTTAGACAGGTTGACCCTAAGTAATGTACGGAAGCATAGAAGGGCCAAAAGAAATTAAGAAAACAATTAGCTCCTATCTCGCCGCGGCGAGTTACTATCTCGCCGCGGCGAGTTACTATCTCGCCGCGGCGAGTTACTATGTCGCCGCGGCAAATTACTATTTAGTATCGGTGAGCGTCGGGCACAACAATGGCGATCCCTCCGGGTCCTATGGAACGCCCAAGAGGCATCGGCGTAGCCAGGGTTTTCATCCTAGGGGACTTGGAGGGGGGGGGGCTTGAGGTTACAATGGAGGGGCGCCCCAAAATTTCATCCGAGCTGAAAGGCCGTGAGACAGGGTTCCTTCACCGGATATCCGCCCAATACCCGCCCTAGTCTAGTGTCCCACATACCACTCGGCCGGGCCACTATAGATGCACTACATTAATCCGTGTTCCACTCGCGCTCGCGGGATAACTAACTACCACTATTCAATTTCCAAGGGACCGTAATAAACAGCCACTCGCAAAAAAAATTGCAGATAATCGCCGGAAAAAAAATGACTTAGGCCTATATTTTTTCCAGGTAGTCATGGTAACTCACATTGAGGTGTTTTTCTACGGATGCCAAATTTTCAGTGGGGGGGGCGGGGGCGACTGGGCGTGCGAACTTTTTATGGGGCGGGGCGTGATAGACTTTTGAAATCGGTGTTGAAATATCGCAATCGGTCATGGATTTTCGCGATCGGTGATGAACTTTCCAATCGTTGATGAACTTTCACGATGCAAGAACGTCAATACTGGTCACCGATTAAGCTGACCTAAAAGGCGCACGTGGGGAAAATCGTTCTAAAGGTAATTCCCCAATCTGTTTTTTTTTAGGAATCCTCACAACTTGTTATTTTACGAGTAGTTGAACAATTATAATATTCCGAATTTAAGCTTAATATGTTACAGACGCTTGTGTTACATCTCCTTTCACCGAGGTCAAGCTCGGATTTTGCCGAGCAAAAAAACATGGTCAGTGGCCGGTTTTGCCGCAACGTTGACGTATCATGATATGCGCGTTATTAGCATATTAATTAACGGGGGGGGGGGGGCGTGGGGGGGCGACAGCCCCCGAAAACTTGTCGCCCCCCCAGTCGCCCCCCCCCCCCCACTGAGATTTTGAGTTTCTAAAAAAAATATCATTGATCTCCATGACGCCCCCCATGAAATGTTCCAGCCCCCCCCCAGCGCCGCCCCCCCCCTCCCCCCCCCACTGAACAATTCCTGGCTACGCCACTGCTCTGTATAGACCAATGTAAACCAACCAAAAAAGTTAATACTGTATTGGTAGAGAACTCGTGAAGGAGGAAGTCGTAAACTTTGTAACTGCATTCCATATGGATAGAACCTTATTAATATTCGTGACGCTAAAAATGACGAATTCAAAGCCTATTTTTCTATTGTAATGAAAAATACTGAATAGTATGATCATGATAGGGATTGAAACTCCAAAAGTGTCTCTGAGATACGACCTTCAAAACGGGAGAAATTGATGTTAAAAGATTTTAGCCCGCGAACATCAAAATGTCTGTGTAACGGTTATTTGAGCTTGTTTTATTCAAAATCGGTCGTAACTATCGCAAGGCGGAACGTTACAGTAATTACTTTTCCGCCCTCTGAGTGATGCAATTATAATGTTGAATAGTTGGCTGGGTCATCCTCATCCCGTACGCTAATGGACCTGGCAATGCAAGTGGATAAATCACCTGTTGCCGCCCACTGAACTTCGTTTTCTTTCTTAAGTTATTCTTAACAAACAAGAAAGGACAACTTTATTACATAATTTTTTTCATTTATCGGACGTTCTAGAGGAGTTATTATATAGAATCCAGCCCTGTATGGGTGATTAGGGTGTTAATTTTGCCAATGTTGTTCAAAGATCGCAAAAATCCATCACCGATTGTGACAGTCTATCATCGATTGCAAAACCCCACGATAAAGTGCATCGCCAATTCGTTGATCACAATAAATGCTTCTTTGGCGTTCCATAGGACCCAAGGAGTATCGCTATTCGTCGTGCCTGACGCTCGCCGATGCAAAATAGTAAGTCGCCGCGGCGAGATAGTAAGTCATTGAGCGAGATAGTAACTCGCCGCGGCGAGAAGGTAATTCGCCGCAGCGAAATAGTAACATGCCGCGGCAAGATAGTATTTCGCCGCGGCGAAATAGTAACTCGTCGCGGCGAGATAGTAATTCGCCGCGGCGAGATAATAATTTGCCGCGGCGAGATAATAATTTGCCGCGGCGAGATAGTAATTCGCCGCGCCGAGATATGAACCAACTTTTCTTAATTTCTTTTGGCCCTTCTACGCTTCCTTAGTAATGGGAGGCCATCACAATTTAATTAAGTTTATCATTGTGTCAGCAGCAACTGTTACCATACTGGAAAGTTTATATATATGTAGGAGTGCTGTGGCCTCTTGGTTAATAGCCTTGACCAAGGCTATCAGCTTGTTCCCGTACGAGCTTGTTCCCGCTACCGCACACCACGCGCGCCGCGACACAATCACTAGTTGTACTATACCGTTAGCCTCAACGACCCTTGCGTGTGCTTTGTGTGCATGTACGTACGCCCCACACACACTTACGCAAACAGCCGTATGTACAGTAACTCGAGGCGGAAGATAGCCTTGACGCAACCGTGGCGAATTCTTATGTGTTTCCTTATAGTTTCGACCGAAATCGGCCGAAAATTTCTGATGCGCATATATTACACGATATCCAATCAAAGCCCGTAAACTTTGACCAGCTACATACATATTCATGATCCCGCAAATTACTGTATACACCACGCACATGTACATGTACATGTACGGTGTACATGCATTGTATGTTCACTCAAACCATGGTATGCCCAGGTATTTCAATCTCATTTTAAACCATTTCTCCAGTTTTATTACAAACAAATGAAATATGCCGCTATATCGTCGCTTTGCTCACGAAGTGACAAAAACCTCGAAAATCGATAATTATTCGATTTTGAGTTTTACTAGCCATTTTATTATAGTTGTGTCAATGAACAATTTGACCAAGTTTCAAGGCAAAATATTGTTTACTTTCTTAATTATTGTAAACAAACAATTGACAAAAAGCCTGAAATCGGTGATTTTCATTTTCACCAAGTGTAAAAATGTGTAAAATGTTCTCACGAAGTGACAAAAAGTCACTTCGTGAGCAGGGCCAGAAATTATACAATGGTCTACACGCGGAAGGATGGGAGCATACACGCGCGCGGCGAACGATGTTGAAAAAGAACAGACGCGCGCGCGCGCAACTGTCGTGACGCGCAAAAGTAACAAGTTTGTTGCGTCGAAAAAAATCCCACGAAGTGACAAAAACTGTGTACAAAGTAATTAGCAAAATATGGGACCCAAAGTTTTGATGTTCTCACGAAGTGCAAAAAAGTTTCATTAATGAATTACTGTTTAATTACGAACTATTTTTAACAAACAACTATGAATTAACAAAGAGCAAATCATATCCTATCGGACAATGCAAAAATTTCCGAATTCTGTTACTGCAAAGTGGTCGAAAATGTCTTTTGAAAAAATGAATAACTTCAAATGCGATTATCTCAGAATGAACTTTTGTCAAATTTTTAGGTTTTTGTCACTTCGTGAGCAAAGCGACGATATGAGTGAACAATTGTTCAAAATGATACTATTTCCAATGTATTGCGAATTGGACAGTTCAAGACAGTCCGCCGACGTTTTGTCGGTGCAACAGCGTACATTATCACGCCGCTACCTGCCCGTGCTATTCTGACAGCGAATGTAGGGAACAGGTCAACTCGGACCCAGTTCAAATCGTACCCATTTAATCGTATGCAGGTTAACTCGTATCTATAAGCACCCGTATGAATTAACTGCAAGAAACGAGCTATTGACTTTGGGATGGAAATATACGAAACTGTCAGGTACATGGTGAAAAAAAACTCTCCCTGAATTCGTACCATGTGCAACATACATCTCATACGTACGACACATGTATTTTAACGCGTACGTATGAATCGTATGTCGTACCTACGAAATACGTACGACATGTAAGTCGTAGATGTAAATCGCACGAGATACAAGTCGTTCTCACAAGATATGCTGTATGTACGACATAATCGACAAACAAGTCGAACATACGAGTTACAATTCATATTTTGTACACACGAGATATTAAGTCGTACTTACATACGACTTTGTCGTATGCGACATATATCGTACCCTGTCGACTCGACTTATGCACGACATATATGTCGTACCGGCTCCTGTCGACATGATGTCATATGTTTGATATGTCATACCCTGTCGACATATATGTCGTACCCTGTCGATGATATTAGTCGTACCCTGTCGAAATATGTCAACTTATAAGTTGTTCATACAAGTTAAAATCAGTCTAACAGAATAAGTTTGCTGAAGGAGAGAAATTTTTTCCCATATCCCCTTGACAGCTTAGAAGAAATACCCCCAGCCCCGCCCCCCAAAGTCAACGGTAGATATACTCAATAGTGTGAGCGCTTTTTTTTGCCGCTGAACGTGAAAGCGCAGCGTGTCTCACTGCATGGCGCCAGCCGGGCCGGTGCCTACAGTGGACGGCCCCAACGTGGCCTCTGTGCATGGTGACATCGTTTTTGCCGGCGTGCGGTTTTGTACCGTTTGCCGTTTTTTGAGGGTCTAATTTTTCATCCTTTTCATTTCATTTTCGACCCAAACTATGTGTAACTTTATAAATATTATTCTACTATTATTTAAGATTTTAAGGGGGTGTTTTACAATAATTATTGTTTCCACAGGCCGTCTGGTTTATAAACCTTTGGTCGTATTATGCAATTTAATAAATATTCATTTTTTTTGTCAGCCGTTATCCAATGAGAGAAGACTATTTACCATAGCGCGTACTAATTATCATATTCAGCATACACGGTTGCGTCAAGGCTATCTTCCGCCTCGACTTACTGTACGGCTGTGTGCGGAAGTGAGTGTGCATGGGGCGTACGTACATGTACATGTACATGCACACAAAGCACACGCAAGGGTCGTTGGGGCTAAAGGTATAGTACAACATTGTGTCGCTGCGCGCGCGGTGTGCGGTAGCGGGAACAAGCTCATATGGGAACAAGCTGATAGCCTTGGTCAAGGCTACTTGGTTAAGGGCACTGATTCATGGTCTGCGGGTAAAGCTGCAGGTTGTTGGTTCGAGTCCTGGCGGGGTCATGGTGCGTGCTCCCTTGGGCAAGGCGCTTTGTCACTCATTGCTTCTCTCCACCCAGGAGTAAATGGGTACCTGTAAGGGGAGATGGTTATGTGATTGATTTAGCTTGCTTGCGCCTAACAGGCAGCATCGAGCTGTATACTCCCCAGGGAGCTGAGATGGTATTTGGAATGTTTAATTGGCCCAATGATCAGGAGTATTAATAATAATAATGTAAGCGCCGTGATTTAGTTTACTATAAAGGGCGTTTTTAAATGCCGATTATTATTATGTAGATGACTATATGAAGATACAGTATAAAAGTTGTCACGAGCGACGTGCATATTGGTTTTTTTAAACTAAAAAAACCACTGGCCCCTCGTTTATTGCTAACATATTGTTGTAAAAGTAGGTATCCGAAACTTTCTATGCAAAACCCCCTACACCGGGGGCCGGTTCGTGTAGAAAATAGACGGTTATTTATTAACGCCCATCACGTTCAAATAACTTCGGCAGCGACCGCAAGCCCCGTAATTTAAAGAAAAAAGGATCAAGGTACCAAATTTCACGACAATTAGTAATATGTTGTGATTATACACTTATTTTTGTCATGCGGGAACGAATCTTGCGACATTATGAGGGAGCCATCCACATCATTTACCATTTACACCATTGACACCACAGATACCCTCACTTTCAAAGAAATTATGTGAAATATGCTAATTCATATCACGGTGGATCAAGATTTCACTCAAGGGGCTGGGGGGGGGGGGGGGGGCTTTACCTTTAATTAGCCCCCCCCCCAAAAAAAAACCCCAAAATGTTAGATGGTACGTGACATCACGTACACTGACGTGACATGCGAACGGTGTATCCTGCTTACAATATTTTGATATAGCCGGCCATGCGCGGATTCCAAGAGGGTGGCCTTAATTTTGTCACACCCTCATCTAGGATTTTATCAGCGACCCCCCCCCCCCCCCCAATTGAACGTATGGTACGAGCGCCCCCTCAATTCCGGTACATACCGTTATTTCGTTTTTCAAATCATTGATCGCGTATGATGCTGTAATGGGTTTTATTAAACTGATAAAAAGCAGAAACCGTAAAACGGTCAATGGTTCGTTTACTGTTTTTGTTTTTAATGAAATCCAAAACAGTAAAACGAAATAACGGTATATACCGGGATTTCCCCCCCCCCCAACCTATTGATTTCCGGAGGCAAAGTGTCCCCCCAATCCCGGGACATACCGTTATTTCGTTTTACCGTTTTGGATTTCCTCAAAAACAAAAACAGTAAACGCACCGTTGACCGTTTTTTTCGTTTTACAGTTTTGTAAAACGGTCAAACGGTATTAGGTCACAAAAAACAATGACCTTTTAGTTGTTTTTCTTAATTGTTGAAAGCGATAAACGGTTAGTTGCTTCATTTCACAGAGTTTTGTTTTACAAGAACATGACAATGAAAAACGGTCAAACGGTACTGTCGACCATTTTTTTGATTTAGGTTAGGCAATTAAGCAATGCACCTCGGAATATTAATGCGTCCTCATGGGATCGAGTCATTGCCTGGGACCCAAATTACCCTCCTCACATTTCGTTCTCACGACATAGTTTTCGAACTGGCTATTAAAGAGCCGCGCCGAACTCCAATTTCCTTCAAATATCTGCAACTTCTTCAAACGTATTACCACTCTGTATCCATTGTAAAAAGTAATGTCCCCCCTTGAAGTTTTCCAGCGCCATTTTTAAGTTGCTTGCAACTCTTAAGCCCAACTGAATCGCGTGACTGAGAAGGGGGTCATATGACCATATGGTCACGCCAGTAATCACACCACGCATTATGCCGAGGTAACACTTTTTCATGTAAAGCATGGTCCCCCTCCATCCCCCTTACCCAGCACCACAAAATGCACCACGGACTGTCACTATGACACTGAAATAAAAAACAGTCTGTATTCAATACTGACCGTTTTGCTGCTTTTCAAAGTTATTTGTGTAAAACTGTAAAACAAAAATCATTGATCTGTAATAAATTTTATTAAACTTATAAAACAGAGAAACCGTATTTATCTTAATACCGTTTGACCGTTTTACAAAACTGTAAAACGACAAAACGGTCAATGGTTTGTTCACTGTTTTTGTTTTGAGGAAATGCAAAACGGTAAAACGAAATAACGGTATGTCCCGGGATTCCCCCCCCCCCCCCCCCGACTCTACAACACGTACTATAGTCGGTAATTGACCGGGGTCACGGTTTTGTTCGGCCGACCCTGACGCGTGTTGTACAGAATCATTGTCCACCCCCTTTGCAAATGCATGTATATGCATCCCATATAGGTTTTAACCGTGCAGCTATTAAACGCTATGTGTTTAATAGCTCCGTGGTTTAACCTAGTAGTTCGCTGGCTCTCCTGCCACGGTGTAGGTCTACGCATAGCCTTTAATCAAGTCCCACGCGCCTATACCCGGACCATCCGGACACGTAACGCACCCTGGATGCTGGCACGTAAAAGACTAGCACGAGCGCTACGCCGCTCGTCCTAGGCTAGCCATGTACGTGTCAGCATCCGGGGTGCGTCACGTGTCCGGGTAATCGCGTGGGACTTGACTAAAGGCTAGTCTACACACCGTATTGATTAGGCCCGTTGAAATGGCAATCAGAACGGGATATCAAGGTCGCTAAGTGATAAAGGTCGGGTATTGCACCGTAACGCCATGTGAGGTCAGAGCCATCACTGCACACTCTCAGTTACTGTACATGTGTACAGTTCAAGTCACAGTACAATGTACATGTACATGTACACGTATTGTTGTTGAGCAGAGAGTTGTGTTCAATCTATTCATGTTTTATTTGCTGGAGTATTATGCATGTAGCCTGACCCACACGTTCGCATCACAATATGGACATGTACCTAACCACCGAAGATTGTAAGTATGCATGCTGGGACTGTAAGTGCTGCCATCATGACATGTCAGTTTATTAATAAAGTTTTTCTTCGCCACAAGTTTTTATAGTCAGCATCATGGCATATTATATCCAGTGTGTGTGTTTTGATTCTCATCGGCAATTCTTTGATAGCCATAGGCAAGTGACTATCTAATAATTAGTCCATGTACGTGTCATAATTACATTGAATCATCATTAAAGTTACCAGTGCAGTATTAAACCTCCTAATTATTTAGATTTTAGAGCGCCAGTCGTTTTTGATACCATGTGGAAATTTGTTGGAAGGAATATGATACTCAACTTATATGTTCCAGTATGGTTGGTCGCTCTATTTGTAACTTAAGAAGATAAATTGGCCCATGAAGTAGTTTACACAGTGTTTGCCTGTTCTGCCCATGCTCTGCTGTTGCTTGTGACTTTTAACGGGTTTAATTTGCGCAAACTATTATGGTATTGGCCTGCGCAGTTCGAGAGATGATGAGGGTAATGTACACGGATCAGCAACCGTACACGCTGGGCGAGTACGAAGGAATCCCACTTGCCTCAGAGGTTTGCGAAATCATGGACGAGCTGAGATCATTTGAGGTCAGAGCCGACGACTGTTGGATCGTCACCTATCCAAAAGCAGGTAAGAATACAGTTAATGCGCACTCCACGTGGCACGTTATTTGGACGGCGTGTAGCTATTCTATTTGTTTAACAGCCTATAAGTAAAGACCTTTTCTTTTGTTTGTAAACAGCAAACGCCATTTGTTAAGGCTGTCACAAGAACATACATTTTGAGCCGTGGTTGTGTGCAAAAAGTTAACCACGGATTCTATTTAGGCACTTGAAAACAAATGATGAAATTGTGCTGCTCAGGTAATGAACGGAATGAAGGTTGTTTTAAGTGTTCGTTTTGAGCGACTTTGACCGTGATCAATTTTCTTTTTTTTTTCACAGGCACAACGTGGGTTCAGGAGATCATGTCGGCCGTGATGCATGATGGGAACCTTGAAGAGGTCAACAAAAGCCACTCTATGCTCCGCGTGCCATATTTTGAGCAGACTTTCCCCGAAGAAGTAAGGCGGCTCAAAAACGTAAGTGTATGAATATACGTTTTACCGCTAATTTGGATTGTTGGTTAATGTTTTAATGCGTTGATTTATAAAAGTATTGTTTATAAAATACATGACGCGAGCACGAATGTGTATCCCTGTGTCTGCATAACATGCTGGTGATATAGTGTCAGATTGTAATTCGTGCTCTGAATACGAAATTAAGAATGTGTAGCTATTGTGCAACTTTCTAAACGAAAACAGTTATAACCTCAACATGGTGCAGTAACCCATGCACTTGCCAGAAAGACTTTCATATGTCCATTATTCTTCACAGCTTCCAACGACGCACAGAATAGCGGACGAGATGCCTTCCCCTCGGGTCATCAAGTCCCACCTTCCCGGCCAGCTCCTGCCTCCACAAATCTGGACCAAGAAAGCCAAGATCGTCTACGTCATCCGCAACCCAAAGGACTTGATGGTATCTTTTTTCCACTTCGAACAGATGTTGAATTTGAAGGGCGCAGGACTATCGTTTGAGGAGTATTTAGGGTACAGAAACTCAAAGAAAGGTAATTCTTTATAGTGTTTATTTGATTTAGATATTTTGTTTTCTTTATGGCAATGAAACCAAGGATTCCTAACAAGTGAGTTATAGACGCGGTAACTCTAAGGCAGACAGAAACCTGTAGAGAGGAGACAATGAGAAGACATTTCAGTTGACAGCCTGCATTTTAGGTACAGCACATCATTTGCATCTATTGTGAATAAAGCTAACCTGATTTAAAGATAGCAATGGGACTTACCTCCCTGTGAAAATATTCGTCATTTTGAAGAAATCAAAAAGAAGGCCTTTCCAATCGTTGGTAGCTCTATAAGGCCGTTAGAAACCTGTAGAGAGGAGACACTCTAAAAACTCCTGGGTCAGATTGACCAAAAATCTGAATCTACACTTTGACACCTTTCCGGGTCAGAAATGACATTTGTCTGGACTTTTCCGGGTCAGAAATGACATTTGTCTAGATCATTGTAACCCATAAATCTTAAGCAACTTGTCAAAACATAGCCTGTCGAATGTTCAGATCAGTATAGATATACTTTTTGAGAAAACTGCAAAAATGCATCATTTTTCTCGACGCAAAGCATAGGTTTCCGCAGACAGCGCCAGGGTTGGTCCTAGCCACCACGTGGAAATGATGGTAATGCAACTACTCCCGAAAATGACAGCTTATTATGGCGCAATGATTTCACTTGACATCATTATTTACTTTGTAATACAATCAAGTAAGATATTTTGTGATTTTTAATAGTTTTATTTCTCAGCGTTTTCAAATGGGGTCCACTAATCACCTTTAACGAGTCCGATCCTTGTTTGGTTGTTTGAAGCAAGCTACGGATCTTGGTGGGACCACTACTTGTACTTTTGGAAGAGAAGGCACCAACCCAACGTTCTGGTGCTACGATTTGAAGATTTGAAAAGAGTAAGTGCCTGAATTCGACAATGTTGCTATGTGGAACTTTATATTACATGTTATGACCTTGTGGCAGCGCGGCACGGCATGGCCGCCACACCCAATGGGGATCGACACAACGAACAGATAGACACGTTTGAGGGCGCTACACAGTGTGTATCAAAAAAAGCAAACAAAATATAACTGAATGCAAGACGTAGAATGTGTAACCAACATATATAATATAGTTATGGTTTGAACGATCCGTCTTTCCACTTTAAAATGAAACATCAATCGTCAAAATTAATTTTTGACAGAGTTATGAGTAATTTTCCAAGAGAGATCAAATTAACCATGGGATCAAGTTTTCCATTTTAGACGTTTTTGCGGTATACGAAACTGAATTAAAACAATAAACCACCTTACAAGAAGTCTATGGAATTGTAGTCTGTGGAATAGATGCTAGCAGGACAAGCGATAATACTCATGCAGATTATGTACAACGACACTGCGTCTTGTATGACTTCCATATTCTGACCATTTTGCGGGCGTGGCTTTGATAAACACGACGTTTTTCTTTAAATAGTTACCGCCCATCACAAGGTCAAATAGAGGGCCAATCAAGTGCGTGCTACAAAGGAAAGAGAAAATGTACGAGAAAAACATGACAGCTTTTGGCAAATCAAAAATATTTCGTTTCTACTCCACATGATCTCACAACTTCTTAAGATGGCTCCGATTGGCTGGCGCGCAGGTTCGCATAATATCAGACGTTTACAGTGTGGCTCTGTACACGTAAACGTCTAATTTCCAAGATGGCCGCTACATAAACAGTCTTACATTTACATGTTTATAAGGGTTGAAGGCAGTATTGCTGAGCCCTGCTGAGTGTAGTTTGCACATCTTGAATGCAGGATCTGCGAGGAAACGTGGAGATAATCAGTCAATTTCTGGGCAAGGCCCTGTCTGCCAAGACACTGGATGACATCACGGAGCATTGCTCATTCATCAACATGAAGAACAACCCCATGACCAACCCCGACTCCTTACTTGCAGCCGACGAGATACCAGGCCGTTCCTTCATGCGGAAAGGTGGGGAATTTGTTTGAGTACCTCCCCATCCCACCAAATGAAAAACAAGATTCGAAAATATAGAAGAAAAGGTGAAGACAAAGCCAATGAAACATTACGAACGTACATGAGCAAGTCACACAGAAAAATTGACCTAAAACACCGAAGTAAACAGAAAATAATCAATCCGAGAAATAGTGAAGTACCAAATTATCGGCTACCAAAATACCAAACGAAATGTCATTTTTGAAATATCAGTGTATGTCGGCTGAAATTAGTCCAATTTCCTTGAACGACATTGGATGGATAACATCCTACAATAACCTTGCTTTCCTTTCGGTATATTATTACAAATTAGTTTTAAAAGGGCGATTTATCAAAACAAATTTCATACTTTTGCCTGGTCTCTTTCGCCGATGCAGTGTTGTAATACTCGTACTCATGGCATAGTACTCGTACTCATGTGAATGTATTCAGCTAAATGCCTTTATTTATGTATTTAGTTACTCGCAGTCTCAGCTATGAAATGTAATTTATTTTTATCGCCGGTGTTCTCCTATCTGGTAGACAGAGTTTGTTAACAATAATGTAAAGAAATCTCACACTTGGTGAGAACGTCACAAACAATGGCTGTCGTATATCTGTGATAGTAAAAAAAAATCTTCTTTTTTTAATTTCAGGTAAAAGTGGGAATTGGAAGACCCACTTCACTGTAGCGCAGAATGAATCCATGGACGCCCTAATTAAGGAGAAGCTGCACGGTACCGGACTCACCTTCGATCACTGACCAATCAGATTGTAGCTTCTGAGATCGTGTCGGCTGGAAGTGACCAATCAAACTTGCAAATGCAAAATATATTCCCCCTTTCTAACTGTGGAAGTTTATTTCGAAATCATAATGGAACAGAAGAGCTGCGGTTATATTGCTTCAGAAAGCAACACTTAAAGCCTGCAATTCATTTTGTCCAGAACTGAACTGGACAAAAAAGAAGTGGCGTCCCGTATAACAAATCTCAGGGATAAAAGAATCAACTTCGGATGATTGGATGAACATTAACATTCGCATCTGAGATTGATCTATGTTAAACTAAATTCCACATAAATGAAAAGTTGCCTTGTAAATCGAATTTGAAATTATCATTACAAATTATACATGCTTTAATGTTACTTTGTTCTCATCAACTTCGAAAAGAGGTGGATCAAAACACATTTTTAGCAAACCTATTTTAGCAAAACTATAAAAAATAACTCTACGATGCCCTTTAACATTAAGCCCCATGAAACTGTTGTTTTCATTGTGGAGCCGGAAATAATCTACAGCATCCCCGCATCTTTTTCTTTAAATGAAACGTGTATGCCACAACCTTTGGAAGTATAAAAATGAGTAATTGATGCATGCCGTTATGAGGCCATCTAAAGTTAAAAATTATTAGAACTTAATGAATTTTATCTGTACATGTATTGAAATATATCCGACTCTACGGGAATAGACCCGTACTTATTGATGAATCAGTTTTTGAGTTTTGATTAAGTCGTAAAATCACGGGTTTTTTTGTGGTTTCATTAAGATAGTAGGCACGAAATGTATGTTGATATTCACGAATTGTACAGCCCAATATTTATGTGAATGAAACAAATCTTGTTTTAATACAAACATTACTGCAACTGAACGCACCTATCAATTGTTTCCCCCACCCCTCCCCCCGGGCTGCCCCACCCAAGATGTGGGGATTGCCACTTTTGAAGTGACAAAATCTCCACTCCTCGGGCAAAATTTTAATCGACCATCCCCGACCATGCCCCGACATACATACGTGGGGCGCACTAGTGATTGCCTTTCCACGTAGTACGCAAATGGTATACAGTGTAATTCGGGTGACCAAAATCCCCACCCTGGGGCATGAAAAAAGTGACCAAACCCCGACATCGGACCTGGGGCAGCGCGAGGGGGTGGGGAGGGGGGACATTTGATGGGCGCATAAGCTTGTATGTGAGAACGGGGATGTCATCACAGATCAGTAGGGTATTTTTATCGCTCCGATTCCATAGAGCGGTTCCGATTTGATGAGTTTCTTCCTAGCAATTTTAAGAATAGGTTGACCGAAGATAACCAGTTTGTGTGTGATGGTTCTCCGGAAGCAAAAAGAGTGCTTAGTCGCTCTTAGGCCTAAAAAAAAAGTCTCCGGTTTCTGGTATGCGCGCGCGTCGCCGTAGCCATGCGCGTCGGCAAAATGAAAACGTTTTTTTTTCAATGAAAGATGATGTCTCAAAACCGCCAAACTCACTGGTTTGACTGGAATCCTGCTGCTGCACAATATTTTAACGTGTTTTTAGATTGGGTTATGGTCGAGAATAAGCTTTATGTGGCCTCTCTGGACTCCCATATATTTGCACTAAGTTTAGTCGGGCACCATTTGCAGTCATCAGCCGACATTTGAAGCAAAACAAATCAGGTAAAAAAAAAAAAAAAGCCGCGTCGCCGCACCACTTCTTGGGCAAGCTCCATACCAGAAACCGGAGACTTTTTTTTTTGGCCATAACGAAATGAGCAAAAATAACACCCGTGGTTGTGATGGTATCCCAGCTGAATTTTATAAAGCAGTTCGGTCTGATATGAAGCATTTAATGATTGCATCTTTCAACTTTTTTTTTATTCAGTATGTCTGTAGATCAGTGGAGAGGGATAATTGATATAATTTTGAAACCAGGTAAAACAGCCTAGTGATTTGAACAACTGGCGTCCGATCTCTCTTCTCAATGTTGATTATAAGATTTGCGCCAAAGTACTTGCAAACATACTGAAGACTGTGCTCCCTAAAATTATTAATGATGATGAACCTGGTAGATATGTTATATTTGTATGTCTTTATGTTGCATATTGAAATAAAAGTTAAAACCCAAAAAACTTAACTGTATAGCTGTTCATGTGGGTGCAATAAAGAGACCCTAATTGCCCACCACGTCAATTTCTACCTATAAATAGTGAGTTTTGTGGCCCTCGAGTAGCACTTTGAGGGTTTGTAGAAATGACGGTGACGAAGATGACTGATTCCAGCTCTCAAGCGTTTATTGAACTTGTGATTCTTGTAAATTTCGGATGAAACTGAACTCGGCAGTCGCTCCATTTTGCAATGGAGGGGCAATCAGCCCCCCCCCCTAAAAAAAAAAAGGGATAGCCCCTAACTCGATGTGTGTCTTGATAACCTCGGAGATTTGTGAGATTGTTTTTTAAGTGAGGGTATTCTTCACGGTGTTTAAGGCAAGCGATTTCCTAGTTCACAGCCCACAGCAAGATGAATAGTCGGGGGCCCTCATTCGTTTCATATTGTCGCCGGATTCGTCTACACAATGGCTGTAGAATTGTGTTCAGTTGACAACTTGACCCATACCTCCCGATAAGGCCAAAAAAAAATACTCGGTATCTGGTCAGCGCGCGCGTCGATTTTAATCATGCGCGTCAACCTTTTTTTTCTTCTTCAAATTAACACGGAAGCTACAACAGCGCCCTCTATTGCCGCACCTCCTCAAATATTTGTACCAAGGAGCACCAAGGAATATTAATGGGGAAATTGCACCAAGGCAAATTATGGAGGACACCAATGTATAATGAGGACACAAAAGAGCAAAATAGTGCCCACCTTGTCTGTACAATTCAAGCTTGAAAAAAAAAGCCACCAAAATAAAACAACTATATAGACTTTTTTTTTTTTTCTTCAAAGTTTTTTTTTTCTAGTTTTTCAGTCGACGGCACTTTTATGCTACTATCGTAACGACCTCCCGTTCTGCCACGGTATAAAGTGCGTAGAGCTGATAGGCAACTTGTGAATGAACCGAACCCGTTGCAAGCTGGTACGGGAAAATGCGCTATCAGTATCCCATTGTCTCCTCATAACTGCAGTGTACTGATATCTAGCAAGTCACTGAATGCTTCATACGGGTTGACGTCAATCACCCTATATATTAACCTCACGAGCAGATAATAATCATTTTGCTGGTTCAAGTAGAAAATGCGAGGCTTCAGTGTCAGTTGTTGAGCACTTCAATAATTTGTGTAACTATACAGACAGCTGGAAGCAGACTTGCCCCTACTCACCGAGCAGGCAGCAGTAACCTCACAGGAAGTTGTTACCCAGGTAAGTTCACAACAACAAGGGCCCTAAGCACTAACATGGAAATGTACTGCAACTGAAGGAAGGCAGTTATAGAGTGCACGTTTTCCCATCACTCCAATTATATACTCACGGGTCATACAGGTCATGTGTACAGTGCACTGTGTGACAATAGCGAATCGATGGGGCTATCGTGCGTGGTTGAACTCGGCATTCAAATCACACTACCTGTGATCCTAGGTTTGCATGTACGTAAATCATAATACAATGCTGAATTACGTTGTAGCCCCAAAGGATCTCCATTAAATCCCGACGAACAGTTCTCTAAAGTGCGAGTCTTGCATATACGTCAAAAGTCCCTTCAAACAAATGCCCAATTTCATGGCTCTACTTTTACTATAGGCCTAAGCGTGGAAAATCATATAAATAGCATATTGCAAAAACTTTCCTATCAAAACTAAACATACTTATTTATGTGTTTCCTTTTCTGCACAGGTACTCCGAAGTAGTTATGGACACGGTGATCTCGATTGAAGAGTGTAAGTTTTATTTACTCGTCGTAGGCCTCATAACGCCATGATTGCTAAATATAATGCCGTTGAAATGTGTTTGACTCGGATTGACCCGATTAAGAACGTGAATCGACCTATAGCTACTATATATTGACAGTATTTTGTTACTCGACAGGCATCGACTCAATCTTGTTTACCGTGACTCAACTCGAGTTACTGACTCAGACACAGTGCCTTTTGCGGTCGATTTGACCCAGAAAAGTGCTAGTCTTGACCCTAAAAAGGATCAGGCCAAACAGAACCTGGGTTCCCGGTCAATCTGACAAAGGATTTTTCAAATAGTACGCTTGGGGACGACAACCACCATCGCTTTGAAAGAGCTGTACGAAAGCGCACATGTAAACAAAGCGTGACGACATATTCATGTATCCATATTCCCCATAGACAAGAGACTGTGGGCGCAGCCCTTCAAGATGAGGTACGTGGAGCATGAAGGCATCAAACTTTTCGAGGAAGGAGATGATGTGGTCAAGGCACTGAAGACATTTGAAGTCAGAGATGATGACAGCTGGATCGTGACCTATCCCAAAGCAGGTACAGGTTCGACAATCATATCAGTTAACTAAAAGTGATCTTAGAACCAACTTACCATTCTCTCAAAAGTTAAAATCTATCAACGTAAAGAGTGAACGACGATAATTTCAACATGCTCGGTTAGCGTTCTGATTACCGATTTGCAGAAAGCTTCAAGGTGTATTTGGCATAAACGTCTTCAGTGCACGTGTCCTGTTCCATAGTCGTATATGATTACATTTTCTGAGAGTTTGCTGGGGGTTTGGGTTTGGGTGTAAGTTAGTTTGAGTTTAATTGTTTCTGCATTCAATAGGGGATCGTTGAACAATAGACGAAAATAGGGTCCTCGATTCTCGAGAGGTCCCCAATTTGGAGTCATGTACAAAACATATGGGAGGTCTTCCTATAAAGTTAAACTACAAACAAAAGAGAGACAGAAGCGGGTCCCCGATTGAAGGCAAATACACACTAATGTGGGTCAGTAAAATGTACACTTAAAAAACTCGTCCAATGTACATAGAATATAGTTCAATTTGGCTGGGTATTGGGCTGGATGTAACTGAAAATCTGTGAAAAACATGAACCTGTTTTTTTTTTTTTTTTGGACATTCAGGTTAAAAATAGAGATCTATAAAGTGGAAAGCTAAAGCGACCAATGTAACTTTTCAAGAACTAATGAAACCAGCTGTTCCAAAAGTGCGGTCATTTTTTTCAATAAAACATTTTGGTTTCCAGGAACAACTTGGGTGCAGGAGATCATGTCGTGTGTGATGCATGACGGGAACTTGGAGGAAGTCAACAAGCGACATACTGTGTTCCGAGTGCCGTTCTTAGAGAACAATCTACCAAAGACAATTCGGCAAGACACTAAGGTAAGTCCAATTAGTCATTTTTGTCGGGGGAAAAAGTTTTTTTCTCGGCAAAATCGTGTCACTGTCAGCAAACAATTCCTAAAGACTGTTATTCTGCTTCCTTTTCGTGAGTTCTAGCCTTTTGTCGTCATAGTGAAGGTCTTCAATACAGTGCGCGACTCAAGTTAATCAACGCTTATCAATTATGTGTAGCACTTATTCTGAGCAATCATTGGGTCTTATAATTAACCAGAATAACAAACGTTATTTCCGTATGACCTCAGGCCCGATATTCCCGTAAACCTGTGCACAATTAAAAACCAACGAAATCGCTTCCATTTAAAGTTATGTCCACGGATCACAAGAAGATAAGTGATTTTTGTCTTTCAGCAAAACAAATCACATAGGGATGTGTGTGAATTGTAACGCACACCTGTTTTGTGATCCGTGGACAGAATTTTAAAACGGTGGTTGGGTTTAAATTCCGTAACTTGAAAAGTACTTGAGTGATTTGAATGATTCTTGTACTAAAAAAAAGCTTTTGAATTGGGCTTTCATATCCTAGATTTTGAAAGTGCTACATGCAAAACATCACTTAAACAATGGTCCCGGCATTTGGGTTTCGGGTTTTTTTTACTCGCCCTGTACATACGTATCACGGTTTTTAACGAAGCGTTGAGTGATGTCTAGCGCCCGCTCTTGATTTTTGTCCAAGGCCTGTGATTTCTCCCTTCGCTTATGGTGCACCGGTGAGCGCTTTGTCACGGCCCCTGAAGACAAATCCTAGCGGCGCCCATATCCCCTGTATTTCTAAATACGTTCCCCTCCCCAAGGCTTTGCAATTATACTATTCTTGGCGAAAGGAATCAGTTTAAGACGATAACACTCCCTCTATAATGTGTTTTATTGGAAGCATTAGGGAGATACCTCAAGGTAGCTCTGATGCCCAGTGTCTCTTAATGTCAAATAACATTGTACTACTTTAGCAAAGTGTCTCCATAAGGTGGACTTTCTATTCGTTCTTATATTAGCAATAACAAATAATCAACTCAGTGGTATATACCAACAGAATCGTGTTTCTTGTTTTGCCATTTTAGGTGCCTTTAATTAGCGACGTGGTTGAGACGCTGCCCTCGCCCCGGGTCCTGAAGTCCCATCTTCCTGGTCAGTTCCTGCCCCCTCAACTCTGGGACAAGGCTAAGACCATCTACGTCATCCGTAATCCCAAAGACGTGGTGGTGTCTTTTTTCTACTTCGTCAGGATGCTCAATCCTGAGAAAAGCGACCTTGCCTTCAGCGAGTTTTTCGACGAAATGACGTCAGGAAAAGGTGAGGAACTGGGTGTCATGCAACCACGTCTCCAGGAACCTCGTTTTCAGTAGTAATCCCTGAAACTTGATTTCATTGAATTTGAATTTTCATTGTGTAGAGCCCTCGTACTTCATGCATGGAGGACAGAGGCCATTGCTTGCCCAGCAAATGTAAACAATTAGGTGAACTTCCAAACCGCCTGCATGTTTATCACCATTGATGTGTTTACCAAGATGTAACCGGACACGCGCACATACAATCTATGTATTTAGGAACTAGTTCAAGCCCCCCCCCCCCCCCCCCCCCCCGTTCAATGTTAATGGAAATCGGGCGTGCAGGCAAACTGGCCAACTATCCTAGCAACATTGCATTTTGGGGGGGGGCGGGAGGAATAATGTTTATATTCACATAATTGAGTACTCTATTTGATATGCTTCAACCATGGAGTTACAACTATTCACAATTACGCATAATAATGCCAGAGAGACATTTCGTCGAGAGAGGGCGCTATTTACATTTTCGCAAAATGCAGAATGGCTATGTGCCAAAAGGAGCCACCGGTAAGGAAGTGGCGTAGACTTTTGGTGCCAAAAGGAACCCATGGTAGTGAAAGGGCTAGATTTCTTATTATCGACCTTGTGTTTTTGTTCACTAAGCGCCTTACGGTCCATGGTGGGACCACTACCTATACTTCTGGAAAATGAGACACCATCCAAACGTCCTCCTGCTGAGATTTGAAGACCTGAAAAGGGTGAGTGAAGATTTTACCAACAGAACGCACTCCATGCATGAAATCTTTACAAGTGATTCTCTGGGCAAAATGCAAGAAGGATATGTTTTAAGGGACATCGCCAAACATGCTGCAAAGGGCCACTGAAGATAACGACTACACATATGTTTAAAACCAACTGATAGAAGGGGCAGGAATTATTGATATTTCGCTTGAATTGTGATAGTTAGTCACACGGTGAAAAGCCAGAACCTGGTAAGGAGATTAGCTGTAAAACAATGCAAGGAAAGAAACTCAAAGAGTACTGCACCGTATACCCTTGCTACACAAAGGGTATGTGGATAAGAGGAGTCAGCAAACTTCAAAGATCACATTTCAACAATCGTCGTGTTTTCCGCAGTAAATGGCTAGACTGCTAACAGTAAATACACTACTAAAAAAAACCACTGTAATGTTTGTATTTACTGCTTTAGGATTCGGAATGTGTCGTTTTTGGCAGTCTTTAAATCTGTGTATTTGGTCAAGTTGCGAAAGGTGATATTCTGTACTGTTCGTATGGGGGGGGGGGTGGCATAAATATGGCTGGTAAGTCGTGTCCCAACTACTTGGCTACGTCTATGGAAGCCGCCGCAGCTACTTTCCATAAACCACTTTCCATGAGTAATTTCAAGCCGTAGCCAAAGGATTCTGACACCACCTTGGTCATACACTTTATCGTTTCAGGATCTGAGAGGCAATATTGAAAAGATCAGCAAGTTCCTGGGCAAGGACCTGCCCGCCGAGGCACTGGACGCCATCACGGACCACTGCACCTTCGCCAACATGAAGAAGAACCCCATGGCCAACCCGGACTCCCTCTGGGAACCGCCCAAACCGGCCGCTGACGCCGCACCGATTTCCTTCATGAGAAAAGGTAGATTTGTTGCTCGATCAGCCTTATACACATTTTCTTCGGCGCAAGGAAGCAAAATAATTATAGCAAGTCAAATTCTAACCTACAGTGGGACCTTAGGGAGGAATTCCCATGTGCACACACACAAAATCGACATTAATCGCCCTTAACCCCAATTTTCCCTTATCCTACCCCCACGAATTTGTGTATAAATTGTACTAATTGGACCACGAGCAATCAATCTAGTCTATATTTGGGACCCAATTGTCCTCTATTGTTCAACGGCCCCTATTGAATGCAGAAACAAACTTAGTAAGACCTCTCGTGCATTCATTGTTACTACATAAAAGCAAAGCATTGAAACTAGTCACAGACTATTGCTTTCCTTGAAGTTTTCTTTTTTAATTTATTTCAGGCAAAGTTGGAGATTGGAAATCTCACTTCACTGTGGCTCAGAACGAGGCTATGGACGCCCTCATTCGAGACAAGTTCTACGGAACTGGATTGACGTTCGACCAATAGAGCCTGAAAGATCACCGCTATAGTGGCGCGCTTCCGGACCCCTTGGATACGAACATTAGCGTGCAAATAATTATTAATTTTGCAATTATTTTTAGTATACGTTGATCTCTTTTTAAAAAGATCACCCTCGAAACTAGGTTTATCTATGTATGGAAACTGAAAAATCACCTGACGTAAGTAAAATATTGTGCCAAATATTGACCTCTATCTCACTCTCGAAAATCTCAAATACATGTGTATGATTAGTGGAACTCGGTGTAGGCCTAGCCTACTGGTACAAAGATGAACAGTTATGAAATAATTTTGTTGCGGTCATTGAGTGAGAGACGAAACTTGACCTTGTCTTGCAAAATTTCACGCCCGTGCTGCTAGTAGGCCTTATGTATTATATTGTAAACAAAAATAATGGGCACAACACTTAGATAACGCTATAGCGGCATGCAGTAGTACTATAGCACTGCAAAGAAGTACAAATTCGGATTAATTGATTAATTTTTCAATCTTATTCCAAGTGATGATATTTTAAATACAAAAGTCTACGTACACTTTGGTTTTTGAATAAATGCATGTTTCCTGCTTGACAAAATGAGTTTGACACAATCAATTTGAGTTTAATTGTACATAAATAAAAGCTTGACTTTGTATAGAACGAACTTGGACGATTGTGATAACTTGTATACTAATGTTTTATATTGTTGTGTTGCGAGTGCAAGATATTGTAACGTCTCTCTGGGGTGAGAGACATTATCAAATAAAGAGTCAGATACAAATATCTTACACACACACACTAGTACTTTATTCGGGATTATTTACATCTCAGCTCAATAGAGGGCGCACTATATACAATGTAAAGTTAAGGCGTACATGATTATCTGTGTACAGACGTAGGGTCTATGGCCAGTGAGCGGACAGCTCGATAATCTACGTGTACATGTCAGGAACTCTGTCGGGGTCAGAGCCCAGATCAACAATGACCAGAACTGCCATTTCTGCGCGCTTTATATAGACTTTTGGGGGCGCGTCTTAGCCAATGGGAGCATTGGATTCTGGTGGTTATGAATAATGCATCCGTGTACAAAGGCATGGGGAAAGTTCTCTATGGGAGATTTGTACACGGCTGACTTAGACATTCTAGTGGAAGAAAGTCCGAGAGCAGTGGTTAGCGGGCGAAGTAGGATCACTCGTGGGTGCGTTACGGGGAACTGATCCTCAAGGAAAAGGGAAAGGGAATAACTTCTCGGTACATAGGTTTGTGTACAAGACTTAGTCTCTAGACTAGGTAAGAATCTACACACTAATGCTATGGAGTAAAACTATGAGATGAAGGACGTAACCTGACCTCTAGCTACCGTAGGTCTCGGCCAGTGGGTTAGCGGGACACACTCGCTGGGGTGTACGGGGTCACTAAGGGGTGAATACACGGGTAGGTTTTAGCGAGCCACATTCGCTAAATGCTTGGGGTCAATGTGGGTCGGATGCGAGGTAAGGTGTGTGAGGGGAATTCGCATCGACTCCGGGGAAAGGTGGAGGGAAAATGGCTAAGTCCTAAGTACATGTCCCATGGCGGTACATGTTCAATAGCAGTGAGTGCTACATGCATTGCGCGCTATACAATAGCGTACTGTGGCGGGTCTGTTCCCGAACCAAGTTATTCCTCGGACCAGGGACTACACAAAGCAGTCTAAAGGCTAAGGATGCAGGCTCGTTTTGGGTGGAAATCTACCGCCGCAGGAATTGATCCCTAAACCTTCTGTTAACTAGGCAATAACACAATAACAAGGACAACTGGCAACTGAATGGTCGGTAATCTCAAGTAACACGATGATTTATTTCAGAGACAACAATTAAATGATTAAATGATTTGGGAGTAATTGTCTTGGGTAGCTTTATTACAACCTGTGGTTTTCGAATATGAGCCCTATTTGCAATATACAACTAATATCGCACTGCTCACTCCAATAATCACTGCACAAACTAATGCTGCATCACAGGAACGCTATAGCAATGCACAACCAATGCTGCAACATAGGAACACTACAGCAATGCACAACCAATGCTGCAATACATGAACGCTATAGCAATGCACAGACCAATGCTGCAATATAGAAACACTCCAGCAACGCAACAACCAATGCTGCACTGCCTAAACAATATCGCATTGCATAGCTCAGTGCCACAGTGGAGATATGGTTTGTGCGCACGTAGCACTACGAAACCATGGGCCCAGCCCCAATCAACCACAATGCACCCACAAGTGTACGGCTAAACTGTCCAACAGTTCGCCCGCGCGTAGCTAGCATATAGCGCAAATCACCATATAGCAATACACGCCACAGCGAGAGCACACTCAACTCACGTTCGTACAGCTCGCTGCCACTTGCCAGAAAACTCCCGCGCGTACGTACGTAGCAATCTACGTACACATAGCACATGCACTAAACCATTATGATGCACTAAACATATGGGGCTTTGTTAACCAATCGCGTGCGTGCATACACGCACACCCTGACTGCTAAGCCACGCCCAGTCACGGGCGTACTATACTACAGTTCATTCATAAGATTAGAATACAATAACATGAACAAGGGCATAAAACTTCACTTTCCGTCACATGGGCCCGACCAATGGCAGAGATTGTCCCCAACTCTAAGCCATAAATAAAAATAAAAGGAAAGTGTGACTAAATCTTAACTTCTTCTTTAAATTACAATATAAAACTTAAAGCTTAACTTTTTCTTTAAATTATAATATAAAACATAAGGGGGGGCAGATTTCAAAGCTCATTAAATATTCACAAGCTCTTATACACCGGATAAGGGCACTTGCCTTACATGTACTCTACATGTACAGGAACACCAAAGTTTGCTGCTAATTAAATATTCACAAGATTTAACAGGGAATGATCGTACACAATTTCCCTTAAATTCAGCTCATTAAAAATTCACAAGAAATTCTACAGATAATTTCCACTGATTTTACAACGATTAAAATATAAATGCTCTGAAATAATTTTTCGCTTGATCACCTGCTGGAATGTTAAGATAATTCTGAAATAATGAAATACACATTAAGTATGATGTAAGATTTTCTCAACTCGAAATTTTACATGTTTTGACTAGGATAAATTTTACAGAGTCTTAGCTACGAATTTGTCAATTTTAATATTTACACAATTTGTTTTTACGAGAAGTCACCCAGTGCAAAAATTTGGCGTTTTACAAGATCTACGAAATTGTTAATTAGGATTTCTGTTTTATATAAAATAAAGATTTCTTTATACATCAAAATTCACATCAGCAGAATTTGTAATTTCAATTTCAAGACTGATTCTATTATTATTATTTATTTTTTTCTCTCTCTTTTTACCGACAATAAACCTTAACTTTATAAAACCTTTTGGAAAACTTTGAACTGTTCAACACTTCGGAAACCTTAAGAAACTTGGTTAATCAGAATAATGAACAAAAACCTAAACTTGAACGCGTCGTCCTGTTTATTTCCCGGTTGGCTTTCCCTCATCATCTACCTCTATCTGCTTCGTGTAGACGCTATTATGCTCATCCGTCTTGACCACTTTCCCATCGAGGAAAACCTGCATGCAGGTGTACTCTCGGACGGTAGCTGTGCGCCTTCTCTTCTTCGGAGGATCCTCCCTTTTCTGAGTGGGGAACATCTCCTCTTCCTCCTGGGATGAAGACTGTGATGCTGAGGATGGGGACGTAACCTCGGCCGCTCTCACCATCTGCATCATCCCCTTCGGCTTGCCTCCCAAGGGGCGAAAAGGAGGGACAACCAACTTTGGCGAGGTTGACACTTTCGGGGATTCTGGGATTGGTGAGGCTGACAGGGACAGTGCATCGACGACTGGCGTGACCCCACTTGGCACTGCTGCCGGTGGCAACCCAGCACTGGAGGACGTACCCGGACCTGCTGCACGGCTCTCTGCGACCTTTGTCACCGTACTGACGCTCCAAGACTCTGGTGCCTGGGAAGGACCAGCTGCACCCTTCACCACACCAATTTTGTGTACCGTCTCCATGTGATGCTGGAGGATATACACCTGACCTGCAACGTAGTCGCACCTGCTACACATCAAGGTGTTCGTCGCCGGCCCATGGATGTCTCTGATATGGCGCCATAGGCTTGCCCGATGTAGGTACCAACTGGTACACTCACGGCACTTGTATCGCCTCGGCTCACCCTTCGTCATGCTGAGAATCAATTTTCTTCAACTCCTGAAAAACACGAAGGAAAGAAGAATTCATAATATATACACCACAACTTAGTTTCGACCTCACCCAGAAAACAATTATGGAATCAAAGCCACACCTACTATCTTAGCGAAACCGCAGGGGTAACCTATGTGACCGCTTAGGATACCGCCTGGGCGGTGACACGTCTTGCCTCTCGGGCAGACTGACTCTACTGTCTGGAACTGGTTCCTCTGTAATGGCCTCATCCACCACAGGGTACTCATCTACCAACTCCTCAACTGAACCTTGGTCATACTGACCCTCCGTCACCATGGGGAGGTTTTCTGTCACCTCGTCCCTTGATGGACAATCCCAAGATTCGATGGCCTCACCGACATATGGTTTGAGTCGGTCCACATGGACAACCTTTGGTTTGCTACCACGTTTAAGCTGGATTCGAACCGTCACATCTGACAACCTCTTAAGAATCAGCCATGGTCCTTCCCACCTAAGTTGTAATTTGGGGGACATGTGCTTTTTCTTTGCAGGGTTGTGCAGCCACACAAATTGGCCCTCCTTCAACCCATGCTCAGATGCTCTCCTGTCAAAGTTCTTCTTTTGCCTCCGGGCACTTCTCCCGAGGCACTCCCTAGCCCTTTTATGGGCCTCCTGCATATCACTTCGCAACCTTTCGGCGAAGTCCGCAGTCACCTCCTCCTCAACCTCAGGACACCCTGTCACCAGATCCACTGGGACATTCACCTCTCTCCCCAACATCATCATGTTGGGGGATTCCCCGATCGAGTCTTGCGGCGTGCACCTGTAAGCGAAGGTGGCAACGGGGAGGAACTCATCCCAGTCTTTCTGCCTTCGCCCAGGGTCAATCAGCACCGCCACGATGTTGACCAAGGTTTTATTAAACCTCTCAACCATGCCGTCCGATTTCGGATTATAGGCGGTTGTCCGAGTCTTCGATATGCCGAGGATTTGGCACATTTTACTGAACACCTCCGACTCAAAGTTTGTGCCCTGATCAGAGTGAAGTTCTTGGGGCACCCCAAATCGACAGACAAACTCAGTCACCAATGTGTGCGCTACTGTAACTGCAGTAGCATCCGGAAGCGGAAATGCTTCCATCCACTTAGTGCAGTAGTCGCCAACCACCATCACCCAACGATTACCATTGTCCGTGACGGGCAATGGCCCGAGCAAGTCTATTGCTACTCGCTCCATCGGAACACCAACTCGATACTGCTGTAAGGGCGCAACCCTCTTCTTTGCAGCCGACTTTCTCCTGGCACAGATATTGCAGCCCCGGAGAAATGACCGCACGTCCGCAGACATGCCTGGCCAGAAGTACCTGGCTTTGACTTTGGCCAGAGTTTTGCTAACCCCCAAGTGACCACTAAGTTGCCCACCGTGCAACTCAGACAGAATTTCCTTCCGGAACTTTGATGGCA